GTGCAGCCATTTGCCATATAGAAACACCAATAGAATCAATAACAACCTGCAGGCAGTAATAGAAAGCAACGTAATCAGCAATAAGCATTTTGGACAAATGAAGTCTGCACCTAAAGTCAATAAACAAAATACTTCAACAAGCCTATCTTTAAAAATCTAAGTATTTGAAGAGCATGAATTAAACTGTGCAAGTTGAATGAGCATGTAAAGAGATAATTGCTACCTAGAATCTAAACTTCCTAGTTTCCGTGGGCAGTGCATGATTTAACCATACAAATAAAAGGTAAACAAACCTCGTAGATGAAAGCTGTAGAATCTTTTAAGAAACATTATGAAAAGAGCTAAAGCTTCATATTATAGAAATTGTTAGTTGAAGACTATCTAGGGATTGGGAAAAATACCGATGAAGCAGAGTGCAGACTAATAATTACAAATTATACGACATTAGAAACAAGTTACTAGAATGTAAACTAAAATTAACTGTCAAACAATAAGAAATGTGGAAAAAAAAGTTTTCTATTACTAAACCGGCATTAATCTTCTAATAAAAGGGCATGTAATGTTATCTGCACATTTCACATTAGCTTTATAAAGGTAAGTAGCAGGGTATATGAATCCTAGAACTCCATTACTCCAATACCATTATATTTATTACACACTAGCAAAATAACTAAATACACTGGCAGGATTGGGTCTTCATGGAGTACTACATTATTCATCTTACCACTCTCTAATTCTCTATTGTATTGGAAAAGGTTTGAGCAAAATGGAAACAGGAGAGTGAGAGCTTAAGGCAAGCATTAAAAACCTTCTGCCTCAAATCAATGAGATCCCATTCTGAAACTGAACCATCAATACTCGACGAGAATAGTCGACCTGAAGGCAAGCCTCTTGACCCTGGCCGGCACCAAACCAACGATGAAATCCTTGAATTGGGATTTCCATGTATTCTCTATGCAAATAACAGCTCAATACATCAAATCCAAATCAAGGCCACGTTTTTTTAGCAAAAACAACCAAATTAAAAACAAAATGAAAACAAAAAAAAAGTATCAGTACGAGTTGACAGTGCCAGCCGACTGAGCCAGGAGAGACAAGCCAAATTTCAAGAGAACCATCCTCGCGAGCTGCGGCAACCTGAAAGTTGTCGGCGCTGGTGGCTAAGGCGACCACCGGAGATGGTTTCCATTCAACGGAACTGGCCCGAAATAGCTCGGGCATGAGGATCAGGCCCATTTCCCTGACGGGCAGGAAGCGGCTGTGTGAATGCGAGGAGGAGGAAGAAGAGAGAGCGGCTGGAAGTATGAAGGAGAGAAAGTGTAGGGTTTAACGCTATATGAACCAGATTCTCCTGAAAACGGGTAAATGGTAGAAAGATGGTTTCGCCCGAAGCCCATATTTCGTACCCGGCTAAGAAAATTATTTTGGGTCATGCATCGCATTAATACGACTTGTGGCCTTGTGGGTGGGGCTTTTAAAATAAAAGCATCATTGTGGTAATCTGTAAACTTGTAATATTACTTTTGTCTTAAAATATTCTTTTTTTAATTAATTAAGATAAATTTTATTATTAATTATAAGGATGTAACTAGATATTAATTGAATCGAATGTGTTATTACCAAATCCGTATACATTTATTTTTATCGGATATCGAATTCGAATAAAAATCTTGACGCATACTAAAAATCAAAACCGTGTCCGCAATCTTGACGGATACTAAAAATTGGAAATGAATCTATCCATATCCATTCTGAATTTTTTTGAAGTCAAATTAAACAATACTTTAATTTTCAATTAAATTAAACTCAAAATGTTATTAAATCAACTATAATTTGTTATTTTATAATTACTTTCTTCTGTTTTTATAAATTATGATATTCTACGACAACTTCATATGGAAAAATATACACAATACATATACCCACATATATTTATATGTCCCTACATATTTTTATGTGTCTACACATATATTTTGTATATAAAAATGCATTTTATTTTGCGATATCAATAGAAAAAGAAAATATAAAAATAAAAAATTAGGAAAAACTATGTATGATTACCAAATCCGTATACATTTACTAATCGGATATCCTTAATCGGACACGGATAATAACCGCTTTTAACGAATGCAGATATTTTTTTTTGTATAAACGAATACGAATGCGGACGGTAATCAAATTTTTAGTTATCCATTTACAACCCTATTTAATTAACTACTAGTAGAAGTTATATTGGATATTAATATATAAAAATCATTAGAATAGATTTAGAAAAAATTATCTCAATTAATTCCACATTTCAACCGTCTTCAAAATATAACTTTGCTTTTCAATTTTAAGTAAAATAATTTCAATTTTTCAAGTTATTATGCATTTTGAGTCATCGTGTTGGAAAAGTTAATTGAATGATGAGTTAGAAAATCTTTTGTTTTGTTATTTGCCTAAAACAATTCTAATTTTTGTGAAGTTACGCAAAATAATTTCACCTTCTATTGAATTGCATATAATAATCATATATTTAAAATTCTTTTTTAAAAATTTATCTAAGTCTATTGTTGTTGAAATAAAAATAAAACTTATTTATTAATCAAGAGAAGTTTATTTGGGATTTGTGAAAATTTTTAAAAAATCAAATGAATCCAATTAAACTTTGGCGCGATTTTTTTGGTAAACGACAAAAAGATAAAATGACTAACAGAGAAATGATACCTTCATTTTAATATTCTAAAATTTTGCATCATTTCAAGACAATTTTATGTTTATTATCAAAAAAAGTTTTACGCATTTATTTCAATAACGATAAATTGAGAAAAAATATTGAAAACTAATAGGTTAAAAAGTGAGATTATTGTATGCAATTCAATAGATCAGAAGATAAGTTTATTTTGTACAACACCACAAAAGGAAGATATAATTATTTTGGGCAAATAACAAAACAAACGCTCCAGCTCATCATTCAATTAACTTTTTCATCAAAAATGAACGGTGGTTGAAAATACACAAAAACTTAAAAAATTGAGATTATTTCACATAACATTGAAGAGTGGGATTATATTTTTGGAAAATCGTAAAAAATATGGGCTTATTTAGGATAATATAAACTTAGATTTATGTTGTGAAAAACTAACTTATGTTTATTTTATTTCACTAATATGTTATGCAAGTTTAATGTACTTAATGATTGAAATTTATCCTTTTTACTCAAAATAATCAAACATGGTGAATTTTTCCTCAATACGATCCCACATCGCATCATTTGTTTGCTCGGAACCTTTAAGATATATATAATTCAACAAGAAATATGTTTTAACACAAATATATATATATATATATATATATATATATATATATATATATATATATATATATAAAAGAACATATACACACATACACACACACCCACACACACGCTATATATATTTAGAAAATATATATAAATTTTACTATACCAACGATAGGATGCTCCAAGACGTCAACTCAAGCCAACGCCAACAATGTTTCTTCTTCTGGCGTCCACTTTTGAATGAACTGTGCCACCTCACGAGGCTTGCCGCCCTTCAGCTTTTGAATGGACCGTGCCACTTTTGATCAGTCATCAGCTTGTCGCCCTTCGATGTGTGACTCTTCCGATGTGCACTTTTTTGGTGCACTTAGTTCCGATCGAGTCTCCAGAACTGACTCCGGGTATTCGAGATTCATCGAGGTTTACGTTTCGAACAACTATGGATTATTCTCGTGCGTTTGGAAAAGCCACATCGCATACTCGTTTGACCCGAAACTGTCAGATAGTTTTTTCGAAGCGCTAACGCTAATCTCTAACGTTGATGCCAAACAGGACCTTAATATATCTGATGCCTTATAAATTTCAGAGGCCCATGATAACTGTCCGACCCTTTCTTTCATCTAAAAAAGTGTGTGTATGCGGCGGCGCGAGATGTCCTTTCATTTCTCAAATTTTTTTACCATTCAATTCAATACTAGCATATAAGTGGTGGAAGATGAAAGGTTTGAAATCTGATCACACATGCATGGGCTTTTCTCCTTCCAATGATTCGACTTTATTAATTAATTTATCATTCAACTGAGCACCAAATTTAGCGCACAATATATCGAAACACGCGTCTCAATTTGGAGATTGTTTGTCCATAATTATTTTAGAAATATTATTTTATGGGCCCCACCATATTTATGTCCGCCATTACAAGCCAAAAATTCCGACACCAGCACGTACTCTATCTTCAAACTTTAAACAACGTTTATTAAAATTTCCGTTCGGCATAAATAAATTCAACTACGTATATAAAATAGTCGATTTCACTCGAGTTACAAACATAAAATACGTGTCCGTGAATGGATTTTACAAAGCAAACTAGTTTTTACCCCGTGCTTCGCACGGGCTCGCATATTTCTCTATAAAATATTTCTATATGTTAACATAGATATTATAAGTTAACATTTTGGATGTTTGTTAAAAGTTCAATTCATATATGAACATAATATGAATTAAAATTTAATTTTATTTATTTTAATGTTTTAATAATAATATGATATGCATTAATAAAATAAATAATGTAATAAGATAAATTTTTTTGAAACAAATCGTTTAATTAATAAATATGCATATGTGATTAAATTTATATAATCATTTTTAAAAAAATAATAAACTAAAATAAGTTGTGGATAGTATAAAAATTATATATATATATATATATAATGGAGTATATTTTACAATGATGAAATATATATTTATAGAATTATTAAAAAATGAAAAAGTTTTATGCAAATGTATTCAAAGATCTTTTTAAAAAATCAAAATGGACCAATGAATTAAAATGCATAAATCCACATCATTAGTGAGTGCACATGTGGCATGCCACATGTCAACACTACAAGAATTGAACTCTCTTTTACATATATATATATATAGGATATAGGATCATTATTCATTTCAAAAAAAAATCCGATCGTTTGATGGAATTGTAATGGTGTTTTATTTATTGATAAATATAAACTTATTATTAAGAGCGCGGATTAAAATTTGGCAATTACATTCCATGGCCGGGCGGATTGGATTAAATGAGTTAACTAAAGCGGGTGGTGGGATAACCATCTTGTTAGCATTGCAACACATTCTTCTCTTTTGTACGCAAATGCCACATGCCCTGCCCCCTGCATCTCATCATTCATTCAATTCATACACAAATTTATTTTTATAAAAAAAAAGAAAGTAAAAAATAATAATTTCTGGACATTTTAAAACCATGAAAAGTGTAAAGTTAGAATAGTTGCATACTCACCTTGACGGTTGCAAATGTCATTCCGTTGGAGTAAGATCTCGTGTAACTAATTAATTACAATAGTAATAATGATAAGAAGAAGAAGATGAGATGAATTGAGGAAGCATATTGATTATTTTTACTGTTATTGATCATAGTAAAAAAAAATTACCCGGCAATTTGACCGTTAACGGTCCACTGTCTCCAGTCGTCGGTGATGCTGTAATTCAAGGATTTAATCCACGCTTCCGTTGATTGGAATGGAATAAGCATGTCATGATCACCACTGTACGTTCAAATTCCAATGGAGACATGCAGTAATTACAAAGTTTCTAATGTTGAAAAAAGGTTTATTTGATGAATCATGTTAAGATAATTATTAAGCAGAGTACCTATATATTAATGAGGCATAACCTCGGCGGCTGAGATTTGCATGATGTTCTCTCGTATCTTGAATCCTAATTTCGTAGGTGGTTGATGTAATGCTCTGCCTGCATCTCAGCCATTGTCCAATGGATCCCTCAAGAAAATAAAAAAAAATTCATTTTAATGAAGATCCTAGGTAAATTAGATTGCCTTACAATATCAAAACTCTTTTGTGGTTTTCTTTCTTTGTTTTTTTTTGTAAAATCTAAATAAGATTCCAAATGATCTTTTTCTGACATTGCAACTCTTTTTTCAATTAAAGGTATTTTGGTATCTCCGGCATTTGGGAGATATCAATCTATGTTTTGGTATTTCACCCAACCACCTGCCATTGTTGTAGACAAACTGCCTCTCTCACCAACAACGCCGAGCGTATCATTAACAATCGTTCTATGTTTTAGATTTTTTTCAAACAAATTTTATTTCAAATTTAATACGGAGTATCATATGCGGCTTCTTCCATTCCTCTGGATTTCAAAACTTATACCATACTCATACAAATTGTGAAAAATATATTTAAATATAATGTAAATTTAGTAAAACTGTACGTGTTCATTTTAAAATATGGAGTATAGTTTTGATATATCAACTGTTTACAACATTTAATTTTTTAAGACTACATTTAGTTTGTGATCAAAACGGTGCACAGTTTGACTATAAAAGTGAAGGTGTGACAATCTTTTTGGAAGGAAGGGGTATCATATACTCCCTCCGTCCTAAAATTAATTTCTCACTTTCCATTTTGGGTCGTCCTAAAATCATCTTCCCATTACTTAAAATGGAAAGTTTTTATTAAGCAAATGACATTAATACCCCTAACCAAATATACCCACCCAATTTCTCCATCATTCAGAATTCACAACACTCACCCAAACAACTCTATCTCTCTCTTTCACCGTTTCACACCTCTTTAGCACCAATATTTTCTCTCCATCTTTTACCTCTTTGCCATTTATTATCTCTTCATTCAACTCTTAAAGTTTCGTGTTTAATTTGGTCTGCATCATCACCCCTTTTTGCTCTATACATCGTTATGGTCATAGACCAAAGCTCCATTCCGGAATCAATGGTCGCCGCATCTTCATCCCTGACTCCATTGTCGTATAAGGAGTTCATAGATTTAGACAGTGTGATTCGATGGTGGCCCAAGCAAAGCTTCCGGGATGAGATTTGCCACGCAGATCTAGCTGCTATATGTTGAGAGCAATCATATCTCAGATCTAAATCGATGCGAACAGTGACGATTTCGACTCTCTTGGAGTCGGCGACCAGAGTTCATTTTTTTTGTATGTATTTGTGTTTTCTGTGATGAATCTTCAAATTGGGCACCCTGATTCCAATTATTCGTTTCAACATTCATTTTTCAAGAGACTTTAATTTTGTGCTGTTTAAAGGGCGATAAATCTGATCTGTGATTCAGAATGTGAATTTGGAGGATAAGGGGCATTTTGGGAAAGTCAATGCAATTTTCACACTTTCTTAAAAATTACCTCCGGTCAAACCGGGAAGTTAATAATAGGACGGAGGGAGTATCAATTTTCAAAACTTATGCTCCGTATGTAGTTATAAGACATATATATCCTACAACAAGTGTATCTAGTTAGGGCCTGTTTGGGAATAGCGTTAGATATTGGCGTTAGCATTTTGGATAAAATTTTAACAGTGCAGATTACTTTGAAAACGCTAACGCTAAACGTTGTCCGTAGATAAGCTTTAATTTTCAAAACGATAACGCTAATTGCTAAAGCTATTCCCAAACAGGCCATAGTAAATAACCCAGCAAAGGGAATGCACCTTTCGAACACGTAATGCATCTTGGACGGCGAGATCATTTGCCCAGTAATTGGAGAGTTTGTTGTAGTCAACCTGGAAATAAACGAAATAGAGTACTAATACTATAAATCATTTATAATGTATATTATGCTTAGTTTAATATATTTAAATTTCTCAAAGTTAAACTAGTTTCTGTAGTGCTTTTATTTAAGAACATATATGCATAGATTGACTTACACGACACCGCAAACGATTCCGCTGTAAGTTGTTGTGGGAGGGCGTCAATTTAAGCATTCGCCTCTTTTCACGAGCGGCTGCAGTGGCAACAGGGTTTTGCAATGCGAACTCGGTTCCACAGTAGGGCTCAAGAATGTGCTCAATGTTGATTCCCTCTGTTTTCTGTCCGTTATTTTAATTTGTTTAGTTTTACACCAATATTTTGTTTGGTTCAAAGTCCAACAAATTAAATTATAGGGTCCATAAATGACTCGTATAATCGTACACTAACATTTGGTCCACTTTTTAAAATATAACAACATTTACATTTTTTTCATATAAACAAGTGATGAGATGAAGGAGAGAATGTCGTCCTTGAGAAAATCCAACTAACCTCTTTGAAAACCTTCGTGTTTTGAGAGCACAATTCATTCCTCGACTCATTCTCCTCATATCCTTCTTTACAGTTCTCTGCAAGAGACTATTATATATACGAACAACGTTTGCAAACAAAAATTCATCAATTTCATCCATGTAATTAATGACTAATTCGTTCATCTATATATGCATACCTTGGATCAAGCAATTAGTTCAAATCAAGGGTAGATTATGTGTGTATAATTAATTAATTAAGCACGTAAAATTATCATGTATATATGTTACACGCACTAACCGTGTAAAGTTCAGTAGAGATTAAACCCATTCCATGAGCAAATGGGATTGAATAATTGCTTTCAGCAAGATACGTTTTGGCGTTTCCCAATATGTACCCCTACAACAATATATTAATTGGTTATATTATTATTAGGTACATACATATACATATATATATGTTTAGTCAAGACCAAACTCCATCATAAAATTAAGGTTCTTATATAATTAAGTTTAGACATCTTATGTGACAACAAAATTCATCTCAAATCTTTTATTGGAAATTAAGTGCATGTAACGAATGCTCTTTATTAATTATAAAACATATGCCAAACCTTAAGATTGATCATCTTCGACCTGTTGTGATGAGCGGCATTTCCTGGATGCATGTATAGTAACACTGTTTATATATGTATATGCAAACGGGTGGACACGGTACCGGTACAGTACCGGTACCGGAAACGGTACCGCCGGTTCCGGTACCGTTACCGTCGGCCGGTACGGTCCACCGGTTCCGGGAACCGGTACCGGTACCGTCCAATCCGGTACCGGTTCCGGTGCCCATTTTTCGGTACCGGAACCGCCGGTGCCGGTTCCGGTTCCGGTACCGTTACCGTTTTTTTTTTTTATTTTTTTATTTCATTCTTTCCTTTATCAATTTCATTTTTAGATTTTTTTATTTCATCATTTCCTTTAACAATTACACATTTACAATTTTACATTTTAAAAATATAATAAAAAAGCAAAAAAAAAAAAACAAAATTAGGGGTGGCCGAAACGGTACCGGAAACGGTACCGGAACCGGCGGTACCGGAACCGGTACCGGCCGGTCCGGTACCGGTACCGGTACCGGTACCAAGGGGTGGCGGTACCGGAACCGGCGGTTCCGGAACCGGAACCGTCCCGGAACCGTACCGTGTCCACCCCAAGTCATACAAATTGTGAAAAATATATATGGAAAACTTACATGCCCAATGATAATACCATCTATCTACTTCAAGTTTGTCCAATGTAATTTTTTTGAATCAAACTTGAATTGCATATATTAATATAAAGAAATAAATTTTTGCTAGTTTCTGTACGATAAATTTAAAAAATTATTTTTTAGTTAGTACCAATATGCAATACAAGTTTTATTTAATTTATGATCAAAGTTTCTTTAGTTTGGTTCGTAATATATAAAACTAGACGAATGTTTTAAGATGGAGATAGAAATATTTAGTACTCCCATTGTCACTGTTCAACTTTCTCATTTGATTTTTATTCAAAGTTTTTCAAAAGGTGAAAGTCACTATATGGTTCAAATTTATGAAGATGGAGAAAATTTATGTGGACCAAATAATTCTTTCTAGAATAGAATATTAATCAGGTAATAATATCCTAAAAAAGAAAGAAAAGAAATTAGATGCTAATTTAACAAAGGGAGAATACAAATATACTCCCTCTTCCCAAAAAGAATATTGCACTTCTCACTACTTAGATAACACAAGAGTTTTTGTTTATTTGAGCATTTTCATTGATTATTTGATAAAATAAAATATTTTCTTGTCACTTGTTGTTTAGGAAAAGATTTTACATTCTTTTTTGTTTTTTTATTTCTAAACCAACATTTAAATAAAACAAATTGAAAAAAAAATTGAAATTTCATTTCATTTTACATAATATGACATTCTTTTTTAGACGGATGAAGTAACTAACTAGCTAGCCATAAATTGTAGAGTACCAACCATCAGATATAAGTTGAGATATGATGGGAACGGTAATTCCAGAATAAGAATCTCCGCCAATATAAAACCGATTTGATCTGAAATCCGAATGTACAGAAAACCACTACAAAAAAACTCAAATATTATAATCAGAGCATCAAAGGAAAAAAAAGCACAAAATTTATTTGGAGTGATGTTTTAATTGGGTAACACAAACCTTTTGTAAAAATTGATAAACATGGTTGCAAGATTCCAAATCAGTAGAGTGGGCCGCACTTGGACTTGTTGCATACGAATATCCACTTCTCGCAGGTTGATCCAAATATATTACGTTCGCCACCTACATTTAAATATTCTATATTCATCAAAACACTTTTGCCGGCTTGAATATCTTTGTATGGAATACGTGTCAAAAGTCAATTGATTAAAAAAGTTTCAAATATTTTTTGTGATTTTTCTTCGGAATAGAACTGAAAACAATTACATTCTATAAGTGCACGATACGAGTTAGAATACTACTTTCGTACTACACCACACGTGATAGGGATAAAATTCAAAGTCGATTCATTCGATTGACACACACAAGTCTTTACTCCTTTCGTCCATTTTTTATATTCCTGTTACTTATTTTTTTTCCGTTCGGATGTGATCTTCCTATTTCTCATATACATGTGTGTTTGGACGAGAGTATTTCTCCTTCATTAAAAAATTTCAACAACCCACGTAATTCTATTTTTATTTTTTAGTAAGAGTATTTTGGATAGACCCAAGGCATAATTAATCATATTTAAAATGAGAAAAAAATCAAAATGAGAAAGAATTTAATCCAAACATAAGGAGTACTCCCTAGGGTGTATTTTTTTACTTCCTTTCTCCCATTATTACTTTCACACTTTTTTACATGATTGATGGAAATGTTTTTTTTTACTTTTTTCTTAGAGAAAAAAAGGATGAGTTTTGTCTCCGAGGGCTCCTTCGGATCTGACCGGATAGTCACTGAAAGAAAGTAAATTGAACTTTGATAGCAGATTAGTGACAAAAAGTGAGAGTCTGCAGCTGGTACCTGCAGAGGCCTTATGCTTAGCATAGGTGCCTCCCAACACAGTTGTCCGAAATCGAACTCGGGTCTTACCTCTTGGCACTCTTTACCTTTGCTAATTGAGTATAGCACCACCGTCCACTTTTTTAATACTCCCTCCGTCCCTAAATATTCACAACATTTGCTTTTTCAGCAGTGTCGGGAACTTTTGTTTATTTCGACGTTTTCATTGATTATTTGATAAAATAAAATATTCTTGACACCTCTTATTTTGAAGAACTTTTCATGCAGTTTTTTTATATTTAAATTTTATTTTTTATTTTTCTTTATCAATATATAAATAAAATGAATTGAAAAAACTTGATATTTTACCTCGGAAATACAAATGTGGCAAATAATTTGGGACGGAGGGAGTATTCCGTATAAAGGAAATGATTGGATGTTGAAATGGTGCATTACTTTTCCTCTTTCACCTAGATACATTATTACTCTCTAGTACACGAATTTTAGATTTTTTTGAACCAATGCAAATATTATTATCACAAACTAAACCTAGTAATAAAATTACGGAATGGAAATAGTAATAAAATTTAAATACTGTTGAGACTGTGCGTGCCCTCACCCCAACCCCACATTAGTATGATATTGTCCGCTCTGGGCTAAGCCCTCACGGATTTGTTTTTGGGCACCTCCCAAAAAGCCTCATACTAATGGGGTTGGGTGAACTTATATATTTTGGTTCATTTACTCCTACTCATCCGGTGTGGGACTTGGAGGAATCCCAACAAACCTCCCCTCATCCAAGGACCACACAACTTCCGATCTTCCCTCCAGCGGTAATCTCCTTTTTTTTCTTTATCTGCTAACCATCTTGCACCGCCGCACACTCTTTGCGGGACACGCCGCCCGACCTCTTGTCGGGAAGACTTTCGACGCAAGGCTCGAACCGCAGATCTTTCATTCGCTGGGCTACACCATTTGATCCGCCAAATCATCTTGTACCGCCGTGGCTATAACATCACGGGACGCGCCGCCCGACCTCCTCTCGTCGGGAAGACTTTCGACACAAGGCACCACCTGCAGATCCTCTTTCTTGGTCTTTGGTCCTAGTTACACCGTCACACCGAGATTTTTTCACACTGCACAGTCCGCTACTCCCGCCCGCAAGAACCTGGGCTCCGATACCACATGTTGGGACTGTGCGTGCCCTCACCCCAACCCCGCATTAGTATGATATTGTCCGCTCTGGGCTAAGCCTTCACGGATTTGTTTTTGGGCACCTCCCAAAAGACCTCATACTAATGGGGTTGGGTGAACCTATATATTTTGGTTCATTTACTCTTACTCATCCGGTGTGGGACTTGGAGGAATCCCAACAAATACTTCGTAAAAGATAGTTAACTACATCATTTTTTTTGAAGTGTACGGAATTATGTTTGTAATCATATTTGCATTGATCTTTTGATAAAATAAAATTTTATTATTATTTTTTTTTGTAAATTTTTTTACGTAATTTTAAAAGGTGTAATTTGTAGAATTTATTTCTATACTATTTAATGCTCCCTCCATTGAAAACCTTTCTCCTTTTTTTATTCGTCCCAAAAAACACTTCTTATTTCTATTAAAAAATCATTTTTACCCCTTACTTTTTAATACCCTACATATCACATCATATTTTTTTACTAATAATATAACCATCAAATTCTAATTTTATCCATCACATCAAAAGACATTTTTGAAAATTCAATACCACTCCCATTAAAATTTCTTCAAAATCAAAACATCTCATGTTTAAAGGGACGGATGGAGTAAATAAAATCATCGTTTAAAAAAATGATACTCCCTCCGTCCTAAAATTAACTTCCCGTTTGACTTTTTACAGTCTCCAATGCGACACTTTGACCATCAATAGCTCAATTTTTATATAAATATATTTTTTAAAAATTATATATTTCAAAACTATCTTTCAAAATGAATGTATTATTAATAAATTTATATAAAAATTCAATGTATTTTTCCATAATATACGGTCAAAATTTAAAAAATTTGAGTACAAAGGAAATTTTAATTTTAGTATTTCAAATGAGATTTTATACCTTGGTGATGGTGTGGGAAGCCAGTAACAGTGTGGGAAGACTGCCGTCGTATTCCTTGGCCTCAAGCTCCAGCGGTCCTGCACATACATATTCATAGCCACACTATATTAATTAACAACATTTTTTTTAGGGAATGTTAATTAACAATATATTCCTAGCGAGATTATACTGCTCTATTTATGCTTAAAAGATTGTCATAATTTGACTTTTCAGTTAAATTGTAGCATCTTTTGAACGTGAGTTATGGAAAAAGTATATTTAGTTATAATGTAAATTTGGTAAAACGAAACCTTTTTTTGTTAAATATAGTTTTGAAATGTAAAATTTTTATAATATTTAATTCATGCTTTGATATTATCACACTCTGACAACAAAATTAAATTGTAGAGATGGTGACAATATTTTTTTCGAGACCAGCCTTGGACTGATCCAAACCAGAAATATTTTGGAACACATAAACGGAGTATATTTTTGTTTTACGAGATAGATAGAGAGAATATGTGTGTGTGGAGATGCAGATATAGGTAGGTACATACCAAGTTCATAGAGGAGTCCGGTGAGAGAGGAGCAACCAGGGCCGCCGGTGAGCCATAGAATGAGGGGATCTTCTTCGGGGTTTGATTCAGACTTAACGAAGTAGTAGAAGAGCTGCTGGAATCCCCCGTTGTGGGGCACCCCTATGTACCCTGTGTGCAGCTCGAAAGGCAGTGTCCCATTATACCCCGGAAGGAATTCGATTCTCCACAAAGAAGAAGAAGAAGAAGAAGAAGAAGAAGAAGAAGAAGAAGAAGAAGAAGAAGAAGATATACTGGTATTCCCATCATCATCATCACCACCAGCTCCTGCTACAACCTGATGATGATAAGGAACAAGAAGATAACAATGGAGAATTGTAATTATTGCTAGCCGCATAATAACACTTGTGAGAGACGATGGACAATATGGTTTCTTCATTTTCTCCACCAATATATATATATATATATATATATATATATGCAGAGGTAGGTGCCATCCAACTGTTGTTGTGAGTGGTATAGGTTTGATTAGAAATCCCATTTTTGGTCAAGTTATTTTAAATGCTCCTGATTTCTTGCTTTGACAACTCTCCCCCTTTTCCATCTCAATTCAATTCACAATTACTACCTCCGTCCCATTGTATTTGTCCACATTTGACTTTTGGAACTGTTCATCTAAGCACTTTGACTCATCAAATTCTCTTAATGTGTAAGCCTAAAAATAGTCATGTGTGATCTTGTTTGATTTGTCTTAACATATAGATTATTAATATATAATTTGTATAATTTTTTAATATACAAATTACAAGATAAAATGGATTAAAGAAGTATATTGGATAGTGTGCCAAAAGATAAGTGGACAAACACAGTGGGACGGAGGGAGTATATCTTTATCACTAAATTATGAGTGGAAAAAAGTGAGACCCAAGAAGATAAATCGTGGTATATTTCTATCAGAGATTTAGAAAAAAATGTGAGAGGTCGTCGTCCCGGGGGGGTTAGGGGGTAGGAACCGTTAATTTTACGAACGGGGCACCGGAGCGCCCCCGGGTCATCCCATGACATTGGTTCCCAATGTCATGGGAACCAAGGTGATTTTAAAGTCATGACTTTTAAAAAGCAAATAACTAATTTGGAATATTGTGAGTTCTGTACTTAATTTTAAAAGTTAGGCAAAATTATGAGTCGTATATTTTTTTTAACTGAAATTAATTACGCGTTGAAATGTTTGTCTGTACCCCTCTCTCTTATTGTTTGTTCAATTTTCACTTTTTACAATCAATAGTCACAAACTTTGATCATTAATTAAATAAAATTTGTATTAAATATTGATGCAAAATTATTTAATCACATTTGTTTTATATTGAGCATAGTGTTTTCAAAATATATTTTTATCTGATCAATATACTTTACAAATTATATATATATATATATACATATATATATATATACATATATATATATATATATATATATATTTTATATTTTGAAAATCTAAAAGTTACAGTAGATTATAAAAAACCAGTAAGCTAAAAAGACAATTAATGTAAGCAAAAAATAAAATAAAAGATACTTGTATTACAAAGTAATAAAGATATACTCCGTATAAGAAAAAACAGAGTACCCAAATTATAAACACATGTTTGGATTTGAAGTATTGTGGATTTATTGGAGATGGTTTCATTCCGTCTCTGAAGACTTTTTTTCTTTCCCATTTCATGTGTCTCAAAAAAATTATCACTCTTTATAAAAAAAATTAATTTTCTTTAATAACACAGTCATGTTTGCTATATTTTCGTAAAACTTTTTGTATATTTTTTAAAAATGCAATTTTTTTTAAATTTCACTCCAATTTTTCAATTGGATTAAATTAAAAATCATTTAAGTCAAATGTTGTAAAACGAAATAGGCAATTAAATTTAAAAAGGATTGAGTATTAATCATTTATTACAATAACATACTCAATTACTCATGTTACATTATTTAATACGAAATAAAAGTATAAAACAATTGGTTTAGTTTTTAATATTTTGATTACAATTTTTTTCTTTCCTCTCAATAAATTTGTTTATTTGAGTTTTTTGTTTGATTTTTTGATAAAATAAAATATTATTGTCACTTTTTATTTTGTAAAATTTTTTATATACCAATTTAAAAATAAAATAATTTTAAAAATGAGTAATATTACCTAATAAATGGTTGGTAGGTGTATATTAACAAGCATTCAAACCACCAACTTCCACTAATTTCGCCCACTTAAGGCCTGTTCTCTAAAGCTTGAACTCTTAATTTCAGATTCTTCCAGTTTTTTCCAGAACCTTCAAGTTTTTTCCAGTTCTTTCCAGTTTCTTCAACTTCCCTTCAGTTTCTTTCAGTTTTTCAAGTTTCTTCTAATTTCTTCCAACTATATTTATTTTCTTCAAATTCTTTCTACTTTAATTTATGACAAATCATTCTAAAATTATTATTATTATTACATCTTTTTTTAATTACAACTTTTATGTTCATAAATATAGTTAATAAATTATTTTATTTTTTCATCTCACTATTTTTAGGATTCACATTCATTCTTCCAGTTTCTTCAACTTTTTAATATGAATAATATCGTTTTTTTGTATATTAATCTACATGACAAATTAGGAAACTATTTAAAAATTATGGAAAATAGTTATATAGAAGATTTTTTAATCTAAATTTATATAAGGTAAATTACATTTAAGGGCCTAGAAGAATAATATAATGAAAACCAAGAGAAAACTACATTTTGAAAAAGAAAAAATGGCCCAAGAAGTGTAATATTTATGCTAATTTTATATTCTAATTATTTTTTTAAACTAGCTTTTTATATATGAAAAATAATACTTGTAATATTTTTTTATTTTAAAGACAATCATTAAGATAGCGTGATAACACCACCACCACCACCAACAACAACAACAACAACAACAAGAATAATAATAATAATAATAATAATAACAATCATAATTTATAACAACAAGAATCAGAATGAGAATAATATACAACCACACATAAAAAAATTTTAAATTTTTTTAAAGATTTTTCAATGTTTTCTAGTTTTTTCAGTTTCTTTTAATTTTTTTCAGTTTTTCCAATTTATTCTAGTTTCTTCCAGTTTTTTTCAATTTCTTCTAGTTCCTTCCAGTTTCTCCTAGTTTCTTCCAACATCCCGTTTTGTTTTCAGTCCTAAATAACAGGCCCTTAATGATAAGTATATATATTACTCCTTATGTCCAATAATTATCTTCTTATTATGCGTTACGATGTTTGATTTAAATTATTTTCAAATCATTTTATATAAAAAATAGTAAGAAATTAAAAAATAAAAATTACGTGTCTGAAAATTACATTAAAACTCTACAAAATTTGATGTGACATTACTATATTATATTACTCCCTCCGTCATATAATGATCTCCCCGGTTCGCAAAACAAAGAAAAATCTCAAGTTTTTTCAATCTATTTTATTTAAATATTAGTATAGAAATAAAAAATAAAACATACATATTTAAAAACTACACCAAAAGTTCAACAAAACAAGTGGTGACAAGAATATTTTATTTTATAATATAAGCCATGAAAAAACACAAATAAATATAAATTCTCGTAAAGTTGGAATAGTGCTATAGGAAAATCATTACGGAGGGAGTATCAAATCGACAACACAAATAGAAGATTAGTTTTCAAAATTTAACTCTGACAATGAATATAATTATGAATATCAGGTTCTCCGCAACTTGTGAAATGTCATTGTCATTTGTCAAAGTAAAGAAGATTAGTTTTCAAAAAGGAGTCTAGAAGATTGAAAGAAAAACAGAACAAAATTATTCCGAAATGTCATCAATAATCATTTTTTTATTTTTCTATTGTATTGTTCTAAATATTACTCTCACCGTTCCACAAAAAATTCTCATTTTGATGTATTTTTGGTCTAATAATTATATTGATCATAAATTAAATATAATCTAAATAAAAAAATGCTAAAAAAATTTGAGAACTTGATACTAAGATGAATCCAATTGTATTAAATTTATTTTATAATTCAATATATCTTTCTCACAATTTGTAGTCAAAGCATGTAAATATTTGACTAAATACTATTCAAAATAGGAACTTTAATTTATTGTAGGACGGAGGGAGTATATCTTACTTTCTTACTCCCTCCGTCCCAAATTATTTGCAACGTTTGCTTTTTCAGAAGTCGCGGGAACTTTTGTTTATCTCTACATTTTCATTGGTTATTTGATAAAATAAAATATTCTTGACACTTTTTATTTCGAAGAACTTTTCATGTATTTTTTTGATATGTAAATTTTAATTTTTATTTCTATATCAATATGTAAATAAAATGAATTAAAAAAATTTGATATTTTATCTCAGAAATACTAGTGTGACAAATATTTAGGGACAGATGTAGTATTAAAGAAATTGAATAGTCTATGATATTTCTCTTTTCTCTGTGCAAATCATATTTACTTAGATTTTATTTTAATTTGAAGTAGGGATGGGCAAGAATTGAGACGATTTAAATTTCATGCCATCGCGTGTCTTGTCACAAACATATCCCCTCTATCCGTTAATATTTGGGATCACTATAGAATTAAACAAGTTTAAATTAGGGAGAACTCCCTAAATAGGAGTAAAAAAAATAAATATCTTAAAATATGGGTTATAAATCTTTTAAGACCAAAATAGAAATTCACACTGTCATTTACTACCACACTCACCATATTATCACATTATAACTATCACACATTCATTGTCATACTGTCATTCGTCCTCACCAGCCACCAGAGTGTCGTCGCGAAATGATTGATTGATCACGCTAATATATTACACATGGGAGTTGATATATGCGCTCCAATTAAGTTATTGGCGCTCCACCATCTTTATTTCTTTTAATAAAATGACCATCTTGTCCTCCTTCAATTAGAAAGTAGCTATCCTATTTCCAAAAGATTTTCTGCACAAAAGGTTACAAACAAAAAACAACACAAAAATAGGCAGCAAGTCCAAATATCTCTTGTACAAAAAAACTCAAAATCCTTCATGTTTCAGTATTGCAGTTTATAAATAGACAATACTCTACTAATGTACTCTACGGTACCAGATTTTAATTGGTTCATACATGACAAAAAATAGTATCACATAGGGACATGATAAAAAAGATTCAAAAATCATGTTCCAATGGATGCAATAATCATTGAATCTGTTAATCGACAGATCAACCTTCACGTGAATGCCTTCATATGAGTGGTTATGGACCTGCATAAACAATTTTATCATATTTATTTATGTATTTTTATTGACAAATTCCGAGAAGAAGAAAAAAATTATGACACAAAATGAAGTACCTAAGAAAATGTTTACCTTCATCAACTTACCATTAAGCATACTAATGGTTCATATACCTTACTTCCTGGACCAAAAGTCAGTACAAAAAAAACCCTACAAAAAACAATTTAATAGGTAAAAGTAGACTATAGTGCTAAAAGATAAAAAAAATTGTGAATACAGGTAATGCAAAGTACCATTTAATTCAGCTCCTTGTTCACGCATGACCGAATATTATGTCCCAAGCCACCACATTTACTGCATCTATGATTTCTCTCAACAATTTCATGCTCTTAGCTATCTCGTCGAGTGGAGGTAACTTGTCTTCTTTTTTTTGAATTTGAAACGCGACCTCTACAAGGATTAATATCCGGTTCTTGAACCCTTAAACTTGATGGTTCATCAAAAAGTTTAGAGATTTGCTTTTGGGTATCGAGTTTTTGAGACAAAGGCATCTTTTGATATTTCTTTTTCAATTCATTAAGAAAATCGACGAATTGATCATCATGGTAGCAAGTGTCATTGTCAAAACATCTCCCATCAATTCTCCATTGTGGATGTATCTCATCAAGATCTATTCTTCCATTTAGATTCCGCCTTAGTTTATGTGCACAAGGGAGTCCCATGGTATTTTGGAAATGTCCTCGGCACTCATCCAATACTCTATTAGATGAGGCCAATTTATATTGATTTAAAAGTTGTTCAAGTGCATGTTTAGAGACATTTCCAAGAAGCCCACAAAACAAAGGAAGACGAAAACCGTGTGAGGTGCGAATTCTTTCACATTGAAGTTTTACTTTGATTTCTTTGACTTGATTTTCAATGGCAAAACATATTTTTTCTTTCACTTCTCGAAGATTACCTGTTGATACTTGAAGATACTTTTTGAGTGTTGAATGAGCACACTCTGCTTTTGAGCTTGCATGATTCTTGAAATGTAAATGTCTTTCTGTCCATGCATACACAAACCTTTCTTTGTATGGAAGCCAAGTGTTTTTTATATAATCAATCGCCAATGGCTTGTCTTTGTGTTTCTCTTCTAATAAACCCCATTTGTCATTGAAGCTTGCTTCATCAGTAGAATATATCACATCACTCCAACTTGACAAAAATTCATCAAACTCATCACCTTTCTCAAAAAATTTCTTACATTTAGCAAGCACATTCTTATGTATATGCCATACACAAAGAAGATGCGTGGTTTGTGGAAAGACTACTTGGATGGCATTCATTAATGCTAACTCCCTATCCGTAACAATAACCATGGGAAAATTTTCAACACCCAAAATCTTTTTAAATCTTTCAAGAGCCCAAATGTAATCTTCTTCTTCCTCTTTTTGCATGAACACAATGCAAGAGTAGAATGATGTATTAAAACTTGATACCCCAATAACATCAAGAAGGGGCATATTGTATTTGTTCGTCTTGTATGTGCAGTCCATGATAAACACACAAGGAAAATTCTTCGTCAAAACAACTGAGCTAGGGTGTATGAAAAATAGATGTGTTAAACGATCATATTCATCACGCTCAATGTCAAAAATGAATCCACCATCACCTAGCTCTTCAAACAATGCCTCAATCATGGTACGTCCCCCTAAATCTTCTTTTTTTATCTTAGCTCTTACATTATATAAAGATCTTGAATTTGCTTGAAGATTCGGATTGCTTTTACGAAGTGCAGACATGATTTCCCGAGGTGTTGAACCAGCCATAGACAATGTTTTCACAATTTGCATCTCATCGATTGAAAATCTACGACACATAGGATGCCCTGACATATCTTCTGAAGGCTCATGATTATGTGATAAGCTCTTAATGTCTAGCACCCAAAAACTTCCTTTTCTCTTTCCCCATACCTCAAACGGGCAATTTATGAGACGACTACCAGTAAATCTTTTTCTTTTATCGGCAGGAACTGTTGAACGATGTGTTCCACCTCTATCACAACCCAGAATCACATAATACTTTGGTTTAGATTTTCTTATAATCACCACAAACCCTTGCTCTAAAGCAACTCTCTGGACATAATTTTGAAGGTCAACACGGCTATGAAATTGTATAGTGCATGAACTCAGAAAATCACTTGATCCATTGTTCTGATCTTCTTTCACTATTTCATGGGATGTGTCACCTGTAAACATTAATTCTTATTGAAAACTACTTTCACCTAAAATACCCAAAGTTCAATTTACAAACCATAACTTCAAAAATGCATTAAATTTAATAAAACATTTCAACTCTCACCCAAGTACAATTCACTACTACAAAATAAATTTAATAAAATCAAAATTAAAAATTTACAGGCAAGACTTACACCCTTCCATGAATTCTTGACATGTTTCTTCTACGCTCCTCTTTTTCACGAGGTTTAGTATGTTCTCCAACTCAGATTGATCATCCAACTCAGGTTGAACATCCATCTTTAAAAATACCTTAAAAATATAAAAAACATAAGAAAATGACTAAAAGTTGTATGGTAAAGATGAACCAATGGGGCTGTAAAACCCTAGCCCACCTCTCTTTTCTGATTCACAAAGAAGCAATAGAGATAAAGATAACAATAATTGAAAAGTAAATGAACCTGAACTACGAATTTGGGATGTGCTTGCTTCCTCAAGTAGAAAGATCGAATGAGTTGGTGCAGAGGAATAATTGAAATGGGTGCTAATTGGAATAGGTACGGTGGTTGGAATATGAAAAGCTATTTTGATGGGTGGGTGGCTGATTAATTGTTAATAAAAGGGCAAGATGAGAAACATAAAAAAATATATTAGGAGGGTGGAGCGCCACTAACAAAAGTGGAGCGCGTATATCAATTCCCATTACACAGTCATCACTGATATATAACATCGCCAACATGTACTCTTACACTACATTACCATTACACTCTTGCTTTGGTCTTAAAAACTTAATATTTTTATTTTAATATTTTTATAATTTTTAAATCTTATCTAGGAAAATTTTATTTTAAGTTGTCTTCTATATCAATGTCTCAAGTTAGAAATAAAAATAGGGAGTATAAAATACTCGCCACATAAGAGGGAAAGTGAGCCGGGTCAAGTGGAGTTTTTGCTCGGTTCAGAAAACAACTCAAAGCGCCGGAGCTCTATTATTTTGGGACAAAAATTCGAGACAATTTCACTTCTCATAAGTCATAAAACTATATACGGAGTATAATTTTCAATAGTTTCAACATTACCTCATTGCTTCAAAAGGCTGTAAGAAATGTTTGATGTATGCAGTCTAACACATTTGTTTAAAATAGTGTCTAGATTATCTATGATGAGCATCAAAGATTAATTGACTAACTGTTATTTCACTACGGAAAAAAGCACAAACAATTTTAGAACTAATTTACTTTATTTTATCATATTCAAAACCAAAATATAGTGAATCTTTAGCTCCATCAAATAAATTAAAATTAAAATTACAAGTCTCTCATATAATACTCCAGTTGCCGAACACATGAAAGTATTTGATATGAAATTGGGTTAAATATGTTTTTTGTCTCTGTAAAATAAACAAGTCTTACTATTGAATTCATGTTAAATATGTTTCATGGAAGTCATTCTTAGATTTTTTTTAAAATAGTAATTAACACTTCTAATAAGTTAATATTTCACATTTATTTCATACTTAACATATAAGTCTTGCATTCTAATTACTTCTGATACAATTTCCAAGCCCAAAGTATTTACTTATTCATAATACATCCCCAACACCTTAGAGCATCTACAATGGGTATTGTAAATTTTGATAGTGTATATTGTATTTTACACTACCAAATGTGTTTTAGCAATCCATTTTTCATAGCTCCTCCAATCATTTCTCTTAAATAATACACTTTTTTTATATATTATTATTTTTAAAATATTTATTTGTAATAATATTTATATTTTTAAAATAATTTTATGGTACATGCATTTCAAACTATACATATATTGAGTATTTTTATAAGAAACAAGAAATATAAATGTATTTTAATAAATATATAGAAAAAATGAATTTACAAGATGAGAATAGCATGTAGTGTATTAATACAAGGTGAGACTTTCTTTTTACAATATAATGTTAATTTTGCCCTACCCATTTGAATGACAATTTTGCTATAGGGTCTTGTATATAATGTATTTTTTACAATATACAAGACCCATTAGAGTTGCTCTTAGGCATGCAAAATCAACTTTTTTAGGATGGGGGCAGAGGCAACTAGGGGTGGGCGGAGGAGTTTATGAAAATTAGAAAAATTAATTTTAAAAATAGAGCCCCATAGATATTCCAAACCATAGATATTCCAAAGTGTTGTACACTTTTACATAGATATTGTAGTAAGATTAATCCCCATCACTTTTTTACTTTTATTTTGTAACACTTATTTTAATTCAAATAAATAATCTAAAAACATTAAAATTATAAAATAATTGAACATTTTATAAAAGATTGTAACAATTGAACATTTCATTAAAATATAAAATTTAAATAAGAATTGCAATAGCAATGCGACTAAGAAATATAACCTTTTTAAACAAAAATGTGGTGTTCATTAATATTTTTAAACACTTAATTTAATTTAAATAATTAAACTAGAGCAATTAAAAACTAAAAATAAGACAAGAAAAAGAAGCAACAAAATAAAGATAAAAGTAGGAAAAAATAAAGGAAAATAAAGAAGGATGAACGAGGAAGCAAAAAAAAAAGTAGAAAGATCCGACCGGGAAAACGGGGAGAGAGTCCTACTCTTCCCGTTCCCACGGGGGTTCCCTTTCCTTGCCGCACCATGTGACCTTTCCTGCGGCACACCCCATGGTCTAATTGCAAATGTCACAGAACCACATAAAATCAAAATACTTTTATGTAACCAGACTCCGTTCCCATATCAAAACATATACGGAGTATCAAATATTGTGTGCACACGCAAAGTGGCACCACTATAAAACATCATTCTATTCCTCCTCGGGAACGGTTGAATTTGACTTCACAACATCCTTGTCCACTTCCATTGCCATAGCTTCTTCATCGGTTTTGTCCTCCTTTGTCCCTGCTTTTAATCTCTGACCATTGGAAGAAAATTTGCAAACAGAAGTTGCTTAATTATCATCCATCAATTAAGTTGATTGCTATGAGCAATTGGATCCCAATTATAATGTGTCTAATAGATGTGCTCTAATTCCCATCTGCAAAAGCCTGGAAAAAGAGCACTGTGCCGGTGAGCGTTGTGCAGTTTGCAAAAAAAAGGGAGTACTAAGGGGTAGACTCGAGTTCGGTTCCTAGCAACTGTGCTGGGAGACAACTATGCTAAGCATAGGGCCTCTGCAAGTACAAGGTACAGACTCCAGTTTCTGCCACTAATCCGCAATTAAAGTCTAATTTATCTCCTCTCAATGACCGTCCGACTATGTCTAAGGGGACCCTCGGGGATGGAGCTCATCCCTTGAAAAAATAGCAGTGGCTTTAGTGCATCTACTGTTTAGACAATGCAACTCCTAGATGCTTCATTTTGAGGTGCCACACATTGTCTCAAATACGTCCAATGTGGGTTCGTTTGCATTTGAGTGAAAAGGATGCACTGATGTGTAGGGCTGTACATGGATAATCGAAAACTCGATTACCGCCTGCATATGTATCCTTTTACACAGAAAATATTTGCATCCGTTTAAAGCGATTATTTCCTTATCCAATTAAGGACATCCGATTGGTAAATGGATACAGATTTGGTAATCATACATCCAATCCGTTTATAATCCGCTGCGCAAATACATTTGTTTGAGTAACCTTTTGTTCATTATCCAATTCGTTTATATATAGTTTTTCCCAAATTTTATTTTTACAATTTTGTTTTTCTATTAACATCTAAAAGTATGTGTAGACACACAAATACGTGTGTATGTGTAGTATGTAATACTCCGTACTTTTTACACTACATAGATTTTTTGTAGAATAGTATAGATTATAAAGTATAAGAAAAATACCACTCTGTAACAAATTATAATTGAACTAATATATTAAAAGTATTTATATATACCACTATGTATATAGTTTAATTTGACTTTGAAAATTTAGAAACGGATGCGGATACAGTTTTGATTATTAGCATCCGTCAAAATCCGTATCCGAATTCGATATCCGATAAAAATAAATGGATACGGATTTGGTTATGACAGGTCCGATCTGATTAACATCCGTTTACACCCATACTCATGGGTAAAGAGGTAGAATTTAGGTTCTGTTTATTTCATATGAGGCTGAGGATAAGTTTGGTGTCAAAATTGTAGTGTCTTAAATTCTTTGACACTGTTGTACATCAATTTGTCATCCAAACGAATAGAAAAAGCTGACCTTTTTATCTGGAGAATTTTCATTCAGCATGCGTGCAAACATGGTTGTGTAGAGATTTGCATCTCTCTTGTTGCTCTCAACTTGAAGTTGTTTCAAATTCTTCTGCAGTAACTTCACCTCCCTGTGAATTGCATATGCTCAGGGATGTAGTATTAATTAAAGATATTCACTCGCAATAAGCCCAATTACCCAAAAAAAGATGGTATTTCATTTATTTTTTGCAAAAAAAGAAAAGATAAAGAAACAAGCTTGCGCTAAGGATTCTTGCATTACCTATTCTCAGGATCGATTTCCAGGGATTTCTTGATGTCCAATTCGGCCAAGTGCAGATCATTTGTTTTCATATAAGCTTGAGCTCTCCTGTATAGTGCCTTTACATTTGAGGGTTCAATATTAAGGACCTAGTGGTCACATGAAGGAATCCTGTCAGACTTTCTCCAGTGCTGTAAAGATTACTTCCCCAAACTTTGATAAGAAACTTGGGATATTGTCCCTTGGAAATTATGCTTTTTTGGTTGAGTAGAAAAGGAATGCTGAATACTTATACCATAGAACATTGCTTGATTGCTTCCTGAAAATTATCTAATTTGAGAGAACAAGCAGCACCATTCAACCAGCATGATACTTGCAGTGATTTGATGAGCTTCTGATCATCAACTTCAAAGGGACTACCCTCGCTGACATAGTCCACAGCCTAGATAAACATTTGGCACATTTTAATCAACAATGGAAAAATGACGCGTCCCACAGAAAATTAAATGTCTACAAACATATTTTCAGTACCTTAGCATATGTTTTTAATGCTCTTTGATACTTTCCAAGTTTGAAGAGTGCATTTCCGCCTTCTTTCTTTCTGCTGGCTATTTCTATTCTCTCGTGAATACTCATTTCCCAAGGATCCTTCTCCTACAATCAAAAGATTGTTTTGAATTCAGTCAGAACCTAAGCAGCAAGATTGCACCTATGTAAGTATGTGCACCTTAGGTGCATGCAAGTATTTGTCACTCTCTACTGACTACTGATAAAGAAGACTACCCTTGTGAATTCTAGCATTTCTACTTCATATATAAGGGTTGAGCAAGGAGGAACTGTTGTGAGGTCGCACTTCACTGCATTGCTTCCAAATCCATACTCCGGCTTTACTGTCACGATTGCATGCTCACCCTTCTTCATTGTACTTACAGCCCGGTCTAATCCAGTTACAACTTGTTCTACAATAAAAGTATAAATAACAAAGAAATATTTTTTAAAAAAACATAGCAGATTACATGTCTAATAACTGCTCAGGCAAGGCGTTATAAAAACCTTTCATAGGCCTATACATTATTTGCCTTATTCAGCAAGCCTTGTAATAAAAGCAATTGATACCATTACCTCTATTGCGGGTTTGGAAGGTCTTTGTTCTAGCAGGCGTGACAGATCAAAGCCTCTTCTTTTTATTTTCATAGAAGGGCAGATTGGGATAGATTTTTTTGTATTACAGTTTGTTCATTTGAAATGTATTCTCTAAGAAGACAGTAAAATAGCTCATCTTCTGTGTGTGTAACGGTACACACACACGGACACACCTTCATCTGTTGTAAAGTCCCAGGGCTTCTCTCCATCAAACCCTTTTTTCTCGAATAAAGTGCCATCCTCAAGCTTAGCTGAATACCTAACTGGACATTTACAACTGAGAAGTATGAGGGTTTCAAAGAAGCAGAACTACACTACAAGCTCATAAGAAGAACAGTGTGTCAAAGGTTGGAATAGACTCAATAGAGCCTTGATGAATTACAATTTTTGAATTGATTTCATAGTATGCCCATGGGAAAAACTAAAGGGTTGGCATTATACTAGAGTGAAGCTCTACATTCTTATATTGTACTCCGTATTTCCATACTGACAATAATTCCAATGATATTTGATCAAAACATGTCAGTGAACTGTTTTGCATTAAGTAATAATTAGTACTTCTATTGTATTCAGTGAACTGTGAGAATTTCCAATTTAAATGATATTTTTCTCACAGCACTGCCTTGGGCCATTTGCATTTATTAAGAGATGAAAACACGGTAGAAATGCAAAACACTTACTACTAACAGCGGTGCTTTCATTTGCCGTGTGTGTTCCTTCCCCCTCTTTCAAAATCTTTTTTAAAACTCCAAAATTACCGGTCACATCAATCACAGGCTTGAAGGATACCAACTCCAAATCAATACTTAGTTCAGACCCAGGGGGAACCAAAGGGGAGCTGAAGGTAGAATTCTTAACCCCGTCGCTAAAGGCATCTGAAGAAATGTAAAATTAAGAAATGTGACTAACACTTGAAATTTAAATGCTGTTAGCACGTGTAGTGTCAAGTGTGCAAACAGTCTGCCGAGAGATGGACAAAATTATGAGAGGGAAAACAAGTCCGGAAATTTAAGTAGGATGAAACCAATAGAATGATTTCTACATGTTTGCACACGTGAACACACACGCGCACACACACATTCACACAGCAAATAGAGCAGATAGACATCCTGAAATGAGCAAGCTATGTAAAGAGTCTGACTTATGATTACACTGGATGGAGTCATGGAAAAGGGTAGAAGGTCCTCTAGAGCACATGTGCATACATCCCAAGTCAAAATTAATAAATGTAATATGTAGTTTCCGTCAAAGTCAAAGAAAACCAATCATTGTCCAGAATAAGCCAAACTAGTATTGCCATGCTTCAGTGTGAGTGTTCTTTTATGACTAGCATAGCTAGTTGCAGCAGAATAGCAATGCATAAAGAGCAAGTACAATATCCTATTTTGTTATATCTTTGAAGAGCCTACATGCATTATTACAAGCACCATTGTTACACATACTCAATCCAACTGCCAAAAAATCAAATATTTGACCTCATTAATAAATGAAATGAAGCTTATGGGTTCAAAATAAAATACAAAGAAAATAGATTAGCATAAGACTGTTCTTAATAGTAAAGATTGCCATATCCAGCCACCTAGGCACTAGACACCCCTAGGCCAAATTACTTATAATCCAGACTATAGGATTGAGCCAACTAGATGCCTTTATGACCACTCCATTTTTGTATTACTAATGAAGTATTAGACATCATCGTCATCATCATTGTTAATTTGTTATAGTTTATACTTCTGGGATGGCCTAAAGGTCCAACCCAACCTTTGGGCTGTAGATGGGAATCATGGGATTTAGATTAAGTTTGAAAATATGGGGACAGTGGGGAAGGACAGAAGAGCAAATGACCCAACAGCTCTATATATCAACATAGACCAATTGTAAATTTGTAATGATTACAACTTACAAGTGCCCCAAGGCAATGCATAGGTGCACTCAACGCTCTGGAAATTATATTCTAAGTATGTTACCGAAGTAGGATTGGAACAGCGCAACTGCTCTCAAGAATTCTCCAAAATCCAATCTCATTTCTGGGGAACGATGCAGCTTGCAGGTATTTATAGGCTTGGAGATCTACCGGTCTTGTCACATGTCGTACTCTCATTGGAACAATACTTTGACATTCTGTGTCTGCGAGGTGGTATGGGTGCAAAAAGACGTGTGCTATGCCTCATCATACACCAAGGTACAGGTGGTCTGTGCTTTGTCCCCTAGTGAATGGCAGTGAAATAGTTTGACTGTCACGCCCTACAAGTCAAACCTCAGGACATAAGCGATCTATTTTTATGTTTGACTCGAGCATTGGTCTCAAACCGGTAGCCGAGCTGGCTTGTCATGCTTCGACTGATCCTCAGACTACGGCACCGGGCTCCCAAGTCCATCATTCTTATTCAGGAATCAAGATTAGGCCTTTTCTTGAGACAGATATTATCTTAGCCAATATCCCAAAGATCATCGTCGTCGTTATCACTTTCATCTCAACTAGTTGTGTAAGTGGTATTGTCAAAATCATGATGCTAAATTATTGTCTAAAATTAGTTAACAGTATAAATTCACTCAAATAAGCAAAGCGATAATGTTTTAGGACAGATGCCCTCTGTGTTGTAGCCTTCCAAGTTCTAACAAGTGATTCACGAGATGAAGTTCTAAAACTATCAATCCATTGTCACCATGAAGAATAACTATCAATCGATTATCACCATGGAAAATCTTATGAGGCAGATATGAGTCGTGTTAGTTGTTATTGGTCAATCCATGATTGATATTGTAAAACCCACATGCAAATGAAATACGATCATATATAAGTACTATACCTACATTAGAATAATATATTCATATTTTATACAATCCCTTGAATATGTAGTCATTTGAATTAAGTATTTGATGAGAACTGTCTCATAAGCCATCACAATGTTTTTCTCATGAAAAATGCTAGGGGTACACCAAAGGTGTTTTGGTGTACCCCATTTGTCCCCCACCCCCTCCTTGTCCACATAAATGGGCAAGAGACTAAAAAAATACGGAGTAAAAAAATAAAATAAAATAAAAATGAGTGGTGGAGAAAGGGGTGGGGGACAAATGAGGTACACTTTTGGTGTACCCCTAGCATTGCTCTTTTCTCATTTTCGAAGGGCTAGTCGCTGATCAACTACTTGCACAACATTATTCACAATAATTTATTTATGAAGCTACTATCAAGTAAAGTAACAAGAGATAGGGAGTGACCGAGTGAACATACACTGATGCTGGACAATTAAATTCACTTTCTCTCCCCTTTTCATTGTCTTGATTGCTTTAGGTATCGCTTGACAAAAATGACCTAAACAGAAGCAAACATATGGGTTGTAAAAGAGCACAATATGCTTGGATAAAAACAAGTAGCCAAACATTTACGTTTTTTCTTAAAAATAAAATATCAAGGTACCATCTCTAACGTAAAATTCTACTCCCTCCTCAGCTGTTTTTGAAAGAATTGCACCATCAGTCGTAGTTGCTGAGTACCTTACTGTCACATAAGTAGAACTAGTAAGATTACATTTATGAAGTACTACAACTCAATATGGAGATAATGTTAAGGACTGTCAGATAACTCATAAGAAAGAACTCTCTACACGAATTGAAGGAAGGAGTGTGTTGAGTACCTAAAACTTCATCTAGTTCGCCAGGAGGACCAGTCTGGTCCCCCTTTGCCATAATCCTCTTGAGAATACCACCATCCTTGCAGACATCTACAACTGTGATCCATGATAGGAGTTCTACTTCGAACAGCGTTGCAGCATTTGGAGGAACACCATCTGTGCCTTTTACTCCATACGCCAGTTCGGGGGGCAAAGTGAACAATGCAGTTTCACCTCTGGTCATTGTCATAATCCCATGATCCAAGCCAGAAACAAGTAGCCCTACCCAACAACTATCTCAACTTTAATGGAATGATAATACATAGAAAAAAAATCAAAATTGGCAGTGATGATATTGGTAAACGTGAAATAAACTCGGACGAAAAAGAGAGGAAACCCGGCACAAAGGCTATAGATACAACTAGGACATACCTTTGCCAAGCTTGAAAGTGAGGGGCTGATCTTCTCCCCGGGTTGAGACAAATTTGGTTCCATCAAGTAAAAATCCCACATAGTGAACTGCAAATTACTCAACGGCAGACATTGTGAGAGAAGACGAAGAGCATTTAACTCAGAATCTAAACAGGAACGCGAAGGGAACATACGAATATCACTAACAGAAATGAATCGGGAGTACCAGTGACTTCATCGCCGGCCTCAGGAGTCTCCAAGCCGTGGCCAAGCTTGAGAAGCTTCTTCTTGAGGCTAGTGCCGTCGCTGCACCTGATTTCTCTCTCCTCGCCCTCCTTCAGCGGTGGCGCCGACTCGACCACTTCCCCTGGCTCTTCGTCGAGCTCGTCGTCCTCGTCAATGAAATTCGCCGCAGTAGCTAAAGAGAATTCAACCATTTCCGGCTGGCCTGATCGGATTTCACTTGCTGCGGAGTAGTTAGTGATCAATTGCTTTTTTGCCCTTACACTTTACCTCAATTACATGAATATTTTTAGTATATTCATGTAATTATACTCGAAAATAAGCATTTAGTTACTCGATGATGAATATTTTATTACTTGAAAATGAATACTTAATTACTTGGCATTGGGTATTCATGTGAATGTACGGAAAATACCATGCATCAAATATATGGTATAGATACTCACACTTTACCATTTTGTACCCTACTTATTATGCACAATTGCATTAAAATCCCTTTTTGGGAAATTATAGATTGCCCCAAATTTTCTAACAAGTTTGTAATTAGACTAGAGATAATAATTCATCTATAATCACAGTGTTAAATTAGAAAGAGAAAAAAAATTGGTCACTAAGAGTAACACATTTTAACAACAGTTTTTCTCCCCTAAAAAAAGATGCATAAAACCACATTTAATGAGAGTATATTTAAACCGTCATATTGATTTCTAACTAAAAGTCTTTTTTCTTGTAGTGCACTCGGTCCGAGACAACTCTTGTCTTCTACCCAATGGGTGTTTATGTGTGATGATAATCATTAGCGTATTACCTATTAATGAGTCATTTAGGGACACTTTAATAAAAGATTAAAAGCCATTTTGTGACTGATTTAGTCAAAACAGAGAAAGAAAAGAATTGGGTAAAAATTCCTTACTTATAAAAAGTTTATAAGTCGCCTTATAAGCACATAAATCAACATACTTATAAGTTAAAACAACTTATATAATTAAGTAGCCTTAACTAATTTATAAACACAGAGAAATGCTTATTAAATTGAAGGATCATATAAGACTATCGATTCGAAATTAGACCGATCTCAGAGACCATTCTGACACCTAGTTTTTCTCGTTGGATCTCAAAATAAGAGTAGAATATATAGAAAAATATATAAGCATGACTTTTAGGGGCTGTTTGTTTCAGCCTCTTAATGGTTCAGATGTCTGAATGATTCAGCACTTAATGGTTCAGACTGTTTGTTTCAGCCTCTTAATGGTTCAGATGTCTGAATGGTTAAGTATTATACAGAGTCTGAATGGTTAAGAGCTCTTATCTGAATTGATCAGACATTTGCCTCTGAATAGTTAAACAATATACTAGCTCTTAATGGTTCAGACCTCTTACTGGTTCAGCACTTAATGGTTCAGACCTCTTACTGGTTCAGCACTTACCCATTCAGAAGTTACCAAACAGCCCCTTAGTATGTGTTAATCTCTCTAAATAGGGCCTATGTTGAAAACTTAAAATGAGAGAGAGTCTAGAGAGAGAGCAGAAAGACTAAAATGAGAGGGAGACGTCAAGGAAGCAGAGAGAACCAAAACTTTTGGCATTTTCCCAAGCCCCAACAATATATGTTAATAATCTCAACATATAACAAATAGTACTAAAAAAAACTATAAAATTTTAACCAATATACAATGTCACGCTATTATAATTCTATTTTTTTGTTATAAAACGATTATTCATATCTTGAAGATAGTGACTATGTTCTGTTACTATTTGAGAGAGAGCAATGTTAGGAGTAAGGGCGGACACAGTTCTAGTACGAAACCACCACCGGCGCCGGAATCGGCGGTTCTGCCACTAGACTGGAGAAGGGGACCGGTTACGAGAACCAGACCTGAAATCGGTGGACACGGGTCCAGTTCCGGGCCGGTTACCTATATATACTCCAAATTTATTTAAAATCTACACATCATATTCTCTCAATCTCTCTTTCTCTAAATATCTAATTCTTCTAAATTCTCAATATAATCATATTTATATATTTTTAATTTTTGTATACTATAATCATATATTATAAATATATTATATATTTGTATTATAATATATTTGAAATACATTATAATATAGTAGTATAAATTTAAAATATTATAATATTCTAATATATCGTCTTTTTTATCAATATACATAATATATTAAAATACCGAGGAAGTCTGGTAGAAGGTGTGTAGATATGAGCGTTGTGCACCGTGGATGTGGAGTTTCTAACAAAGGCAAAGGCAAAGCCAACGCCACCTCCAATGATTCGAGCTCACATGCTTCTCAAGGGAGACCTTTGTCTCTTGTTTCCCTACAATCCCTGATTAATTCATGGACGACGCTATGAGTGACCAAGAATTTGAGCAGTACATAGGCGGCATGAGAGGTAGGAATGATGCAAATCTTCAAATGCTTGAAGATATATTCGAGGACGTTGATGAGGAGGTCAAACCAACACCCGGGGGCAACGATCCTACCAACAGGGACGAGGAGACACGTGAGCCCGAGACCTCTAAAGGTCCGAGGAAAGGTAAAAAACCTAAATATAATTTATTTATACACCATTTTTATAAAAATACAAAAAATGGCATAAAAATAGGGATTCGCAACCATTGTGGGACAAACATTTGACTGCGATCTTGGGTTATGGTGGATTGACCAGATACCTCAAAGCGAGGCACACTCGTGGAGTACACCAAAATGATGGCAAAGAAGGGACAAGTACAAGCCCAAATTTCTTGCTTTGCAAACAAGGGTAAGGGCGGCATTTTTACTTATAGTGATGAGCAAAATAAGAAAAAAAAAGCCGAAATGATTTGTGAGAAAAATTTACTATACATATTTTTTGAAAAACTTAGATTTTTTGATTATTGTCAAACCGTACTAAACTCTCAAGCAAAAGCCTTTTCAAGAAAAATAATTAAGAGAAATTATTAGACCATATAAAGTGAAAAAATAATATTTTAGTAAATTTTTTCTTATTTTTAGTTCTCGTGTTACAATTTTTCTAATATTTAGAATGAAATTTATCATAATTTGTCTTACATGACAGTTACTTGTCATTGGATAAATAGTGATTGGATAATGCATAAATGTGTTGTTCCATTGCGTAATTTCAATGAATCTCACACAGGTGATAATATTGTTGTTTTGCTTGAGTGTAATCTAAAAGAATATAATTTTCTTGATAGAGTGGTTGCATTTGATTTTGATAATGCTACTAATAATATTACTGTCATTTCTAGACATAGAAAAATTTGTTCCCCTAGCACTTCCATGGGTAGATTTCTACGTTTGTCTTGTTTTAAATTTCTATGTTCAACAAAAATTAACAGCTATGAGGAAAATCTTGTCAAATATTAATGGTGGTTTAAAAAGATTTGAGCTAGACGTATTCATTCGAAGGTATGTAAGTTTTTATGTAAAGTTAGGAATCGAAGACCAATAACATTCGCTAAGGACATTACGATGAGATGGAATAGTACTTATAAATTGATTTCACAAATTCTATACTATAAATAGGAACTTGCTTCATTTCTCATGTATGAACTTCATCATATGCTTGATTTGAATGAATTTATTTTTGTTGAAAAATTAAACATGGTGTTAAAAGTTTTAAATAATGCAACTCTTACTTTATGTTTACAAACCTACGATAAATAGATTTTTTTCTGAGCGTATTACAATTGTAACATGTTTTTGCGATACTTTATCTGGTCTATTTTTATACCCATATGTGGATCCCCTTAAAACCTTTTTTTGTCTTTAGAGCTGCTGTTTCTAACGTAATTCTGCCTCGATGAGTTCAGGTGGTACAAGTGTAAATTCGCACTATTAACTTGCGAGGTACCAAGGGGTCTAATGCGACTACGATGAAGACAAGATAACGAGTTCGGCGTCCTCAAATGATAGAAGCGGATTGTACACATGTTCCCGTCTCTCGGAATGCTAATCAGACAAGTATTATGCATGCCGAAACAATAGTTCAGTTCTAACGGCAACATTCTAACTGACCACCGAAGTAGTATTAGCATTGAATCATTTGAGACACTTGTTTGCAATCGAGATTGGTTCTTGCCAAGATGTCGAGCTTAAGGGTCAAGGTACGGCATTGATACACAAAATTACATGGATGTAACCATAGACGAAAGCGGTAATTCTAAGGAATAAATTTGTATTTCTATTTTATACCCCTCCGTCGGTCCGTCCACTAAAGATTTTCCATTGCGCCTTACGAGGCAGGCATGCCCTTTACCCTGCCGCTGCTGATGCTCTAAGCATGGCCATCCTCTTTGTAGATCACATTTGGGATCCAATTCAATTCTATCCAGCTTATTGTTTGGAATCGATCGAACTCAACGAAGCCCTTGTCTGCCATGAGGGTGAAGAGAGAGAGAGCAAACTAAAATTCTGGTTTTCTGGGCCGCAGGGATACATCAGAAGCTAGCAACAATTGAATGGAAAGCAAAACCATTATTTTGAAATGAATAATCCGATTGATTACAGGGCATCTTCAACAGTACTAGTAGAAATTAGGGCACAGATCAAACCTGAAACGGCACGGTGTTGTACAACTTGAACCGGCCCGGCCGCCGGCACACCCATGCGCAGAATCAGGAGCGACCCGACCCGAGATCGAACACTGCAGAAATCTACAATTACACACAAAATCAAATCAAATCAAAGCTCTGATTAAATCAATTTTCAATTCCCGGGTGAAAATTGAAGATCAAAATCCATGAACGGCACTCCGCTTGTTGGGGACGGCGTAGCTTTTGCTCCTCGGATACTTGACCGAGTCGTCTTCCTCCCCGGGACCGCTCTCCTCGTCGATCCTCCCCATCGCCGCCACGCTGCTGCTCCTCGGCACCCTCTGCGCGGCGGCGGACTGTTGCTGCTGCCTCACGTAGATCTGCATCAGCCTCTCCAGCTCCATCCGGCTCTCCATGCCGCGCGTGGACGCCGCCTTCAGAAGCTCCCGGAAGTCCTCGCTGTCGCTCGATCCGTACGAGCTGGCGCTGTAGCTCCGCTGGACTCTCGGCGGCTTGGGAAGATTGGCGACGGCGTAATTGGTCATGCCGCTCACGTAGCAGTCCCGCGTCCTCGTCAGACATCTCAGCGGAAGCGCCAGAATCCGCAGGAATCTGTTCTGCCCGCCCTTCCCTTTCATCCTCAATTAACGTCTGTAATTACCTCTCTGTGAATTTGAATGATGATTTCGATCGAGAATTAGGGAAGAAGTTGGGTTTTATTTTATAGTAGCAGCAAGACCAATTATTTCAAATAAAAAAAATTAAAATAAATTATTTTGGGCTTGTTTGGGAATATTGTTAGAAATTAGTGTTAGCATTTTGGATAAAATTTTAACGGTACAGATTATTTTGAAAACGCTAACGCTAATACTAATGGCTAAAGCTATTCCCAAAAAGGTCCATTAACAAATTAGGTGAGCGTGATCAAGATGAAGAAGGATAAGAACGAGCTTCATTTGAGAAAAATGGGACGCGTTGTCGGCTAGACTCGAAAAAACTGACTCAGCCTTCATCTTATTTTTTTATTTTACTCCTTAAAATTTGAAAGTGTTTTTTCTAGTTTCTTTATTTTGAATTAAATTAAATACTCTGTATGTTTTAATTATTAATCAGTCTTAATTTATATTACATTTTAATACAATCGAATAAAATTTTAAACATTCTAACAAAATAAATCTAATTTTTTTATATTAATATACATCATAATTTTTATTTAATTAATCTTAAAATTTACCCTGTTGACTTATGAAAGTCAAATGGGATGAATGTATTGTGCCCGAAGGTACTCCATAATATTTTACGAGTTGTGCTAAGGTAACTCTAAGTTTTTGATACCATGATTGATTCTATATTTTACACAAACACACACAAATACTAATTGTTGGTACGATGTTAACATCTATGATCTATGCATGTGTGTGCAAAACATTATGTTAATGATAGTGTTAAAATTGTAAGGTCACACTAACAATTTTGGTATTTTACGATCATATATACAAATATGAAAATATTTTGTAAATCCTTTTTTGTTACGGAGTACAGAGAAATGAATGAATTACTCAGAATTTTCCTTTTCTTCTTGATAAATCTTAATAATTCCTCCTTCCTAAATTCTCGTTTGCTTTTTTACGTAATTTTAAAAAAATTAAATTATTTGGTTGAGGTTTATGGAAGATAAAAATATTAATACGAACCATTTATTTTATTTTTTTAAAAAGGAATGAAAAGAATATTTTTTAATAATCCAAAAAGAAATGTACAAAATCAATTTGGGAGGGAGGAAATAGTTAATAAGACTTTCGTTATTACAATCAATGACACCACCTAGGAAAATTTTGTCAAAGTCTTTATCGGACCAGTTAGGCAAGGTGGCTTCTAGATTCTAAAAGCCAACTTTTCTTCTTTCACCCACGCCCCTTGTTTTAGCAAATGGTGGGTAACTATTTACTCTCCTTCCAAAATATCTGTCACATTTATTTTTCTAGCAGTCGCGAGAATTTTTGTTTATTTCTACGTTTTCATTATTTATTTGATAAAATAAAATATTCTTGACACCTATTATTTCAAAGAACTTTTCATGTACTTTTTTTATGTAAATTTTATTTTTTATTTTTATACCAATATGTAGGGACAGAGAGAGTAGAATTTAGAGGCTAAAGAGATCGTACTCAGGGGCTGTTTGTTTCAGCCTCTTAATGGTTCAGATGTCTGAATGATTCAGCACTTAATGATTCAGGGTGTTTGTTTCAGCCTCTTAATGGTTCAGATGTCTGAATGGTTAAGAGATTTGCCTCTGAATGGTTAAGTATTATACAGAGTCTGAATGGTTAAGAGCTGTTATCTGAATTGATCAGACATTTACCTCTGAATAGTTAAGCAATATACTAGCTCTTACTGGTTCAGACCTCTTACTGGTTCAGCACTTAATGATTAAGACCTCTTACTGGTTCAGCACTTACCCATTCAGAAGTTGCCAAACAGCCCCTCAGTGTCATGATATTTTAACTTTGAAAGCGAACACACGCCTCGAAGGGTTCCCAAGTATTATACTCTCTCCGTCCCACTGTGTTTGTCCACTTACCTTTTGACACACTATCTAATGCACTTCTTTAATCCATTTTATCTTGTAATTTGTATATTAAAAAATTATACAAATTATATATTAATAATCTATATGTTAAGACGAATCAAACAAGATCACACATGACTATTTTTAGGCTTACACATTAAGAGAATTTGATGAGTCAAAGTGCTTAGATGAACAGTTCCAAAAGTCAAATGTGGACAAAGACAATGGGACGGAGGTAGTATATTTTAGTATAATTAGAATAACTATTTGATCAGTGGTTTCATAATAATCATTAAAGAATTTTGAAATTGTAGAGTACACACTTCGTTAAATTTGTTATGATAAAAGTCTCTAACTAATGGAGGTTCCAAAGGGGCAGTGTACCTCTTGGCGAGGATTCGGGGGCAGTGCTCTGAGCAGGGTTTTAGGCCGACAACCCCGAGGGGCAAAGCCCCTGGCTGGGGTCGAAAATCATGTTGTGTCAAAAATTCATTTTGAATTTTTAGTTTTTAGAATTTGTTTAAGGGTTCTTTTCCAAAAATATGCACCTTCTAAAAATCGCACGATTAGACGCGAGTTTTAGATGAGAGACACAACCGCATCTTCCTTCATTCCGCGGTTACATGAATTCGGCAAATTCTTGGTCGCATAGAGCAGTTCGAAAAAATTCATATCAACTTATACATGTTCTTGTATGTCAAAAATTTGAGTTTTATCCGATTAATTTTTAGATTGAACACCCAAAATAATAAATCCGAAAGTGTTACACGATTTTCAAATTAATTCGTGTTATATTCGATTTCTCCAACGCCAAGAACATTAAGATTTAAGCCCTTTAATTTGCAAAGTTCATCTGTATTCATATGTTTTTTGTGAGGCATTTTTTATTTTATTTTAAATTTATTTCACAATATTTATAAGCAAAAATATTACAGAGTACTATGTTACAAACAAAAGAGTAAATTAGAAGTAAAACATAGACAGAGTATTAAAATAGGAGATCCAAATTTTTCGAATATGACTCACAATAATATAGAGAATGTCAATATATAATAGAGTAAATTCCCAAAATAGTCATTTATAATAAGGCCGTTTTTCCCAATTTAGTCCTTTTTAACGAGTAATGAACAATATAGTCCTCTATAATTAGGAGTATTCCTCAAGTAAGTCTTTTTTTAACTGTCGTTAAGTCTCTATTAAATAATTGGATAATTTCATTATTTTTGTATACATGTCATCAATTGGTCTTTTCCTTTGTCAATCTAGCCACCCTAATTATAATTGCCTCCATTCATTCTCATTTTCTCTCTATTTTATGCACGAAGCAAATATATATTCTTCTTTGCTGCTTAATTAACAACTTTTCTTACAAAAACAAGTTGGCATCTTCTTGTGCCTAATAACTTTGAAGTTGTAAAAAAAGCAAAAACAAAAAACAAATGTTGGCATCTGTTTTGTCTAATAGCATTGAAGTTGTAAAAAAAAGCAAAAAGCCAAAAAAGCTTTGTGCGTAATGACATTCAAATTGCAAAGAAGCAAACAACCAAAAAAATACACCTATCTTCAACATCTCCCCACTTGCTTCCTGCAATGTCGCATCTCTTTGAGAGTACATGTCTGCCATTTTGCTTACCCCTTCCTAGAATTCAAAATATGTGTCACAGGCTTTTTGGACAAGTGCTAAAGTTGAAGCAGCTTGGTAATCATTTAATGAAGCTTCTTGCACACAAACTGCACTTTGAAGTGCCCATTTTCTTATGAGAAGTTGTTTCTTTTTCTTTTCTTTTGCTTGAGTCAATAAATACATTCACAATAAAACAAGGAAAAGAAATTTCATGTTAAAACAAGTAGATTCCTTAAACAGACAGTTATTGAAAAATCATCCTCTTCGTCGCTTCCAGTATCGTCTTCTGCGTATTCATCATCACCAATATCACCACTATCATTACCTCTATTAAATCTAGAATCACTATGTAACACCACCCAAAGTTCCAATTCACTTGGTAAATCGTCAACATGAAACAACTCCCACGCATCACTATTTGTCACTAGCTCTTTTAAAGTAGTGCCACTTTGAACATATATGTCAATGTCTTCCCCGTTCTTATAGCCATATTGTTCTACATACTCCCTCCGTCTCTAAATAGATTGCAATTTTTTTCTCTCCTCTCGATAATTTTTGTTTGTTTACGCAATTTTATTAAGTATTTGATAAAATAAAATATTCTTATCACCTCTTGTTTTGTAGAATTTTTGAAGTAGTTTTTTAATATATAATTTTTATATCTTTTTGATATACCAATTTGTAAATAAAATGATTTCAAAAAGTAAAAAGTTTTACTCCGTAACCCGTAATTTGTAATCAAATTGGGGACGGAGGGAGTATGACTTTATAATCTTCATGCCACACTGTTCATAGGCTCCATCTTTACCCAACTTTCCACCAAGCTTGAATATTACTTTTAATGTGCCTAATTTGCAATAAATAAACAAATACCAAACATTAGCAGTAAAAAAAACCTCAAAGGATCACTTACCTATACTTCCATAGCAGTGGCGGATCCAGAAAAAAATATGACTGGGGAAAATACACGGTAAAGAGTATGGTGGGGTTCCGGGGTGGCACTCCCGATTTTTTTAAAGCGTTTGATAATGATAAAAAATAAATAAATTTAATTTCAAACAAGCATTAAAATAAAAAATACTTTTATAGTAGAAAAAAAAGTTATAAAATATATCATAACATAATATAATTATGATATTTCAAATATTTTACCTGTATATGTTTTTAAGTGATTATTTTTTACTTTTAAACTAAGATTTTATTTTGTTAGGGGAAATTAATTTTAAAGGGGTCGTTCTTTTAATTCTCTACAAAAAATTATTGTAATACTGTATATTGTGGAGTAAAAAAAATTGACTAGGTGCGACTGCCCCATATTTCATACATGTAGATCCGCCCCTGCTTCCATATGGAACTTTGTAGGAAACCAAAAAAATCAAAGGACCGTGTGCTCTTCAAAGGATTAGTACAAGTTTTGCAATTAACTTCGTGATAAAAGATTCAAGATTGACGCTCGAATGAACATTCAAAGGATTTTTAACAGTATGTGAACTTCAATGTATAACCCTAGGAAAAATATCCACAAAGAATAAATGTCCCAAAACGCTAAAACAAACCATCAATCAAACACATTCTATTTCAGCAAGATCAGAAGCTTCCCTGAGTCGTGCGTCGGAGATCAGAAGTTTCCCTCCGTCTTCCGTTCTTCGTTAATCGGTCGGGCCTCGGTGATTGAATTTCCTGCAGCGCTGTCGAACTTATTTCTTAAAGAGTGGTATTTTAGTTGATTAATTATGAGAGGAATACATGTATATATATACAAGGTCTCAATCCTAGTTATGTTAGGAGAGATATTCTAGGAAACTATACAACTATGGAAACAAATCATAATACAATAATATTAAATATATTTTATATATTTAACATGCTCCCGGCTACGTCGGATGCGCTGGGGTCGGATACCCAGGCTCTCTCTGAAGTCAAGAAATAAGAGGGAGGGCAGTCCTTTCGTGAAGATGTCGGCAAACTGAGAAGATGAAGGAACATGGAGAACTTTGATCTGACCAAGTGCCACTTTATCGCGTACAAAGTGTATATCGACCTCGACGTGCTTGGTGCGCTGATGTTGCACCGGATTTGATGATAGGTACACAGCACTGACATTGTCACAGAAGACGATTGTGGCGCGACGAAGTGGTTGTTGTAGCTCAAGAAGAAGGTTCCGGATCCAGCAGGTCTCTGCTACAGCATTGGCAACTGCCCGATATTCAGCTTCGGCACTGGAACGAGAGGTGGTGGCCTGGCGTTTGGATGACCAGGAAACGAGATTATCACCCAGGAAGACACAGTAACCCGATGTGGAACGTCGAGTGTCGGGACAGCCAGCCCAATCTGCATCAGAATAAGCCTGTAGGTAGTCTGTGGCTGAACGTGTCAACTGGATCCCGTGGGTGGCGGTGCCACTAAGATAGCGTAGAACGCGCTTCATGGCAGTGAGATGAACATCACGTGGAGCATGAAGATGTAAGCAGAGCNGCTGCCGATCGAGGAGGAGGAGAGCCGATCGTACCTGGAGGAAACTCGGCATGGGATCCTGGAACTGGAGAAACGAGGTTTGTGCCTGTAGGTCGTCGGGAAGTCCTCGCAGCATCTGGAGAACCAATTGGTGTTCGGATACGGGAGCGTCTACATCGTCCAACCAATCCGCAATATTCCTGAGCTCTTGGCAATACGTAGCCATGGGAGTAGATCCTTTGACGGTGGTTCGAAATTGATGCTCGAGTTGCATGGCGCGAGCATGTTTGTTGTCGTGAAACAGGTCATGAATCACCGTCCATAGAGCAGAAGCAGTAGAAACAGAGGAAAGAACTAGATCAGAAACTTCATCAGTGATAGTGGAGAGAATCCAGCCCTGGAGGATGGCGTCGAGCTGAAACCATTCATCATCGTCGTCGGAGATGGGAGCAATAAAACCGTTGAGATAACCCTGAAGGTTGAACCGCCGTGCAAGAAGAAGGAACACGCGGCTCCACTTTTTGTAGTTTGGTTGAGAAAAGCTGAGTTGGATTGGAACATGGAGTTTGACATTAGAGACGGAGAAAGCCACATGTGGAGATTTTTGGGTGGAGGATTGAGAGGTGATTTTACTTTCGGCCATTGTAGGAGGGGGAGGAAGCTGGCGACCGTGAAGAGTGGAGGAGGGAGACGGCGGCGCAAGTGGTGGTTCGGCGTAAGGGGAGGGCCGAAACTAGGGAAGATATTTTAGGGTTTTAGTTAGGCTCCGATACCATAAAGAAGTGGTATTTTCATTGATTAATTATGAGAGGAATACATGTATATATATACAAGGTCTCAATCCTAGTTATGTTAGGAGAGATATTCTAGGAAACTATACAACTATAGAAACAAATCATAATACAATAATATTAAATATATTTTATATATTTAACATTTCTCTTTCTGGCCATTCATTGATGGCAGTTAAAAAAGGGACTTCCTTGAGGATCCTCCTAATTATAGAGGACTATATTGCTCATTACTCTATAAAAAAATTAAATTGGGAAAAATCTTTACTATAAAGAACTATTTTGGTAAATTATTCTATATAATATTACGTACAAAGAAACACTATGAAATACTAAAATCTAGTGTTAAATTATGTGAAATTTGCACTAAATAGGATTAAAACATAATGACTTTCCTAATGTAGAACTTAAACTTTTTTATTCCCTAAATAGGACTTAATAATGACCTAGTAGAAAGAATAATGTCCTGTAATCATGAACATTTAGTTGAATAATGACCACTTGATAATGACCAAAGGTCCTAGATTGGGAAATAAAAATATATGGTCCTATATTGAGAAAGTCATTATGTTTTAGTCTTATTTAGGTAAATTTCTCTTAAATTATTACAGTACAAACTCTTACGATGATAAAAATGTCATTATTATTTTGAAGACAAAAATTATAATTCGTATTTAATTTTTATTTTAGATGATTTCTTTACTCCCTAACATGAACAAAAATGAAACCACTGTCCCTACGACCCTACCCGGTTCTGGATGGAATTCTGCCCTGAAAGTCGAAACCGGACCCGTATTCATAGCTAAAAATATACTCCCTCCGTTTGGAAAAACACTTTCCATTTGGATTTGGGGCAAAAATAAGGAAGTGTTAAATTATAGTTGATTTCCTATTTTGCTCCTGATGTGATGGATAAAAGTAAGATATGGATAGATTATTAGAGAAAAAGTATGATGTGATAAGTAGGGTATGAAAAAGTAAGGGTAAAAGTGTTTTTTTAATAGAAAAGGGAAGTGTTTTGTTGAAAGTGGAAAAAATGAAAGAGGAAGTGTTTTTGAGAACGAAGGGAGTAATGGAGGATGCGGGTATTTAAGTAATTTAACAAATCATTCAAGAAATAGAAAAGGGTGGTACTCAATACTCATACCAAAAGATAATAAACATAGGAGTTTGGACCACACGTGTTGTGGTCAAATTACCGCCTGCATCACCAAATACACTTTTTTATTTTGTTTATTTTTTACTATTTTATCCCTTTTTAATCTTTTCAATTTTACTTTCAAAACAGTCTTCAAATTTTAACTTCAAATTACGAAAAAAATGTATAAATATTAAATCAAAGTGCCTATTTCGGTTTAGAATATTTAATTAAAATTATTTCCGATTAAATTCACACTCCGCATAAAAATTGAGGTGAAATTAAAAAAATAAAATTTACACATTTCAAAACTACATCAAAAGCATTCAAAATAAGGTGTGACACGACTATATTTTTATCCAATGACTAACAAAATTTGGTAAAAAAATGGATAAAATTTGACAATGTAAATAATAAATATATAGTATAATTTGAGGTTGATGGAGTAATATATATCTATTTATAAATAAAAAAATGGTTATTATATTACTTCATTCGTCTGGAAATATTCTTTTGATTTGACTTTTCTTAGTCAAAGTTTATAAACGTGGACTCATATATGTTAAAAAAATAAGTTCTTTTATGATATATAAATTTAATGCCAATATATTCCTATTGGAACATAGTTTTCAAATATCAATTCTTTATAAAATATATCTATGCATAAATAGAAATATTAATAGTCAAAGTGTAACATTGGAGATCGTGAAAAATCAAATGTGAAGAACATTTCGAACGAAGGGAGTAGATTAAAACGAGGATTATTATTACTCCCTTCGTCTGAAAATGTTCTTCTCATTTGACTTTTTACAGTCTCCAATGTTGCAGTTTCACCATTAATATTTATATCTATAAATAGATATATTTTATAAAAATTTGATATTTTAAAATTGCCTTACAATAGGAATATATTGATATTAAATTTATATCAAAATAAAATATGTTTTTCCTACATATCAAAGTCAAAATTTACGATCTTTGACCAAGAAAAGTGAAATAAAAAAACATTTTTGGGCATAGAGAATACTACGTAATTCTTAATAATCCAGTATAAATGTCACGGTAAAAGAAAATAGTTATCCAAACCCACATCTCGTAGGGTTTTCAAAGCACTTAGTAGCCCGCCCCCATTGCCGCAATGGGATAGATAGGCAAATCTCACAAGTCATCTCTCCTATCGCCCCCTTCGATTCTCTTCTTTCATACGTTTTGGTATGTTTCTTCTTTAATTCTCTCTTCTTTTTTCCATTTACTACTCCAAAATCTGCCGTTTTCGTCAAGATTTGGTAAGTTCTTGTTGATTTTTTTTATGTTGCCCCTCTCACTTTTCTCGGGTTTTAGGACCTTGTGGAATGATGGGGCAGTGATTATTAGACTGGGTTTTTAAGAAAAGTGGAAGATTTGCATTTCATTTTCATCGGTGGGTCTTTGTTCGAGACAATGATGTTGAATCTCTTTTGACCAGGGGAAAGAAAGAGCCCAATAATAAAGAAAGAAAAAAGAATAATGCCTCCAGAGGTGGAGATTGTGGCTCAATTACAGGGAAAGTGAAAGAGAGTGCCGAACTCTCTCCTCATTCTTTCTCCTCCCCCCCTTTTTTTGGGCCACACAATTTGTGCCCGGGTTATGTATATCTATTGTGTGTTGAGGAAGACTGTCTTTTTGTTTCAAGATTTAAAAGAAACTCTGCACCACCGTCTGGTTTTAGGCCTGAAATTGTGTTCAAGAAAGTCTGTAAATTGCCTATGTTTATGGGTAGGGGGGATGAGGTGGGCGGGCAGGTGCTGGATCTGGAGACTGCTGTTAAAGATGGTATTTTGGGTGGGGGAGGGGGTGGCGGTGGGGCGGCGGTGGCTGGTACCGGCGAAAAGAACATTAGTCTGAGGAAAATGATTCAAGAAATTGGTTCAGTTGATGTCCCTTCAGTCTTCATTTGCCCAATTTCCTTAGAGCCGATGCAAGATCCGGTGACCCTTTGCACGGGTCAGACCTATGAGAGGTCCAACATTATGAAATGGCTGTCTTTGGGTCGCCCTGTTTGTCCCACCACAATGCAAGACCTTTGGGACGATTCCATCGTCCCAAACAGCACCTTACGCCACCTGATCCACAGCTGGTTTTCCCAGAAGTATTCGGCTCTGAAAAAGAGATCCGGCGATGTGGAGGGGAGAGTCTTGGAGGTTCTGGAGACCTTGAAGAAGGCTAAGGGTAAAGCCAAGGTTCAGGCTTTGAAGGAGCTGAGGCAGGTCGTCACTGTCCATGGTTTGGCAAAGCGAACCGTAGTCAGTAACGGTGGAGCCACTTTGATTAGCTCCATGTTGGATGGCTTCACCACCCACGCCGTTGCTTCAGAGACAATCGCGATTTTGGTTCAATTGGATCTTGGCCTGGATACAAAGGCGTGTTTGATTCAACCGGGCAAGATTTCACTAGTGGTGGACACGTTGAACGAGGGATCGATCGAGACGAAGATCAATTGCACGAAATTGCTCGATGTGTTGATAAGGGAAGAAGGGTGTGATCCGGAGTCGCATATCGCGACAAGTCTGAGTCTTTTGGTTGGGTTGTTGAGATTGGTTAAGTTCAAGAACCAGCCTGAAGTGGTCCGGGCCGGTCTCCGATTACTCAAGGTGATGTCGTCTTCGTATCCACCCGCGAGGGGCTCGATCGTGAGCGTCGGGGGCGTCCCTCAATTGGTGGACGTGTTACCCAACTTAAACGCGGAATGCTTGGAGTTAGCCCTTCATGTTCTAGAAGCTCTTTCGACCCTCCAAGAGGGCGCGTTGGCCCTAAAGGATTGCCATAGGACCATCCCTAATGTTGTGAGGCTGGTGATGAATGTCCCAGAGAACAGTACTCGGTTGGCGTTGTCGGTCCTTTGGGCGGTCTGTAAGATCTCCCCCGAGGAATGCGCGTCAGTTGCAGTGGAGGCAGGGCTAGCGGCAAAGCTCCTCCTCGTCATTCAGAGCGGTTGCAGCCCAGAGTTGAAGCAGCAATCTGCAGAACTTCTGAAGCTCTGCAGTCTAAACTACACAGAAACCATTTTCATATCCACACAAGTGTGAACATGGTGTTGTTCGTGTGCATGCTGCTGCAGCCTTTGTAATTGTAAAGATTGTTATTTGTATTGTTTCTTTTTTCAGTTTCTTTTTTCTTTTTTTCTTTTTTTAAAAATATGTATAAAGTCAACAAGTACAGTTGATTCTTTATTTCTCTTCCATGGTTCCATTGCCATTTTTAATATAAAAATTGTGGCTTTGAGCTGCACTTGTCTTCTTCTCCTAAGCAGAAAGCTTGTTCAAGTAGCCATTTCTTGCCATTTATTTCTTTAAAAGAATATTTGGTTCTTTTTGGGAAGTTTGGTACACACATCACCTTTGGTAAGTTGGAGTCTTTCTCATATATTCCACCTGTCCTTCAAACCTGTATCCAGTCACCTGATTTGGCTGTTTCAGAAGTTTTTTTTTTTTGATGAGGTTTCAGAAGAAATTTGGTAAGTTACTACACTTTAAAAAAAATTAAAACAAGTTGTACTTTTGGCAAAATGAAGTCTTTTTTTGGTACCTTTAAAAACACTAACTATTCAAATTTTATTTTCTTCAATCTTGGTGCAATTTGAAGTCAGGCAAAAATATGGAGAAAAAAGGTCCAAAAGAAAGAAGAGATAATTTGGATGGAAAGGGACAGTTAAGGGTAGTGTGGGCTTTTGTGTTGAGAGGGACAAATAAGTGTAGTTGGCAATGCCTTTTTAAGGATCTTTGACCGCGACCAAATAGCTAAAGTTGTGAGATTACTGAAAAAGAAGACAGAGATAGTAGATGGTAAAGGTGTTTAGACTTTAAAGTGTGTGAAAAAGGTGTTTAGACTGAAAAAGCTGTTTATATATTTAAAAAGTACATCTAAAGTTTTATAAAATAAGAAGTAACAAGAATATTTTACTTTATCAAATAGTCCCTAAAAAAACATACATATAAATAAGAGTTCCTGTAATTTTTGAATAGTGAAGTGTATAAATCATTTAGAGACAGGAAGAGTATTTATTTGGCCTTCAAAATAGGTGAATACTTTTGGGATTGTGTATAGTCTTACCCCAATACTAAACTAGTCTCTTTTTTTGTGAAGTTCTTACAAATTGTTTTTGGGCATCCTTTCATATAAGTGAGTAGGATTTAACTAACATTGCATTAGTATACTATTAGCTACGTTGGCCAAAGGCAAACGAGTTTGTCAAACGCCTCATACTAATGTGTTGGATTGAACTTATACAGTTATACTGATTATTTTTTCCTTACCTATTTCGGTCCACTACCATAATTAGTTTGCGGTTAATTTATTACGGAGTACTTTATATTTTTTAATATATGGACACACACACAAATATATAATAGGATTTCTTGAATTTAAACTATTTTTGTGCTTAGGATTTAATTAGGAATTCTTGAATTAGTTTGTGAAATATAAACTATGTTTTAATTAGGATTTCTAGAATTTAATTATTGATTTCTCAATTTTTCATGTTTTTATTTAAATGTATACTTTTGATTTTCAAAAGTAAAAGAGTTTTGTTACATTTTAAAATATAAACTTGGCACGTATCTTTTCATCCTGATTTGTACTGAAACCGATTTTAAACTATAACGCACTGCTATTTCGAGATTGAAATTGATATAACGTAGAATTTCATACCGAACCAAAAAATTGTTAAGGTATTGAGACAAACTAAATACAGCACCGTACCATGCTCATTCTACTTCTAATTATTCCATATAATTTTTTTAACAAAAAAAAGAACGAGTCGTGTCTCCGAAGATCTTTATCAACTCGGTCAAACAATCATTAAGATCAAATAAATAAGACTTTAATACTCCGTAATAGATTGGTGAGAGAGAATAAAGTTAACTAAAAAAGAGAATATTTTACTAATTGATACTCCATTTGAAATGTTTTTTTAGACATTTTGTTGGTTGGGATTCAGTAATTCCGAATGAAAGTAAAGAATGAAAATCATTAGGAGCTCCTCCCTGAACCCAGTTTCTCAATTTTCAAGAGCGACCCGATTTTGCCCCCAATTCCTCCTCCCCATCCTCTCCCTTTCTCCTCTTCTTCATCCATCCCCGATCAAAATCAAACCGCCATGTCCTGGTTAGCGCGCTCCATTGCCAATTCCCTCCTCCTCGACGACGATGAACATCAAGTCGGAGAACATAGTCACCGCGTCTCGGATCGGGCTTCAACCTCTGAACCCCCAGAACAGCACGCGGAGGGTTATGCCGCCTACGAGGATGTAGATTTGGACGATCGGCGGGAGAATGAAGGCGACGATTGTTCTCTAGATCACATCCATCATCCTGGCCGCGGCGTCAAGGATGACTTGTCGGAATTAGGAGAAGCCCTAAGTCGCCAGCTGTGGGGTGTCGCTTCATTTCTAGCTCCTCCGCCTCCTAGGACGAGTCTCCTGATCCCGAATCCGGATCAATCGGGGTCCGATCGAGTTCATAGTGAGCCGTATGATCGTGCGGAATTGAGTGGGGAATCTGAGGAAGGGGAGGATGGGGAAATCGTGGAGTGTGAGAACTTCACGGAGTATGAGGAGGAGGAGGATGTGATTGGAAATGCTGTCGGGGTTACAGAGGAGGCCTTGGCTTTTGCCCAGAATATAGCTCATCATCCTGAAACTTGGCTTGATTTTCCCTTATCGGAAGATGAGGAATTTGATGGTAAGGACACTTTGTTTTTTAACATCCACCTTCATTTAAATAGATTTTACATCCCAAGAGCAAGTTCTTTTGGAAGATTTAATTGGTGCAATGTGCTCAAAGTTGTGGAAATATTGTATTTATTTTGCACTTGTAATTGTTACTTGTGTGTGGTTGAAACTACTGTCCTGAAGTTGCATGCCTCTCATAGTTTCATGTGCTTGTTTATCATTTATTCATTCTCTTAGAGAGTTAGAGGCACGCGTTCTTCTAGAAGTCACAAGTCATAACAGTTCTAAGGCATTGACAGAGAGGGTAAAGCATGTATGCTTTGTTGGCATCCGGGGTGGATTTTTGTCTTTCAAAGTTCTTTGAGGGGCTTTCATCTTTGAAATGTCCCTGGTTGAACACTTACACTATTTTTGGTTCAAGGAATTCGAAAGGGAAAAGAAAAGAAAATGATGGTAGAAAACAGCTTTTCTTGTTTGGTTTGAGAGGAAATTTAAAAAAAAAGTGGAAGAAAAAAAAAACAAGAGAAGAAAATGCACTAAGAATAAGGAAAATAATTTTCCTTCCATTTTGCCAAGGAAGAAGAGAGAAAACCTCTTAATTTTCTTTTCCTATTGAATTCCATGAACCAAACTTAGTTTCAGATAGTATTGTTGGGAACTCAGTTGTGGAACTTCTTTAAAAAGTAATATCCATATGCCAATGCCACAACACTATTGCAGACCTAGAATAGAAGTCTTGGAGTTTACAAGCTCATAGTTATAAGTTCCAATTTTAAATTTTAGAGGGGTTTTTTTTTGAGGTAAAACCTTAGAGGGTTATGTTTAGAAAAATAAGTTAATACTCCTTTAGCCATATTAGGGAGCTTATAGCTTATACCTATAAAGTTATTCAATTTCAATAATAGTGTTCTGAAAAAGTACTTGTATTGGAATACAAATTGGCACAATCTCATAAAAGTGATTCATTAAAAAATATCTTTTACTAATTATTATGGCATCAGCCGTGAAACCATAAAAGAAAGGCTCGAGCGTTTATTTGGAATAGATTTTAACTTACAAGATCTGCTAATGCTGCGCTTACTGAGCGAGGCTTATTATAGAAGTTCCATATAAAAAACCAATGAGTAATTTGTAGCTCATAACCTAACTTCTGTCACACCAAACATAGCCCCACAATGTTAAATTTTCATCCTTGGTCATAATGCATGTTTTGGCCTTCTTAGATTTTGAGATATGTGATACCCAGCTCAAGCATGCATTCGCAATTGAATGCTTAGCACCTCGGCTAGCTGCTCTAAGGGTTGAGCTTTGCCCTGCTCATATGAGCAAGGGTTACTTCTGGATGGTGTACTTCGTTCTTCTTCACTCGAGACTTAATAAACATGATGCGGAGCTTTTGTCTTCACCGCAGGTTAGTTAATAAATCTGATACTAGATTTCACATAGCTCATGCATATATGAAGTAATTTTAAGAGGGTGTTTAGCATTGATTCTGGCCCATAATCTGATTTTAAAAAAGAATAAGTAATTCAGCTTTTAAGTGTTTCTTTTTCCAGTTTTGAGAAGAAAATCCAACCCCCCCCCCCCCCCCCCCCCAAAAAAAATGCCCGAGCTGTAAATTCTTAAGACTGATCTAGTCATCACCCTTCCAGCTTGTGCAAGCTAGAGCAATGTGGATAAAAGAGCTGCAAAAGAAAACGAAGCCAGAGTCGGATTGGTTTGGGTTTAAAAAAAGTCATTCAAAAGAAAGTACTGACTTTCTGCGTGAAGAGTCTGACTCTTTGTCATCTTTCTCTGAGACGCATACTAATATTGAAACTGAGAAGCATCCACTTGAAACTACTACGGAAATCCAGTTCATAGACAAAGCTGTTATTGCAGAGGACTTGGAGAGCAAGGAAGTAGAGAAGGTGGTGGTGACTACTTCATCTTATAAGGTACCGGTTTTGGATTATGATGATGATGATGATGGGGAGGAAGATGACTGGCTAAAGGACACCCCAGAATTAGAAGGGTACTCTTGTCCGGTACTTGTTGGAGATGAAGTCTCATTTAGTGATCTTGAGGATGATATTGATGATTGTACAGTGCCCAGTAAACCAAAGGGGATTCCAAGAGTGACTGAAAAATTGGATTCCACAACTTCCAAATGAGTTTCTGTTTCTCCCCCAAAATTTGGCTCCTACAAACCAAAATGTTGGTGTATTGTGCTGAAGGCAACAAAGCAAAAAGGATAGTCGAGGAACTCAGTCATTGAATGGAAAGGTGCATTTCCCCTCCTTAATTTTTATTTTTTTATTATTATGATTGGTGGTTTTTGGTTATTTATTCTTTCTCATACTTGTGTTGTAGCTCGGTAGTTGTCGGTGGAGTTCACACCTCATGTACCCAAAATATGGTGTTAGCATCTGTATTTGTTTGTACATATAAGCGAAGGCATGCGCTTATAAATTGATTTATTTGGGTCTGAAGGCAAGTGTTTCTCCACTGATGAATTGCTTTAATACGTTCGTAGGTAGAACAAAATATGGGTCATAAGCGAACACCACCGAACTATTGCAGTATATATATGTCAATTTTTTTGTACATCATCTTCTTCATCATCTTTCACAACAACACTATTGCATGTGTTGTTTTGAACTTGGCGTAAAAGAGCGGTGCATAAATAGCATAGCCAATGGTTCAAAGGGTTTTGATCAACAGGGAGTGATATCTGTCCTACATGTCATTGAACTAACAAAAATCAAATCTCATGCTACATATAGTCGTTTTTATCGTTGTTATTAGGAGTTAGGAGTCGAACCCGCCCAACCTAGCCAATTCCCCTTCCATTCTCATGCTACAAGTGCATATGTGTATATATTACACATAGATTGTGTCACTCCCACTCTAAATTCTCAATGTATTTCGAACTCTGGGATCTCATCTTTGCATTGATGGTGATATCCAATTTAGATTTATAGCCTTATACACTAAGGCCATGTTCTCTTCAACTTATTTTTTTACTTACACTAATTTTACTGGAATCAGATCAGATCAAAAATAATTTTAAATATAATTACATTCAGATCAGATCAGAAGTTATTGCAATCAGATCAAGTGAAGAGAACATGACTTAACTTGGTTTATACTCTGTATCACATTTACATCCCTTATACTCCCTCGATCTGGAGAATTTTCTTCACTTTTGACTTTTTACACTCTCTATGTTATACTTTGACCATTAATATTTGTATTTATACATACTTATATTTTATAGTTTTGATATTTTCAAAACTACATTTCAAAAGGAATCTATTGATATTATCATACTCCGTAACACATTGTATTTATTCTACATATCAAGGTCAAAGCTTACAATCTTATACCATGAAAAATCAAATGTGAAAAAAAAATCGGACGATAGGAATAATCTTTTACTTTATAGGTAAAACTCAAACCCATATGATATATTCTCCCTATGTATCAATATATGTTGCATGTTATTTATTCATATGATTTTATTTTAACCACTTTTTGTATATTTTTGTTACTTTTTTGATGAAATAATTTTAATCAAATATTATAAACTATAATAGGCAACTTGAATTTGAAGGAGGCAACATAATACGGAGTATTTTTTTGAAGAATGTTAGGGATACACCAAACGGTAGATCTCATTTGTACACCATTGGTCCTAACCATTGATTTCTTTTTTCATTTTAAAATTTTTCTCTCTCTTGCATTTGTATGGTGGAGATGGATGAGGTACAAATGGGGTACAATATTTGATGTACTTCTAGCATTTTTGTATTTTTTTCTGCAAAATATTCGTTTAAAAGACAAAATTCCTATGCGACACACATAGTACTCAAGTTTTGGTGTTTTGGTTCCGAATACAATAAAGTGGATACACAATTTTACTTTTTAAAACTTTGGCCATGTTTTTTCTAACTTATTTTCTTATTAGTACCTATTCTTATCGATATTAAATCAAAAATAACTTTAAATATTATTATAATCAAATCAGAATTTATTTCTAAATTAGATCAGAATCATTCAAATAACATAGTAATTGCAATCATAAAAAAAGGTTGGACCAATTAAGTATTTGGGTAATTGCCAACCAAGTCCAGGCCTATGTAAGAGTAATAAATAAAAAATATAAAATCCTAATTCCTGAGCTTTGAGGTGCTCAACCCGTTGGGGCAGACCTGATTTGACCCAAAATTTTAGCGGGTTCTCAGGTTCAGGTTCGGGTTATTTTGGTTTGGATTAGAAAAATCATGTTCAAAACCTACCTAATATCGGGCTGGGTTTTGGGTAAAAATGGGCCCCGATCAAATTTTGTCGGGTCTAGTAAGAGTAAAAAAAGATCCAAGATTTTTTTTTCTTTTCCATGCCACTTTGTTGACTTCTAAAAAAGATCCAAGTTTTATAACTCAGGTATTAACATTATGATCAAAACTATTCTCGCACATAAAAATCTCAAATAATCTCATATTTTTATGATCTACCAAAAATATTTTTCATTCTTAAGATTATAAAAAATAATTTTATCTTTTTAAATATCTTGTTTTGTGTTTTTGAACAAAATAATCTTATATTTTTATAGTAACCCCATATTTCACCGAGTTGTGTATAATAGTACGGAGTATTTTTCTTTGTTATACGGAGTAAGTTTTAGTTCTTTGGTACTGAAACGAAGAAATAATATTTTTTTCTAATCAAAATAAATTTAGCTTTAATTAATGAGACATTTTAAAAGCTAAAATTTATAGATGTTTTATTTGAAAATAATATTATAAATTAATGTTAGAAAAAAAGACTAAAAGAAGAGTGAAATATTGAAGATATAACAAAATAGGAGTTTCATATTTTTATTTTCGAAATATGAGTTAAAATACATTTCTAGTGTCAATCATTACTATATACACTATCAAAAAGTATTGTGAAATTTCTACTCCCACTGTTCCTAAATATTTGCAATGTTTGCTTTTTTTGCATCGCGAGAACTTTTGTTTATTTCTACGTTTTCATTGATTATTTGATAAAATAAAATATTTTTGACATCTCTTATTTCGAAGAACTTTTCAGATAGTTTTTTGATATGTGAATTTTATTTTTTATTTCTATACCAATATGTAAATAAAATGAATTGAAAAAACTTGATATTTTGCTTCGAAAATACAAGTGTGGCAAATATTTAGGGACGGAGGGAGTATATACAATATTCAGTACTACATTATCACAGTCTGTGAAATTCTATTTTGGAGATAAAAATATTCTATTTTGATATTGTTTTCTATGTTTTTTTCTTATTTATGATGATTTTTTAATGTTTAGTGTTATAAATATTAGATAATTTTTTAGAAAACACAATTAAATTAGATAATGTGTATAATAAATCAAGAGTTAATATCAAAAATTAAAGTACAATGAGAAATCAAGAGTCGTCACTTGACTCATAAATTGTCATTAAAATATTAAAATGGATTATGATAAACCAAGAGTCAGTCATGAATTGTCAAATCAAGGCAGGAACAAGCTCGAGATCTCCGTCTTCTTTCCGTCTGAATCTCTTCCCCTTCTTCAATGGACTCCTCGTAAACAGGTTTGTCTTTCTCCCATACACATCCGACATCCATCTTAGCCCTCCAGAATCTAAGAATTTCCACCCTTGTCCGCTTTCGCGATGTTGAAAACCTAGTTCTTTGATTGATCCACGCATTTTCCCAAAATTTCAGACTTTTTGACTCGAGTTTTGTGGATTTTGAGCTCGTATCGTCATCATCTGCTCAAGGCGAGATTCGATGTTGAACCCTAAGAAGAAGAAATGGTTGATTGCACTTGGAATCATTGGAGCTTCGTCTTATGGTGCGTATAGAGTTTATAATTCCCCGTCTATTGTGAGAAAGAGGAAGAGATTCGTGAAGCTCTTGGGAGCTTTGTTATCCGTGGGAGAAATGGTGTCTGAATCTGCCGAGGCTTTCAGCGTCATCTCCAGGGATTTGAAGGAGTTTCTGCTCTCCGATTCCGATGAAATCCCCAATAGTTTGAAGCAATTGTCCAAAATTGCTCGATCTGATGAGCTGTCCCAGTCTCTGGGTAGAGTTTCAGAATGTGTAACAACTGGGGTTTTGAGGGGCTATAAACTGCAAAAGAAAGAGAGTGGGATTGAAGAAGTAGGAAAAAGTTCATCTTTTTCAGATAAGCTTATGGATAAGCTGATCAGTGGTTCCGGGGCTGCTTTTGTTTCTGTGGTTGTTGGTAGCTTTGCCAAGAATTTGGTTATGGAGGTGATGGAGGTTTGCTCTAACAGCCAATCCCATTCCTCGAACTCCCCAGGGTGGGTAGATTTATTGTGCGACGATCGGCTTAAAGTGATAATAGCCAACATTACACAAACCTTTGTTAGCACGGCTGTAGCTGTTTATCTTGACAAGACGATGCACATTAACTTTTACGATGACTTGTTCTCCGGTATGACTAATCCTATGCATCGGTCTGAAGTGAGGGACATTATGGTTTCCCTCTGCAATGGAGCAGTTGAAACTCTGGTGAAGACATCTCACCAAGCCTTGGCGAACAACAAGGTCACCGAGCAAGAATCTTCAACTTCAGGAAAAGTGAAAGGCAGGAGCAAACCTGTGATAGATCTGGGAAGTAATGGATGGTTGAGCAGTGTGTCGTCAACATTGGCAGTGCCAAGAAACAGGAGATTCGTGCTTGATGTCAGTGGAAGAGTGACATTCGGAGCTGTACGATCCGTGGTGGAGTTCATGATGTGGAAGATGATGGAATGCTTGAAAGCAAGTGTTAATACAGTTCAAGAAGACATTCGTGCCAAATCATCCGTGATTCTCACGATATGTATGGCACTGATTTTGCATGTTTTTGGCAGTACCCATTACTCTCCGTTACATGCCCAGAATTGATTGGTACTGTATATGTGCTAAGACACGATGATTACGAAAAACATTCAATTAGCTTGCATTTGGTAAGTTCTTGAATATATATTCTCATTGCAGGGGAAAAAAACATGGTGGCTCAAGTTTTGTGAGTTCATATTGAAACAACTGAGTCATAATATGGTTGTGATGGCTTGTTTTATCATATTGAATAAACACGGTGGCTTTACATCTAGCTACAAGCTCATTCACCTATCATATGTATGACTGATTTCATATGTATCTGTTTTTGGGTCCAACACTTATGGGTGTTACAACTTACAACATCTCTTCACGACACCTTCGACACTATGATGTTGTTTGGCACACAAAATTTGAGGCCGTTTTTTGTTTGAATTTTTTTGGGTGTAATGAATAGTCACGACTATTAGAAGTGTTTGATGAGTAAGTTTTTGGGCTAAAATGTGGATATCAAAATGTTTGATAATCACGTTTTTTGAAGACAAGTTTTTTCGGTTTACATTTTTTTCAGTCTTAAAACTTCAAATAGCTAACATAAGTATCCAATTTTTTTAAAAATAAGTCTCACACATAACTCATACAAGGGGCATGCTTGGGGTACAAAAAAGTACTCCCTCCGTCCCATTTTATAACGCCTGTTTCGGTTTACGGTGTTTGACTGAAATTATTTTCAAACCATTTTATATGACAAATGGTATATAATTAAAAAATAAAAATTACATATTAAAAAAGTACATCAAAAGATCTACAAAACTAGTAGTGACAATAATATTTTATTTTATCAAATTGCTAACGAAAATAGAGAAAGAAAGTGAATGAAGTTTGACTATGTGAATAGTGAACATGCATTATAATTTGGGACGGAGGGAGTATTTCATTTGTACACCAGGCAAACAAAGACAAAAACAGAAACTTAGTGTCCTTGATCCACAAATACTGTTCGTGTTTGTTTCGTGTACAAATGGAGTACCCCATTTTCGTGTTACCCTAAGTTTATTCCTTACACAAACGTGTAATTGGAAAAAATGTTGTCATATTTGGTCAAAAGAACGATTTATGAAATATTTTTCAAAAATTGAAGACCATTTATATAATATCTTATAATTAAAGACTAAATATGAAAAATCACTTATAGTTACTGTATTTCACAATCGATCCTTCAGAGACTATGTGGAAAGAATGTTTTGTCATATTTGGTCAAAAGAACGATTTATAAAATATTTTTTCAAAAATTGAAGACTAATTATATAATATCTCATAATTAAAGATTAAGTATAGAAAATCATGTATAGTTAGAAATCATTTATGAAATTTACTCTTTAAACAATACAAAACAATAAAGCGTTCTTGGCCTATAAAATGCCTTGTTGTGTTCACAAATACTTACAGTGTACTAATTTTGTACAAAAATAATCGTTTGAGTGCTCCATTTTTTTTATAAACTTGGTATTTTAATTCATTAGTTTTAAAATAAACTAGTAATGTTACTCCTTGTTTTATATAATTTTAATTTTTAAAAAATATATAAGTTTTATTTTTATGTTTTGTACTAATAATTAAATAAATTGAATCGAACAAATCAATTAACATTGCAATCGAAAATGAGAAGATTATTTTGGGATAAAAAGAGTATGTCGTTCTACACAACTACTATTGTCGCTACCTGCTGGTCATCGCAACATATGATCTCTAGATACCACTTAGAACTGTCAGCCACCAACGCTTAACTAGCTTTCGTCCACCATCGTAGGTTCATGCCGCTGACACCTGACATTTCTCTACAGTCGCAGACCCCACTTTGGTGACTGCCGGAAACTTTTGTCCCGGGAACCACCTACATGTAACATAATACTTGTAAATGCTTAATAGGACGTACAGATGATCATAAATGTCTTATTGCACCATATAACTTGTTATCGTAAATTACACTATATAAAAGGCACGCCAAAACTATGAAACACATGTTGTATATTCACAAATATGGACTATATGTACCGTATTATACATAATTATTCACAACTTATTTCTACTACTATCACCCGCTACCACCTAACCTCCGTCACATTGTTCACCGCCCCCATCTACATTCAACCGCCGTCTCCGATGATTATGGACCCCACATTACATGGTATAAAATGACATAAATGACACTTTTTGAACAAAGCATTTTATATACGCATGTTTAATTTGATCTAGTTTAATATAAATAGGGGGTGTACAATTGGTACAAAATGCATTTTTTATAAAGAAAACAATAGACATCTATGTTTAAACTTTCCTCCATCCCTAAATGATTTACATATTTTACTATTTAAAAATCATGAGAATTTTTGTTTATTTGTACGTTTTCATTGACTATTTGATAAAAAAAATATTCTTGTCACCTCTTATTTTGTAGAATTTTTGATGTACTTTCTAAATATGTGAATTTTATTTTTAATTTATATATCAATTTTTAAATAAAATGAATTAAAAAAACTTGAAATTTTACTTCGTTTTGCGTAATAGTTAAATGATTTAGAGACAGAGGAAGTATGACATTGGTGTTTTTGAAACGACAATCCTTCCTAAATCACCGCACCTCAGAGACTATGTCCCCATTAAATACCAAAAAAGAGTGAACCCCCTCTTAGGGTCTTGAGAACTTATCGGACAATCACCAGAGAGGAGATATATTCGACTTTAATAAGACTGAAACATGTATATGACACTTACCAGAAAATTACTCACGGGTGACGTGAGTTTTGTTGAAATAACTCTCAGGTCCCTCTATTTTCAAAAAGACAGCAGAGGTCCTTACATTTTGTTGTAATGACTGGAAGGGGATATTTCATCTATAAACGTTAATAAATGAATTTTTTTCCTATTCTTTTCTAAATGTTTTAAGGTAATAAATCTTAGATCGCTCCTTTTTTTATTTCTTTGTTTTTCTTTCATTTTGTTACTATTTTTTTAAAGTGTTATTTTAGAATTTCTTCTATAAAATCGTATAAAAATTCAAAATTGTTTGTATTATATTAAAACAAATGAAATAAAACAAATTTAAAAAAAGAAAAAACAAGGTAATGACAAAATAGGAAAAAAAAGTATTGGAAAAATAGGAAAAAAATTCATTTATTAACACTTACGGATGATGTATTGGATGAAATGTCCCCTCTCAGTCATTACAACAAAATATAAGGACCTTGGTTGTCTTTTTAAAAATAGAAGGACCTGAAAGTTATTTCCACAAAACTCGCGTCACCCGCGAGTAATTTTGTGTGACACTTACAAAGACTTTAAACTTGATAATTACCATGGTCAAGGCCTACAGGCTATGCCTCCAATGGAGGGAGCACCTGAGCCGGGGGAGGTGCCAAGGTAAGAACCACTTTTGGTCCAAGATGTCAAAAATCCTTTGCGTAAAGATCGAATTATAGGAATGCCAAATTATGGTGAACTCCTCTTGACAGGGAGGGGCGAAGGAAGGAGAGACTAACCGCCATCTACTCGGCTTTCTTGCTCTCTCTAAGAATCTATCCTAACTCAAGTGAAGTCTGCATCTTGAGATTTCATATTGATTGCCGAGAATTTTTCAGAAGCTTCTTCAATCTGCAATTCAATCTTCTGGATAATGCGTAAATAAAATTATCTTCATTCAATCTTCAAATAAAATGCTGCCAGGCAAACCCGGAGGAGGAGGCCAAACCCCTAGTCGGTGAGTTTTTTTTTTCGCATTTCACCTCGTCGATTCTATCGAATAGCTCTAACTCATTTTCCGATTAGGGCTTGAACACCTTAGTAGTTTTGGCAGTTGAAAGTTTGTACAGAAAACTGAAAGCTTGGATTGAATTCACATGTTGCGCGTTCCTATTTTCATATTTGATCTGTTATGACTGGGAATACAAACCGAATTGTATTCTATATGAACCATTGGAACTTTTTTCATCCTCCATAGGAAGGTTAGTATTACTTTTCAGAATCAATCATAGTGGGCTGATGTGTCAAATAGTAATGAATTGCAAGTGATGATTTGTACACTATGTTTGGTTCAAGGAATTTGGAAGGAAAAATAAAAGAAAATGGTTTTCCCTTGGTTTTCTCACTAAAATGGGAGGAATTTGGTTTTCCCTCCTCTTAGTACATTTTGCCTTCTTATCTTCTTTTCCTTCCACTTTTCTTTTCTTTTCCTCTCTAACCAAATAAGAAAAATGTTTTCCTTCTCATTTTCTTTTCATTTCCCTCTCAAATTCCTTGAACCAAACATAGTGGTAATATGAAATCAAATTTGATACTAAATGAGACTGCGTGACAGAGGAAAGAACTAACGCTTGTAAAAATGCCTCACTGTAATAAGGTATTTGTATATCAAGATTAATGCTTACTTGATTTATAAGCTTAGGATTGGAATACCATGATTTCTAAATAGTATTTAAACTTAATGCATACTTGGTTTACAAGAAAAGGGAGAACTGTAAGACAATTGAAGACTTCGAGTGATATTTCCTCGAGTTAGAAAAGGATATGAGGGATGCTGGCTTTACTCTGTCATCAACTGTTGTTTTTTTAAACAATTTCCTTTGCTAACTCAGTATCTGTCATAAAGGTTTGAGTTGCTGAGTATGGTGAAGACACACTCAAAGTTCTTAGGGAAAACCATTCTTGAGGAGGAAGATCCATCAGATGTGGAAATGGATCCACTGTTCTGGCATGAAGTGCTGGATTTGTATTTCATATGTGGCAAGGAACCCAGAGGCCGCCAGGAGGATGATCTTGTATTCTTCGTTCGAAAAATGGTATGTCCTTTGTTTCATTCTGCATGTTCCTATTCATTTGTCAAAATGCATATTGTATCTTCATTTATTTAAAAAAATCATAAGTAGATAGTTCAACCCCCTCTCCTCAATAGAACTTTAAAAGGTACGTGTAGTTTATTGGAAATGGATCCACTATTATTGAAGTAGTATTAAAATGTATGTTTGTGTGTGTTATTTTTTAGTTTATCAAGTTGAATATTACAAAAAACATTGGTTCGAATACTATGGCCTTGTTTGGGAACAACATTTTCGATTAGCGTTAGCATTTTGGATAAAAATTTAATGGTGCAGATTAATTCTAAAAACGCTAATGCTAAAGGCTGCCGCCGGATAACCTTTTCAAAACGCTAACGCTAACCTCTAACGTTGATTCCAAACGAGACCAATGATAAGTAGAACTTTGGTGTGTCGTTAGTCTCCAAGTCCTCTAACAAAGTACTCCCTCCACGGTTCCCCCAATAGTTTTTTTCCTTCTTTTCCTATTTGGCTTGTCCCAAGATTTTGTTTCACTATACTTTTCAAAACAAAAAAAATCCATAGTTGAATTTGTTTCTCCAATTTACAAATTTCAGTTACCTAATTTTTACTTGATCAAAAAGTGAGTCAAATCAAAACAAGAATATAATTATGGGATCAAGTGAGTAAAAAATTGGACGGGAAATGAAAAGAGCGAGCATAGTGATAGAGTACAGATGTTGCACCCTCAGGTATATTCTGTTGGTTTAGAATTGAACATGACATGCACTTAAGCACTAATGCAAAGATTTTTAATGTAAATCAATGCCTAACAAATGGTTAGGGGCAATGAGAAGTGAGGAAATGTATAGAATGAGAAGATCTAAGCTATAAATGTATTATAAGTCTGGGTTAGAGGATGCCAAGAGAAACATGTAAGCTACTAAGGGTTTATGAGACCTTAGGGACAAAACTACGGATGATTTCAGATAGGGCTTAAGGTTTGAGACCCAAAAGCTCCTCTATATTGTTGTTGGACTTTAAACAAAAAAGATGTGAATCTGAGGTCATTACAGCTTGCGACCACACCCATTGGTTTCGGCCGTGGCTAAGTGAGATGATTGCAAAGAGGGGTATGAAAACGGGATCGACCATGGTCGTGGTTCAAGCTTTGATTAGGTTTGAAGATTCCTGGTAGTGACCATGGCAGTGCCGCAGTGGTTGATCCACTGACCACTTGATTATTGCCGAAAATTGACCATTTGTGGTTGTTGGTCCATCCCCCGGTCACTAAAGCAACCCCGAAACATGATCTTTAGCCCTCGTAAAGTCACTGAAGTGTACCTTGTCCCATTTTTGAGGTATCTACGTGTATCCACACTCTTTTTACCTGCAAAAACATACAAAACAAGAACAAAACCCGGCAACACAGCCAAAGACAAGGGACTCATGAATGTATGGCTTTCATGCACAATTGAATGATGTGATGTCAAAAACTTGGCCAGTAAGTACGATCAACTTGAGTACAAAAAATAGATATACCAAATATCTTCAGTCTTCGCCTCGTTTCACAACTAAGACCCATGAAATAGGACGGAATAAGTGTAGTACTTCTGGTTTTGAAGTTGTTTTATTAGGTGTGTCTATGTGTGATGTGCAAGATTCGTGAAGTTGAACTCTCAAGTTCATAATGTGTGAATTGTTGAATGTGACCTAGTGTATTCTTTGTGCAGAGTTTCCAAGGATATGAATCCAACAACAATAGTGAAGAAAATTCTCCTTACTTTGTACGGAGGTGGGCTCCCAAGGTAAAACAATTTTTTCTTTAGTAGTTTTCCAAGGAACGGGAAGATTATTTTGGGATGCCAAGAAAGGGAAGTGAGAAGATGATTTTGGGACACGGGAAAGCGGGAAGATGATTTTGTTATAGAGTACTCCGTATATTTTATATAAGGCAAGTTGTCTTGTTTAAATGGGTAAATGATGATTGGATAAGCTCAGAACATTCAAAAGTGTAATTTTATTTAGAAAAGTGATAACAGTTTTTAACCATGTAATGTAACAACATGGGCAAGATAATAAATAACCTTCTGTTTGCTTGACCACATTGACACAACATTTCTGTTTTGGTGCTTGCCCTTAATATTATCTGAATTTCAACAAGAAATGAGTTCTGGAGTTAAAGTTGAGGACGATAGGCTTCACTTCCTTGCAGTTGGACGATTTACTTGGTGAGAACTTGGTAAATGTGGATTGGAGGCGCTCATTTTACTTGAACTTGATTGCTCATACAACTTTCAGTGTGACTGTAGCAATTTGCAGGCAATGTTCTTTCTCTTGATTCTATTGATACTGTAATTTGAAGTTTCAAAAAGGATGACATCTTCTTAGCTACACGATGTTTCTTTATATTTTTGAGTAGATCATCGTAGCTAGCGAGATTGTACTTCAACTAGAGGGGAAACTATTTAGGGCTTGTTCTTTTCACCTTAATTTTAACTTGAGCTTACTAGAGTCTTGAACCTGGTGCATAGAGTTTGGAACGTGGAGCTTGAAGTCTGGATGCAGTAATAATTTTAAAAAAAAATCTAGAGTCTAGATGCAGTAGTAATTTTAAAGAAATCAGGATTCTGGACTCTGGAGTCTAGATTCTAGGATGTGGAGAATTGGAATATAAAGTTGAAAAGAATAGGCACTTATTGGATCTCCTATTTTCCTTCTAATTGTTTATTTTGCACGTCTATTTGATAGGCTTAATATTTAAGTATTATTTTTAACTAACACAACACTCGGTTGATTGTGTAATTTGTGCCTGAGTTGCCACATCTGTTTCGTTATCATTATTCAATCTAAAACTTGTACATGTTTGTTCATCTCCTAGACTCCTAGTAACAATGTCTGTTCTCTCTTTCTTTTAGTCATGAGGCCCTTAAAACTTACCAAACTGGCAAAGACAAACCGTTGTCTCCTATATACAAGGTAACTACAGAAAATAATTTCTATTCTTCATTTTTCAGTTTGTTATTTATCAAACCTCATTATGTTTTTATTTGTCTGTAGGTTGTGAAAACTGTTTACGCATCTCCAAGTCGTATTAATTTTCATTTGGACTCAAGAAAGGCAAGTCTCGCTAATGAGGATCACACCATGTATTGTGCCGTGAATCTTTTCTGACATCACATGTACACTGCAGGAAGTAGAAACAGCTCCTGCATATCCAGATATATGTTTTGCAGTTGATGATTTTGATTCTACATTTGATGCAGTGGTAATGCACAAGTTCCTCTTTTATTTTTTATTTTTTGAAAGGCTATCTTCTCCTTTTTCGAACTTTGGACACTGGCTGATTGAATGCTATAAAAAGAGGTCAAAGAGGTGCTTCTAGATATGTTGGTTGCATTGCATATTTCCCCTTATTGATGTTGATAAATGCATTTAATTAGCATTATGTTCATATTCTATGATATGAGGCTGTTTCTTTAATTACATATAAATATGTTCATTTGCACTTTTTAAGCCTTTATCAATCAGGACTTTTGGGTTAGAAGTCCTCTAAATAACATCTTTTCTAGGTTTTGACAGATGTAGATCATTGCTATTGTGTCGTTCTAAATGCACATGATGGGGCTGCATTTCCCACTGAAAAGAAACTTCAAGGTCTGAGTAACATATGTGATTCTCCAAAAAGCGAAGCAAGTGCTGAAAAGACTAAGAGTTCAAAGGTTTGAAAAAACAATTGTATGATCATCATCATCATCACTGCCACTGCCACCTTCCACTCCTCTAAGTTCTCTTTACAGCGAGAAAAGAGGGAGGTCATCTGAAAGAGAACTATATATGCATGCCTTCTAAAAACATGTTTCCTTTCCCGTGTCAATTTATGCTTGCAAAATTGATCAATGAATAGGTTTTTTTTCTTCCTAATTTTCAAAAACACATTCAAGGTGTTTGTTTGTTTTCCCACTCGCATGTACTCTGACATTGACATTCCACTTATCTTGCCCTATAACATGCAAATTTCTAGCACACTACATGATAACTTAGTCTGCTAACCTGATGGTTTTGCAAATCTTATTCCAGATCACTCTATTCTCGGGTTTCGTTAGCTATCAGATGGTCCGAGACGCCTATGATGGTAAAACATGCTGTTTTTATGTTGAACAACATGTAATGTTTTTGGTGTTCTGAATCATGGATTGTGCAACTAATTTAACATCTGAACTGCGGAGCTCATTCTCAATTCATATAACGTGTTGGATGTGCCTGTTGACTCACATACAACATGCACAAAATTATAGTATTCCGTATTAAAAATATGCTCATTTGTTCTATTAAAATATCACATTCTGCCCGAGGCTGACTCAGCTTACCAGCTTGCTTCTGGAGGAATCTTTGATTTTGGCTGCTTGCACAACTTATCCCATCTTTCTATTAGCCATTTGATGTGCAAAAGTTAACAGATGTGAATAAGAACCGTTATTGCTTGCCTGATTCCATTTCCAGCCTACTATTCTTTAAATTTGACGTCCAGCTATGAAGCAACAACTGATTACTTGCTTGATATCTTTCGTTTGGCATGCTACATTTAGCTGGAAGGACTGGATTTGGGAGTCTTCTTTCACTTCATTCATCAGGGAAAACGGACAGGATTTACATGAAAGGCCCAGGAGGACGTGGGGAAGTGGAAGTAGCTGTTTCTGGCGTTGTAGGTAAACTGGAACTTAGTTTTGCTTGATTTATATTATCCCATATTTTCTTTCTTTTACGCGTTGGATTTGATCATCTTATTGAGAACGAAATTACAGTTTCTTTCCCCGTACTAGTCATTTCACTTGTATGCCCCTTTTCTTTCAAGAATTCTTTTGTGCCAGTGGATTTGAGATTATTCAAACTATGATTTGTGTTCTAAAAACAGCATGATACCACAAATATCTTTTATTCCAATGAAAAGTCAAACTCTTCTTGAATCTAGTGGTGTTGTGTTTGTCAGATCAAAGCAAACACGAATACAGCCAACACTCCTCTAATAAGGGACTAAGCTTCAGTGCAGTCGTTCGAAGGGCAGCATCGGCTGCATCAGTTGCAGCAAAGCATGCTTATGCTGCCGCTTCTGCAACTGCACGGAGTTCAGACGAAGAAGGGGAGATGACCCCACTAAAGTGCTGCTTGATGTCAGTATCGTTGCCCTGGGAGCACATTTCTCATGATCTTCTCCTCAAGGTGTCGTCTCTATTCTCTAACCTCTGCTCATATACAATGCCATTCTATAGTTTGCAGAAAGCAGTTCATTTGGTCAAAACTATGTGTTCATTGGATTGAGATCATCAGGTGGTTTTCATTGACCATTGTTTTGTTTTGTGCAGGGAAGTCCCCCGGTGAATTTGTAGGAATAAAGATGGTATGATCTGCTTGTGTATACAGTATTACACTTCTCATGTATGAGTATTATTTATTACTGCGTACTCAATAAATTAAGGTTACTTAATGTTAATCCTCAACCTTACTTGGGACTTATTTGGCAACAATGTTAGAAATGCGAGTTAACGTTTTGAAAAAGACTATCTAACGACAATGTTTATAACTTTTTCGTTTTCAAAGTTAATCGATAACATTAAATTTTATCCAAAACATTAAAACTAATAAAAAAAATATTGTTCCCAAATAAGGCCTAATTTGCATCTAAGTTACTTCGTATGTGGTTACACATTTTTTTAGATGAGACGGAAATCTTGTGAGTTAAATATTCATTATTAAATAAGAAATAATGTAAGGTGGAATTATTCCTTGAGTTTCAAAGCTTGGTAACACAATTATTTGGATTTTTTTACTTCACCACCAAAATTGAAGATTATTACTGATAATATTTTTTGTTTTTAATTAACCTGGAGTGTCCTTGCCGTTTTGATTGACTAATCCCGTAGATCGAAATAGCTATCTTAGGAAATTGTCTCGAAGAATTGACTTTGTTTTTCGGCATTTCAAATTTTAATTACCAATAATACTTAACAATTTGTATTATAATATTTGACTACTAAGAGCTTATTCTTTAGGGTTAGACTTTTAACTTTCAGTTTTTTTATTAGTTCTTTCAATTCCTTCCAGTTTTTCCAATTATTCTCATTTTTTTAAACTCTTTCTATTCCCTAAATAATTACTCCAAAAATGATGTATTTTAATGTTGTTGTTATTATTATTATTATTAGTATTATCTTCATCTTTATTATTATTCTATTATGTTCATAACTATAGTTTGTAAACTATTTCATTTTTTATTTTTCCCATTTACTCTTTTTACAATTTACACTCTTCTAAACTGATATGAGGAAAATATTTTTCAAATTTTTATAAAAAATATTGAAGTCAAAATATTTTAGAGAAAAACACTAAACAATGAGTAAAACATAAAAATGTACCAAATATGAGTTCTATATTTTTATTTTCAAAATAAGAGTTACAACGAAAGAAAAATAGATTTGATCATATTATGTGACACTTCTAATATTTAAAATAAAATCTTGTAATATATAATGTAATTACAAATATATATTTTTATAATAAATATTTCATAAATAAATTGATGTGTAATGTAACAACTATAACTTTTAAAAATTTAACGATTTAATATTTATGCTAACTTTATATTCTAATTAATTTTTTTGTGAAAGTAGATTTTTATGTATGAAAAATGACAATACTTTTTTATTTTAAAAACAGTGGTTAAGATAACATGATTATGAATATAACAACAACAAGAATAATAATAATAATAATAATAATAATAATAATAATAAAAGAAATTATAACAACAATTAGAATGAAAATAATATAAAAATAAACTTAAATAATTTTTTTTATAGTTTTTTTAAAGATTTTCTATTTTTTCTCAGTTTTTTTGATTCCATCTAATTTCTTATGTTTGTCTATCGTCGCAACACACTCTCTAATTTCTTATGTTTGTCTATTATGCAACGCATAATAGCCACACATTTTGTGGGGGGCTTACGGCGGGGTTGGAGTGGGGGTGCAGNAAATAACGTGATTTTTGATATCTGAAACAAATTTGTTTCGAGAAATTTAAAATCATGATTTAATTAGTGATAAGCCAAATTGATCGGTAAGGGGGGTGGTTGGTGGTGACAATGGTAGTCGGTAATGGAGAATGACCAATGATTGAAAGAGATATCAAACCTCCATATCGATATCTCCAAAATTCGGAAGATATTGAAATCTTCTATTTGAAAAATTTGATATCTTTTTCCTCACCAAACCCACCCTTATGATTTGGTTAAAGAGTAAAAAGCTACCTAGTACAAATTTCAAATTTAAACGTTTAGAAATAAAGCCCGCTCCGAAAACAGATCAGACCAGACAGTGAGCCTCCCTGCTGAAATCTGCCAAGGAGCAATGGAGAAGGTGAGCGTTGCAGTGAGAGTGAGACCGGCGAAGAGTGAAGACAGCGGCAATGGAACCTTCTGGAAGGTTGAAGACAATCGCATCTCCCTTCACAAGTCTCATGGCACCCCCATTTCCGGCGTATCCTTCGCTTTTGGTACAATGGCCTCTCTCTCTCTCTCTCTCTCTCTCTCTGTGTGTGTGTGTGTGTGTGTGTGTGTGTTTCAATTGGTTTATGAAGCTATGCTTTTATAAGAACATGGTACTAAAAATTAGGTCAATCCTTGTTTCAATTGGGGTTTTTGTGGATTTATTTATGGACGCATCTGTTTAATTTGTATTGTAGATCACGTATTCGATCAAGACTGCTCAAACTCTAGGGTTTATGAGTTGGTCATAGAAAATATTATTCACGCTGCTCTTGAAGGCTTCAATGGTATGCTCTCCTCCTTCACTTATTGTTTAATCTCAATGAACTCTGTTTAATTTGAGATGATAAAAAACAATGGATGTCCTCAACTATTATAGCTATTAAATTCTAATATTTGAGTCTGTGTACTCCGAAATTGGTGTCTGCATATCACTTTCTGGGTAAGCTTCTACGCTAATTCGAGATGCCAAAATATATTTTTTCATGTCCTGAAGCACTGTGTGGTTTATCTTTTATCTTTCAGGAACTGCATTTGCTTATGGGCAGACAAGTAGTGGCAAGACTTATACCATGAATGGTTCCGAGAATGATGCTGGGATCATTCAACGTGCAGTAAATAATATATTTACCAAAATTCATATGGTATTACTTCATTCTCTATGACAAACCTCTATATAAGAATTTACTCGGGACCACTCTAGTTCTATTCCAATAGAGAATGGACTATGCTGGGGCTGAAATATTTCTGTTTGTGATCTATTGGTCTGAGCCTAAGTAGCCCTGCATTTATGTTACCAGGCAGTTGATAGGGAATATCTGATTCGAGTCTCGTACTTGGAAATTTACAATGAAGAAATTAACGATCTTTTTGTTGGTGAGAATCAGAAACTATTGATTCATGAAAGCTTGGAGGTAAGGAAATGGAAAGATTAGTTAAATTAAATGATATTTGGGTGTGAATGTGTGACATACATCTATTTCTATTTCTCTAGCGCGGAGTATTTGTAGCTGGTCTGAGGGAGGAAATTGTGAATTCTGCTGAACAAGTACTTGACCTCCTCAAACTTGGAGAAGGTTTTACCTTGAAACTAGAATTTTTATCAATTTTTGGAATTTCAGTGATTAGATCTACTGCTCAGTCTTACTTATTGTTCGTGTGTAAATCCCGATCTCCCTAAAATTGCTTTGCAGCCAAGAGGCACTTTGGGGAGACTAACATGAATGTACGAAGTAGCAGATCTCACACCATCTTTCGGATGGTATGCTCTTCATTGTTGCATGAATGCTATATTCTGAACTTGTTACTTTGCACGTGGTATTTGATGTCTTTATCTGAAGTTATTTTCTTACCAATTAGGTTATTGAAAGCAAGGAGAAAAATAGTTCAGATGATGCTATCCGTGTCTCCGTTTTGGTATGATATTCCTCCTCATGACCTTAGCATGATGGAAAATAAACAGATGCTTCAACAAAAGAATTATTATAATACTCCTTTCTCTCCTTGACCCCAGAGTCTGAATTTTATTTTAACTGTGTTTTTGTCGGGAAACAGAACTTAGTAGATTTAGCAGGCTCCGAAAGGATTGCCAAGACTGGAGCTGGGGGAGTTCGCCTCAAGGAAGGAAAACACATTAATAAAAGCTTAATGGTTCTTGGCAATGTCATTAACAAATTAAGTGAAGGTGCTAAGCAAAGGTACGGCTTCATTCATACCCATGCGCAGTGATTGTTTTTTTGGCTCTATTCAAACAACTATCTGAAGCTTACATTTTATGTACTCCAGGGGGCATATTCCTTATCGTGATAGCAAGCTCACACGTATACTTCAACCAGCACTTGGTGGTAATGCCAAGACTTCCATAATATGCACTGTAGCACCGGAAGAGGTATTCTTTTTGTGGCATTCCCGTCCTGCATTATTTATCATTTTTAATAGTAACATTAAAATGTTACATTTCACTAATATGTCTAGTGGCTCTAATATAGGTTCATATTGAAGAAACAAGGGGAACCCTACAGTTCGCTAGCAGAGCTAAACGTATCACCAATTGTGTTCAAGTGAATGAGGTGAGGAGCGTACACTTGGGTTCAACACTACCTTCGAAACAAACTTGTATTTTCTTTACCTTTTAATAGGAGATGGAGAAAATTATAGCTCTGTTTTGTAATAGATATTGACGGATGCGGCATTATTGAAGAGACAAAAACTTGAGATAGAAGAGTTACGCCAGAAACTTGAGGTTTGAAATTATTGTCTGTATTTATGTCCCGTGTTATGCGGCCCGACTAATAATTTGAAGTAACTACTTCATAGGGATCCCATTCTGAAGTGCTTGAACAGCAGATTTTGAAATTGAGAAATGATTTGCTGACGGTAACTATTCTTGTTCATCCAGCTAATCAAAAGCGTATTGTTTTCTTTTTGTATTGAGATGATTGCTTATTTTCCATTCATCAGTATGAACTTGAGCGTGAGAAGCTTGCTATGGCGCTGGAGGTGGAAAGAAGGACGCAAAAGGAGCGTATTATGGATCAACAGAGGAAACTAGACGAGCTGTGCAATCAATCAGCTTTATCAGATACAAATGGCCATACCGCTCAGGTTGAGTATGCTAATCCAGTAATTCGGATATCCAATCTTAATCGTCTCCCTTTCTAGTTTCTCTTGTTCTTCATATAGATTACTATGTAAGCCATGACTTGTTATATGGTAAACAAAAGGTTAAATTCATTCCTCGGTGCAGAATACCTCTCTGCATAACTTTGGGGAAAGGAAAGGCACATGTCAGGATGATGCCTTTAGTACACCATGTTATAAAGCAGCTCCCAGTGCCTTTGTTGCTAAACGATCAAACAATTCTAGACGGTGCGAGTATAGTCCTCTTCCTGACGCATTTGGTGACTTTGCTGATGAAGATACATGGGCAAAAATAAATAAAGGCTTCATAGCTGATCTTGATGTGAGCCTCACTTTCATATGACTAAGATGTGATGGATGACTTTTTAAAACTCATGTTGGTTATTTCTCTCAATCACCATTTCACCCAGGATCGATCCACACCGGATTGCAATCAAGAAGTGGAGAATCTTCGGAGAGAACTGAAGCAAGTTTTAAAGGAAAGAGACGAATTCAAGGTTGTAACTATGGTGTAGATTAAAAAAAGTGTGCATTGTTTTGATCAGTTATGTTTTCAAGGTTATCTATCCACAATGTGTGGCTTATGTTTTGGTTATGTAATTTACAGGCAGATTATTTAAAACAAAGATCACTGAACGAAGATTTAATGAAAGAGATTTCTCAACTTCGGCAAGAGGCGTCTCTTGTTCAAAAAATCCCTGAAAGACACTTTGAATGTATTGTCGTCTGCAAAGATATTTACAAAGATGTCTTGTCAATAATACAGGTAATGACTTCTTAATATAATCTTTTCTGGCTCATTCCATAATCTAAATTACTAATAACTGACCAAGTAGACAAGAAAAGGCTAACAAATGTTCTAACATTCATTCCATAATCGGTCCCATAACAACTAATAAGAGGATTGACAGAGAATTACTTTTAATAAAAGAAATAATTGATAACTGGGAAAAAGCAGATAAAATGCTTCTTCAGGACAAAAAAAAGCACAAAGTAAATACTAGAACCATAACACAGAAAAAAGAGACCATTAAAACAAAGAGAGCAAAGTAAATACTAAGACCATAATCGAGAAGACAAGAATCAGACGACAGAGATGGCAAGGATCAGACGACAACAAAAAGCTCTGCAAAAGGGAGAAAAGGCAGATGAAAACCAAATCCACGTACTAGCCCTTTACAAAATCACCCACATTGTTGATGTCGTCTTCAATCAGTTCTGGGTGGGTTTTTGGGGTCAAATGCTCATCAATGCGCTACTCCAAATGTGGCAAGCCCCCTCCCTTCCTCTGTCCCTGGTCCTGGAATAGTCCTCCGGAATGTCAAAAAAAAAACCTCATAACTTCTGTTTTCTTGCCAAAAGGTTGTTTAGCACCCTGTGCACCTTCTTACCAAAAGGTTGTTTACTCGCAGAGCTTGTATGTGTGCATTGTAAGGTTGCAGGAGGTGCACAGGGTATGGAACAACCTTTTGGAAGGAAAACAAAAATTATGAGAGGATTTTTTGACATTTTGAGGGGATGTTCCAGGAAGGGATGCTCAGGACAGAGGAGGGGAGGGGGCTTGCTTCATTTGGAGTCGGACGTTGATGAGCATTCGGCCCTAAAAACCCACCTGGAACTGCATGAAGAGGACATCAACAAAATGAGTGTTTTTGTAAAGGGCTATTATGTGGATTTGGGTTTCATCTGCCTTTTCTCCCTTTTACACAGCTTCTTCTTGCGGTCTCCGTCGTCTCATCTTTTCTTTCTCCGTTGTCTGATCCTTGCCTTCTCAATATGGTCTTAATATTTACTTTGCGCTCTTTGTTTCTCCCATTTATCAGTAATTTCTTTTTTTGGGGAATTCTCTGTCAATCGTTTTGTTAGTTGTTAGAGGACAGATCATGGAACGAATGATAGAAAGTTTGTTAGCTTTTTCTTGTCTGCTTCTTCAGTTATTAGTAATTTAGTATTATTGTTATACAATTTTTCAGTTATCAGTAATTTATTGGCTGCCATATCAGCGATCCCGGGGGATGGGGGTAATAATATCTTAAATCCTGATGGTTTATGGTGCAGAACTGTGTAGCTAATGAGAAGTCGCCAACCGCCAAGTTACTATCTGCCTCAAGTGAGATTGGCATCTCCCTTTTTTCCACTCTGGAATCAAACTTCAAGATGGATATGGATGGAGATATATCCTCAAGTAGAATAAATGTTTCATTTGAAGACCAGCGAACGAAGCTTTGTGAGAAGGCAAATAGTACAATATCTTCAATCACAAGCCAACATCCAGAGAAAGTATCAAACAGCAGCAAACATAAGGTAGCTGCTTGGTCACTACAGATACCCAGATCTCACACCTTCCTTTTTATTCTATTCTTCATTTCAACCATGGGATTATACTGTCTATCTTCTTTGAAGCCCATGGTACTATAAGGTACTAGTTGTCCACGCAATCCCTTTTGATACTTCCAAGTTCCAACCGCTAAATGTTTTTTTACATATAAACTCATAGAAACTAAGATTCTTAAAGTGGCATTTGGAATCCTGAAATAGGGAAAGGAAATTATAAAAAGAAATTTGAATGAAAGAAATTTGGATATTCTTTATGTCTATTATGTAATGAAAAAACAATTAGTATATGTAATCTTTCAATCCAAAAAATAATCTTTTTTCGTTTTGCTTTGCATTTCCAAATTGAAAACATACATAATAAAAACAACTTATCCCTAACCTTTTTCATTGTGGGACATTTGATCCATGGAATGTGAGATGACATTAACTATTCTGGTTCTCGAAATGCAAATATTACTTAAAATTCCAAACATGATGTTAATGTTACTCTACTGGAGTAATCAAACAACTTTATTTTGAACACCGTTTGGTTACTTTATAATCCAGGGATCTAATCTAGAGCAAGATATTGATAGTTGGAAGAGGGCACTTGAGGACGAAGTTGGAAAAGTGAAGGAAAAATGCTGCAGCTTGGAGAAAGAGTTGGAGGCCAGCAATCAACTTGTTGTGGCTTCCAGTGAAAGACATAACAGCTTAGACAAACAGGTTTGTGCATTGAAAGAAGAGAGGGATATGTTGGTCCAAAGAGTTAGGGACTCAACTCAAAAGGTTGCTCACCTTATGGATCAAAGAGACACAGTTTTGAAGAACTTGTGCGCGGAAGAGCATAGGAGGAAAGAACTTGAAGAAGACATAAGAGACTTCAGCCTTGCTTTTACGCGGAGACAGAAGACGCTTTTGTCCCTCCAGTGTGACTTCAGGTCTTCAATTGATAATTTTAAGGCTCGGAATCCAGTTCAAGGATCCTCCGCTTAAGGAGGAGTATCTCTTCTTTGTTTATAAATGTGGTTTTTATCTTCTCTTCCTCTAGCGTTTGTCATTGAGCTCTTGCAGCAAGAAAATGTATTTTGGAGAACCACCATTGGTGTTGTTTAACCCATACCACCATTGTAAGTTCATCTAAAACTAATCGAATATTTTTGGTTAATTAATTACTTGGTGTAATTTTTATTTTTTAATTCTATACCATTTGTCATATAAAATGGTTTGAAAATAATTTCAATCAAACATCATAAACCGAAACAGGCGTTATAAAATTGGACGGAGGTAGTATTTTGTTTGTTTAGACACGGGGTGAACTTCAATTACCCTTAACTACCCAAAATCCTAACTACCCAAGAGTTGATCCACATAATATTGTTGTGTGTAGTCTCTTTAAATTTTTGCTGCTTTCAGAGTATTCTCCCACCCAAAAGACCAAAACAGCAAGTATGGTATCCTAATAAAAGTACTTTTGTGGTGTGATGTGTAACTTTTATATCAATTTACTCCTGATCGAAATTAAACTTATTTGATAAAATAATATAATTATGTCACCATTTATTTTGTAAAATTTTTATGTACTCCGAATACTTTTAAATATGTAAATTTATTTTTAACTTCTGCCTTAATTGTCCTATAAATTAAATAAACTATAATTTTACTCAAGCTTTATAAACCTAAACAAGCCATATAAATTGAGGGGAATGGAGTATCTTTTTTGGACATTTAATAAATCATCCTATAGTTCACAATTCACATCGCCACATCAAATATTTCGGTTCTCAACTTCTCACAACAGCTCTAGAGGCAAAATGAAATCTTAAAATATTTCAATTGGGTAAAAAAGTTTGATTAAAAAAATTAAGGTAACATTTTATACTCCATATAAACTTGGGCACAAGCCATATAAACTATCATGATAAAAACAAAAAACACTACCAAAACGACCCTAATCTTCGTTGGACTTCCAATTGAAGAAACAAATCCTATGAAACTTTTGCGAATCAACAGCCCTTCCATTCCACACTTTTCTTCAAGTACTCCGTAATGCCTTGGCGTGATTATTAAAAAAAGATCAGTAGTGATTGTTAACATATATTCTCTTCTTAAGGAAAATTGAAAATTTAGGAACAATGCAATAATAGTTGGGAAAATTTGGGAATAGTTCAAGAATACAATAATAATGCAACAAAGAACACATAATGTCCCCAAACTACCCCCTCTGCTCGATCCCTGGAGTGGTAGAGGATTACAAATAAAGGGTTGAAGTTGATGAAGGTTAAAAAATAAGGGGTTGTTTCCATTTGACAACACAACCGTGGCAAATAATAAATGAATTGTCATTTGTATGGAACACAAGTTAAGTCACGTTCATTAGTTCCTTGCACAAGAGCTCTGGCCTAGATGAGAACAAAAACACAACCCAGTAGGCCCCCACAAAAAGTAGAGTCCGGGGGGTGGAGGATGTAGGCAGACGACCTTACTACTACTTGAAAGTAGGGTTGTAAACGAACCGAATCGAATCGAATATTCATGAAAAATATTCATATTCGTTAAGATGGAGTGATATTCAAATTCTGTTCGAATATTTTTTTAAGATTCGTATTCGGTTCGTTTAATATATTAAACATATTCGGTTCATTTAAATATTCGATTCGTTTAAATATATTCGGTTTGTTTAAAAATATTTTATAACCATTTGATATATATATATATATATATATATATATATATATATATAATTAGATTTATATTCCAAATATATTTGTCAAACTCACGAATCGAATACCCTTGATTCATATTCGTATTCGATAAGGATTCGAATATATATTCAGATTCGTATTCGTATTTGGATTTGAAAAAATCGAATACGAATCACCTTAAACGAATACGAATCACGAATCAAACAAAAAATATTCGATTCATTTACAACCCTACTTGAAAGTAGACAGACGGCTTCCCAGAGAAGACCCCCGGGTCTCTGGGAAGAATGACCGAATCTTGTTGTCTGCAAGAGTACATAACCTTAAAAAAGATTATTACAATTATTAACACAAGTATTATGGGGCAACAAGATTGTGACTGAAAACTCAACAATACTGAGTTGCAATTCTATAAAAGCAAAGAGCACAAAAGCAGCTTTATGTTTTTTCTTACTCGTACATAATTTGGAAAGAAAAATGACATGATACATGCTTTTCTATAATTCGGATAATAATGACAATTCCTAGTAAGAGCAAAATATTTAAGGAGTCTAACAAATGCCAATGTATGGTTGTTAGATACGACCTGGGAAAACAGAGGATCATGCAGTGAAAGAAAAGTAGGGCATCCGTAAGAGGCCTGTCTAATAAGATGGGCAAACTGCACATATGTCTACTAAAGGGAGCATGAAGAGGGGAGGTGTAATGACGAGATCAGAATAAGTGCACAAAAAAGGAAGAAAGGCGCACTCAGTAGATTTCACCATCCTCGCCAAGTTCACCATCTTCGAGCTCTTCATGTCCACCACTGTTACGTCGAGAGGAGTCACGTTCTTTTCTGTGTCTCTTGTGCCGACTTTCGCTATCTGACTCTGGTGAATGCTGTCAACAGAAAAATGTATATTGTCAAGATTATAATGTGCAGTCCTTAGTGCAAGTGTGTTAGCAGCCATTATACTTAAGCTCATAGCATTAATCTTTGAAGAATATACAAATATTTTGTTAGATCTAATTTTTGTTTTAAAATATAGATATGCCATAATAGTTCAAAGCAAGGTTTGATTTACAACATTAAAGGAAGAATAAGAAAAATATAACCCTAAAGAGAAATGCCTAAGACACAAACATCTCTGTCACAAACTACCCCAACTTGCCATTTGCGCACCTCAGAAAGTGAATAAAATATTTTAAATAAATAAAAAGTAAAAATTTGAATACACAAATGGCAAGTTTGTGTAGTTCCTGACTCTAGCATCACTCAAAAAAAACCCTACGGATCCTCCACTTTCCACCTCCCTCCCTCTTTGCTCTCATTCCCTCGGTCTCTCGAATGTACTCCAATAAAACACAAGCATAGAATATGTTGTGTGTGTGGTGGAGGTGTGGGGGGGTTATATTTAAAAACAAATATTTAACTTAATACTTTTCTAAAGTAAAGTATAAAAATGAAAATTTAGTATAAACTAGGGGTCTCTGAGAAACAGCCTCTCTACTTTCGAGTAGGGGTACGGTCTGCGAACACATACCTCAGAGACCCTACTTTTTGTGGGGTTTTACTGGGTTTGGTTTTGTATAATAAACTCAATATGCTAATTCATAACCCTTTATTCATCACGAGTCCCAAGAATAGTGTTGTTATGTAAAAAATAATAAAATTAGCCATATCCTCCTCCCCCCCCCCTCCCCAAATCACTCTCCCACATAATGTTATATGTCAAAGTGGTTTATCAAGTCTCTAGACTAGATTCACGTAGTGGTCAGAGAACCCTTATCCACCACAACAGGCTGTGAGTAGGGTTGTTGGGAAGTGGGAGCCGGGGAGGTATTGACTGCGCCGAAAAGAGACTTAAAAACAATAATGGATAGTCGCCTATTTTGACCTCAGTTGCAAATTTCCAACCATCTTCTTATTGCTCGTGCTGCATGTATAGGACGATGGTTAATTTATTACTTACCCTCCTCGACTTTTTCCTGTCACCACCATGTCGACGGGGCTTCTTAGTTTCCTCTTTCTCATCCTTATCAGAAGTCACATCATCTGTAGGGCTATGATGCCTTTTCCGGTGTTTTCTGTCTTTTCCCCTATCCCTCTTTTTATCTTCTTTGTGATCATACTCAATGAAATCAGTACTCTCGTCATTCCTTCTTGATCGCTCTTTTCCCTTCTCCTTTTCTCTTTCACGCTCTTCCTTGTCCTTTTCTTTTCTCTCCTCTTTCCTCTTTTCTTTTTCATCCTTTTCTTTATCTTTTTTAGCCTGCAAATATAGATATCAGACGAAAGTAAGTAATCTCTCTTGTCCTATTTATAAGTCACAGTTTTGACTTCCATACAACCCAATGAAATCATTTAAGATCATTAAAACTAATTTTACTTTCTATGTGCCGTTACTAAATGGTACTTCATTTTTTTTGACAGCTTAAATGGTACTTCATGATTTGTGACAAACACTAACAGATCATGCTCCTTCGTTTCATAAGGCCAATAGTTGAGAAACAAACAAGATATGCATTAGTAATACGAAATGACTTTTTAGGACCATCCTAAGGTGCCGTATAGATAGGGCCGGAAGGAATATATTTTTTAGGTTGCCATCAATCCAGCCAAAGAAGCAAGAGGAGAAAAGGTAAATACTTCATATATTGGTATGCGTTTATATTACAATAGGAATGGTATCCGGCACAAAACCGTGCAGCTATGTTTTTGTATTGTTGACTAATTTTAGACAATAAATTTCACCCCACCAACCACATCATGGTATGGATTAAGATATGATGGTAACAATGATGATAAGTTGATTCTGGTTTATAACCACAACCCAGCAAATCAGATACTACATATATGGACACTAAAAAATGGGCATGAAAAAAACATGTGATAGTGGAAGGACCCTTCCTCCTTTCATTTCCTTCAGAATCATTTTTCCAACACTCCATGTCTAGTTTCCATATCCTTTCTAGCTCATTCCAAGCCAATCTGGGCCAGAACCCATGTTTTTCAGGAGGAACCATTTTCCTCGCACTCTTTTCAGTTGATTCAAAATGTATCCTATATTTAAATCTTCTAATTTCAAAACACAGTACAACATATTTTAAGTCCTCCAGTCATGTGTCATTGGTCATTTGGCCCCTGTTATCAAAAATTGCAAAATGCATCCCAACTTTGCAAGATTATGGCAGTTGTTTCAGATTTCCAGCACAGGTGATCCATAGTTGTTTAAGGTGTGATGCGCACTGATGCACAAAAAGTCCATAGCGCCTCAATGCGTGATGCATAAATAATGCGTGCACATCACGAGCATGAGGCGCAAATTGAAAGATAAGGAGCATAGAACCTCTAAATTACCAACAGTTCCTATAAAATTTAAAACATCTCTAAATTAGAAACATTTCTTATAAAATTTTGAAAGACATGATAAAATTTCAGAAAGTAACCAAGAATCAATGTCACACATAGTACCATTGACAAATAAAAATACTAAAAGTTCAAGAACAAAAATAGTTAGTCGCAAAAACAAAAAACATGTTCTTTCCCACAATAAAAACCTCCTTTATGGATGAAACAAAAGTACAGAACTGCGTGAGAAAACATGGAAATCTAGCGACTTTAAAAGCTGAAGTGGGCAAAAGAAACAAAAAGAAAATCTGAGAAGCTACTAGTGCAATATCGCCAGGAAAAGAAAAAAAGAAAAAGAGAAAAAGAGAAGTCCCGGCAATTTAAAAAATTGAGGTCGATTTAAAAATGAAAAAAATATATATGAAAAGTGAGAAGCAAGTCAGGTGATTAACCTGAAAGAGAAGAAACACAATCGTCAAAGGGAGACTTGCAAGTCGCAATTCGTTGAAGTCCAAGAAGCGGAAGGAGAGAGATGCAAAGTTGAACAGTGAAAAGTGAGTTAAGTAGTCAACCCTAGTCTTAATGTAAAAAAATAAAATAAAATAAAAAACATAGGGTTCGCGATGTGCGCCTTGTAGCGCATCGCATCGACAAATGCAATGATGTGCGGTTATGCACGTGCCTCCTCCCTGCATCACACTGCCTGATTCGCAGAACCGCCACGCGCACATCGCGCCTCAGGCCCTCAGGCGCGCTTTTCACAACTATGACAGGATCCCAAGACATCAATATTGATGTGAAAATGTCCATAAAGAATGAGAAGTGTTTAAGCGTCAATAAATTTTGTCATAGCCAAACCTGCCATATCCTTGCAAAGTTCAGGGTAACTTTGAATTTGTTTATGAGACCACAACAAGCCAACAAAGCAAATTGGTAAATGTAAACATATGGTATGCTTTTGAAAACATTCAAATGACTAGTGAGTACTGATATTGTATTCGAAATATGTCAATTACCTTCTCCTCATCCCGTCTACGCTCTTTTTCTAAGGCCTTCTCCTGCAACCATGCAACATGCTCCTCAAAGAGTTCCCTTAAGGTTGTTTCTTCGCCAATAGCTCTAATTAAAATGCAAGATAGAGGAAAGAACACAAATAATAATGAGCATATTAAAACAAGCATTAGTGTTAGGAAGAACATTTATGCAAATATAAGGAACAAATAGTCAAATACTTGTATTCTAAGCTATCTTCGAAAAGCTCTTTGCACTCATCCCAACTTGAAGAAACAGTTATTTCCTAAGCAGAATAAGAGAAATATTCAGATGCTAGATACATAATTTGATAAATACTATGTAAACGATATCACTTAAAGTGGATATTGCACACATCAATATTGCTCAGCATCTCCATAAAATCGCTTGAAAGGCGTTGACGCTTTTTAGCTTCTTTCTCCTCTTTTTCCTTTGCTCTATCCATGAGGTCCTCAAATATGAGCTGCGATCAGAAGGCACCCAAGTAAAGCACAATATCTATTAGCAAGCTTGAAATACAAAGCAACACTGATCACTAAAGTAGATAGTACTCTGTATATGTTAAGAGTTTTTATTCCAATTATTCGAGAAGAAATTATAGGTTATCTTAAACTAAATCATATCTAGATAATTAATTATACCAGCAACGAGTCTATCAAACCAAAGGGACAAATTCTATGATGGACCTAAGGTCCACCATGGACCTACATATGAGCAAAATAATCATTTGCTTTTTAAACAAAAATAAAAAATAAAAAAAGATTTTTTTTATGTGAGAAGGTCCACAACATTGATATGCACCCAAGGTGCACCAAAGAAGCACTCAACCAAAGGGATGGCCTGAATAATATTTTGAAAAAGCAAAACAGTTAAAGGAATCTATACTTGAGAAGTAGGTAAGCGAAACCTAAGTTAAAGATTAATGATGTCTATGATGTAAATGGTTTCAAATGTATAATTCAAAAAATATACTCCCTCCATCCCAAAAAAAACTTTCCACTTTCACTTTTTATATGTCCCAAAAAACACTCACTTTCAATTAAAATCTCTCTTTTAGTACTTTTACCCCTACTAATTATTAACCTACCTATCACATGATATCTATTCACCATTAATCTACCCATCACATCTTATCCTACCCTATGATAAAGGACAAAATTGGAAAGTAACACCAAAATTACATTCCTAAAATCCCACTTTTTTCCAAACTGGAAAAGTTTTATGGCATGGAGGGAGTAAGTAGTAGCAGTAATAAAAATCATCATAATAATAGGACTTATAATAATAATAATAATAATAATAATAATGACAATAATAATAACAATAATAATCATCAACAATAAGAACAACATATGGTGATATGGAGTGTGAAGAAACAATCAAAGATTTTATATTTTGAGTAATTTGTATATCTTGTAAATCTGAAATGAAGGATGATACAGGTACTTATAGTATAAAAAGAAATTTCCCAAGTCTTCGAAGTTCCAATGACTTCATGGTTGATATCAAGTCTCTTACAAAACTAACTTTACAAATAATTACAGCTAATAAGGAAATCAATTTTTCTGGCATTAGTACAAATCTTACAAAAGATAGGAATTAATGGAGACATTGGTTAGAGGCACCTCAATAGAGATTAGATGTTTTAAACTTTTGGTATTCCATATATCAGTTGGTGAGGACAAAAACTGGTGCCATGAGTTGGGCAATGTTGACTAACTTTTGAGATCTCACATATAGACCCCAACAGTATCCTTAGCAAGAGAAATTCTATGAAAAAGTCACAATTCAAACAATTCTGGCACAGGATGGAAAAACTCATAATACAATTTGAAACAATGGTAGGCAGCACTTCATGTGGCATCTGATGCTGATCGGAGAAACAGTGATGGCCTTTCCAAGACGAGGGAAGTGCAAAGGTAGTGGTACTGTGGTAGTGACGTAGTGTAGCTGGCAGATGTCTGGATTTGTGTAGATATGAAAAAAAAAGTTGTCTTGGAAAAATGTGTGATGGGGCTGATGGCACATCCTAACAGTGCCAGCTAAGAGGTTTTCGGCATTGAGTCGCCACGAGGAGATGGGTCTGGTGGTGGGTTGGGCCTGGGTTCAGATTTTTTGCACCTCTAGGCTCTATCACAAGATAAAACCCGTCCGAAAAGTAACTATTCACACCAGAAAGAAACAATTCACAGATGGCTTTGATACCATGCAAAGATAACGGCAAGCCTTCATGTATATGAGAACCTAGAGCATGTTCTCCTCCACTTATTCTTATGAGAATCACACCAGCCCACAAGACCAGAAACATCTTTAATTATAACTAGAATCAGATGAGATAGACCAGATCAGATCTTAATAAAATCAAATCAGATCCAATCATATCAGAGGAAGAGAACATGCTCTAAATGTACAAATGATTATACTCCGTAGCAAATACTTTTCATTGGTTCGAGGCATTTTCTCTACCCTTTTTACCCTGAAAGGTACCTTAACCTTACGTTCTTGAACCAAAAAACATCTTCAAGACTTCAACCAAGTGTATACACACCACATCACCACAGTAGACATGTCGTCAAACCCAAGGTCATCAAGAAAAACAAAATCTTAATCCCAAATCAATGAAATCCGCTACATAAACTAATCGAAAAGTTCCAAAATAGTCTGCCAATGGAGAGTCAATGCGTGCAACTAATGTGTGCACCATGTTTTGCCTCAATGGAGAGTCAATGCGTTAATATCCCTTAAAATTTTCATCCATGACAATTTTTGCCTATTAACCATTAAGACTTCTCTTTAGGTATGTGACATTCCAACACTTCACTCTCCAAACAAGTCAATATTTACACTAAGTAGGCGCTATACCAAGCACCTTTTCTAGAAGTGTTAGTGACATGTGACCATCTTAACATACACATTTCTCGCACATGTTTTGGGTTCCTATCATTTTCTCTTTAAATTTTTTCATTATTGTCCACCATTTTTATCTGTATAAAAAAGGTCTTGTATGAGTTACACATTTGTACTTGTCTTCGGGGTACATTATTATCACAAAATAGTTTTGATGCTCCTTTCCATGTCAGCCAACTTGCATTGATCTTTAATGTCACATCATTAACAAACCCTTCAAGTTGCTCATATCCATGTTAGACAACTTGAACTAATCTTAGGTGTAACATCATTGCTAAACCAATGTCAGTGGTTATTCTAGTTGAGTCTATTAAGCTTCACAGTGAATAACCTTTTAACCAAACATGTGTACTACAAAATCATAATGTCAATGATAACTAGATATAAAACGCAAGGCCAATAGTGACTACAACAAAAGAAAAAACAAGTAAATAACAAATTATATTAAATCGAACTAATTGAAGTTTGAACCTGCAAATTAACTTCAGAAATGTGTGGAGTGCCAACGCTTTCCGGTATAGAATCTTTAAAGTGCTCAAATGACCATGTTGATGAAAAGTTTATCTGAACAAGTAAGCATGGACAACAAGGATTATTCAAATAATATGACCAGAGTAATGGCATAAACAAGGCAAAGATATTGATAATCATACCTTTTCAGACTTCAAGACATTTTTAACACGTGTTCTGTCTTCATAATACTATTAGAAGTACGAATTCAAAGGAAAATGAGTTAGCATAGAACTATAGACCCTGGAACTCATGGGTGGTGGGAGCATTAGTGCATTACTGCCATATGCAGTACCTAAAACGCACTACCTCATTACAACTGACTACAAGGCAATGTTTAAGAGTCGAGATACACATTTTCTATGGAGCACAAAATTTCATGAAAATAATCAAACAAACAAACATATAAACACAATATTCATCAGCCAACCAAACACTTTCTAAGCTCCTGGAAAAAGAAAAGTAAGAGCGGCTTCCACTCACAGGAATTATAAAGCATTTTGAGAAGGGAATCAGGAATAACCACAGAACCCGTTTTTCAAAAATGACAGATTTGTAACTGATTGCTACCTGAATTTCCAACTCTTCAAGAGCATCTTCAAACAAATCCCTTGGTGTAGACCCTGAAGTGTTTGATGCAACAGCCTGATAAGGCACAGACTCCTTCACCTATGATTGCCAGCAACAGCAGGAAGAAGAAAAGAGTCTAAGTTCAGTAAATATTGTATCATTTACATAACATACGGGAAAAAGATGGCAAATGTGGCATTGTGACATACCGTCTGACAGTAATCACGCCATTGTGTTTTAGCAGTGAGTGTCCCAGCAGCAATATGGTCTTCCATCATATTACGGAAAGCATCACGGTTCTTGCGCTCAGCACGCCTCAAGTGTTCCTAATGTTAATTTGTATGCAATCAAATTCTTCAACAATAAATCAAATTGTGATACAGAACATTGAAGTTAAACTGGAGCCACCTTTTGTGTTTTACGCTGCTCTTCTTCCTCACGCTCCAAGTCACGAATATAATCCTGTCATACCGACATGTGTAAGCATCGTAGTTCTAAAAGCATTGTGGAATATGAAATCGTGAATACAATACCTGGAAACCCTCCAAGCGGTCATATTTTTCAAGGCGTGAGCATCGTTCATCATCTTCCAAGAGATCCTGAACTTTCCGCCACTGTGTATCAACCTGGAGCCCAAAGACAGAATTTGAACAAATAGGACAGAAAAAAAACATATTAAAGCAAAGATAATAGCTTTTGAAATGTCACCCATTATGATCATCATGTCATAGGGAACGAAATCCCAAAAACAGAACTCTCCGATCCCCGCCCACTCCCCCCCACCCCCCAAAAGAAGAGAGAGATACCTTGATAAACCCACATGTTTCAAGGAATTGTCTATACTCCAATCTGTTTTTCCGGTAATCCTCTTGAGCTTTTGCCTTTTCCTGGACATACAAGAGTGTTGAAGACTAAGTAACATTTGAACATCTGGACCTTCATCATTGAGTAAGGAAACTAAAAGGATGATTATGTAGATTATGCAAAATTCATATCAAACTAAAGAGCATCTTCTTCTTACCTTTTTCAAAAGATCCACCAAATACATTTTGAAGAGTTCTTCACGGTCAGCCTCTCTTTCAACAGCCTTGAACCGCTCATCATCCTCAAACATTGTGACTGCTTTGCTGGGTATCGAAAAAAACCAAAGACTTCTATTACTACTGTTCTGCATTGTATCTGAAGTGTGCGGGTTTAATAAGAAAGTTACTACCTCCATCTTGTTGATGATGTGAGTTCCTTGGACTCCTGAAGAATAAATGATAAATAAGAAAATGAAAGTGAGAAACTGGTTCGTTATCAGTACATCTTCAATTTATGATAACAAAAACCCAGGACCCGGGTGACTGGCTAATGACTATGATCAAAAATTAAAATATCATGCTATCAAAATTGTGAATATGATGTTGGTTTCATAATAACATATATTGTAGATTGTAGCTAGTATGTTTGTTAGCTATTATTTATTAATCCTTGCAAATTTCAGGAATGAAGGGAAAGCTTAAGGTATTAGAGATTAGAAGCTATTATTTTGCTAATCCTAGCAAATTTGCGGGATGAAAGAAAGCTTGCCTGTGAGAAAGAAATATGTAACACACAATCTGGTGGAAATGAGAATCAGCAGAAGATTGAATGCATTTAGAACAAAAATCAGGGTTTCCTAATGATTTTGATGACTCAAAAAGATGCTTGTTTTTTGAACTAAAACCAGCAAAATTAAGTATGACATGTATAGCAAGAGTAAAACTCAATTGAGTGCTGCTTGGGGCAACAAGTGCGTGTTTGGATTTCAATATGATCCAAACTCATTGTATATCTGTAATATGTGCTGCTTGGGGCAACAAGTGCGTGTATTCCAATTCATTTGAGTTTATAGTATATTTGTAATGTAGTTACTGTTTCATTAAATAAAAATTCAATTACATAAAATAACATACGCGAATGTACCAGACTGAACAGAAGATGGATTCAAAAAATTACATATGACTACAGTTTGAAACTTTGAAAAAACCAAAATATGCAAAATACCTTACTGAAAACAGGAAATGAATTGTCAGAACAAAATAATGAGTAAAATTCATGAACACAAAACTTACTTCCAACATCTTCGTGAATTCCTCCTTCGCTTTCCTCTGTCTCAGGCGCTTCTCCTCAGCTTCAAGCTTCCTCCTTTGCATCAGGTACTTTTTGCAAAACCCAAAATAAGTGAACGAACAGATCAAAGATGAAATATTAATGTACTAGTGACTATAAAACATGACCAAGAAATTATGTTACTAGGGAAACTCAGTAAATAAAAAACCCTAGTTAAACCATATTGAGAAAACTTTAAGAGAATGGCAAATACCTCATTGAATGCCTGCTTTCTCTCACCATGAGTTTTCAGTGCTCCGTACCGCTTATCATTGGCTATTGCTCGCACTGTCTAGAATGGTAGAAAAAAGAGATCAAGTGCATTCAGATTAGTATGTCGGTGTTTAGATATGTTAAGAATGGACTAAAGAAATACATCACATAATTATATAATAACCTGATCCCAAGTCCAGTCAGATCCCACGCTAGCAGATTCTAATAGAGCTTTAAAAGCATTTTTGGCATCCTAAAGTAAAAGAAAGCAATCAGATTATCAACAACTCAGCACAATAATATGCAGAATATTCTAAATAAATACCTGCTTGGTGGCATACACCAAAGGTTCCTCTTCAGATGCTTTACCCTCTGAATGTGTAGCAAAAAGATTTGTAGCAGCATTACTTTTATTCATATGCTGTGAGATGCAATTTGAGAGTCAGGAGGATTACTAAAATGTAATGTGGGCGAAAAAACTGGTGTTTTGTGTGGGAGAGTAGTGTTCAAGTAGACATGTCTACAATATCAAATCACCCAACTATGAATAGCAAAGGGTAAATCTAATAGTAAAATGCTTGAAGCAACAATTTGGTCATACAAAACACACTAGTCTTAAAATCATTTTGGCAGTTTTGACCATAGAGAGCCAGACTAATGGCATACTGACAATGATTCAGAAAAATACATACCCCATTGTCCTGTACAGAAGATACACCTGAGGAAGCAACAACTTGGGGAGATAAATTCTCAGCGACATTCCTGTATGCACACGCACATTAAAATAATTGACAGAGATAAACATTAAGCACATCTGGAGAAGCTAAGAAACAGAAATGTCCATACAGAGGTGCCTGGTTGGAGCTAGCCAAATTTGCGGGATCTGTGTTACTTCCTGGTGCTGCAGCAGGCGAAGATACATTGGCTGAGCTTGTTGTAGCAAGGTTCAAAGCAGGAGTAGCTGGTGATCCAGAAACCCCCGCAGACGAAGCATTAACAACAGTGGCAACCAGTGTAACTGGTGCCGGGCTTGAAGCTACTCCAGAAAAAGTTGAAGGGCTAGAGCTAACCGGGGTTACAGCAGTGAACTGATTTTCACTTGAGGTTCCAGTTGCACCCTTGGGTGTCAAGCCTGCATCTGATATTTGTTCTTGAGCAGCAGCTTTTTCAGCTTGTTCACGAGCCAACTGATGCAATCACTGCAAGTTCAGTAATTTAAAGAAAACAATAACGCACATGCAACGAAAGTTACGAATTGCAAGTACCTTTAACTCCTCGGGTATTTCCCACTTAGACTCCTTCTTTTCTTTGTGATAGTAATACCTGAATAAGTTGAGCAACAAGTCAACAACAGAGGGGCAAAAATAAAGATCCATGTCTCGAAACCAACAAATGAAGGATCAGTTTAAAAGAAGTCTATCTACTGTATTAACTTACTTTCTTCCATTCTCGGTTGTAAACTCTTTCCAACCAGTTAATGCCTCTTCTCTCTGAAAGGGAAAGTGCACAGTGTAAGGGGGAAAGCAAACAATACTGCTCATTTCTGCATATAATCTCCAACCAGCCTTGATATGGAAAACTAGACAAATCCAACATAGCCAGTAGGTTCAGGGGAGGGTGAATGTAAACATGCTTTATCTCTACCTTTAGGAATGAAGAGTTTGTTTCCGTGTTGAGCACGTCTAAAGGAAAAATAGAGAAACTCAGAAAAACGTTAAAATTATTTAAATTATTAAATATTTTTAAAATATTAAAGATATTTGTAAAACATTTTTAATGTCTTAGCAGTTAATAAAAAGGAATATGTGGGTGAAAGATAGCGTGAATTGTTGGGTAATAAACTATAGGGGCAATATTTTTACATCATCACCGATGGAATAAAACAAAATGACTCTTTAAACTATTTGCGCTTCTTTCAATAGTGAAGCAGCAATTAGTCAATGAAACTTTCGCCGCTCATCAAGGGTCATCTGGAAACAGCCGCTCTGTGTTTTAAACAGGCTGCGTACATTCGGCCCCCATACCCTGCAATTGTATGGGTTAATGTTGTTGTATGGGTTAATGTTGTTGGCTGAGCAGTTGGGTTAATGTTGTTGTTGTAAACTGTTGGGGCAATACAGGAAGAAACTAAAAGAACATAAAACATTATCAAAAGGACATTACACTAAAAAATGGGTAAGCAAAGTACTAGATATCACTCACACAAACCCTTGACTACAGGGTCAAAATCCTGACCCCCTAAAAGCAAATGAACTTAGCATGCAATAACAAAACACACATCTATTATCTAATCCCTCTTTTAATTATGGCAAAGAATGAAGCAAATCATTGCCTGCCTTGCGAAGAAACTTCCTTCACAGTGAGTATTGTGAGCAGTTGATATATTCTTGTCAATTGCCAAGACAGCTACAAACCAGTAGAACATGCAAACAAAGGGAGAACACATATAAAACCGCTATGCACAATTCGATTTTTTTACTTAATGGTCACCTTCCATAGATAACAATGCCTCCAAAGCCACGAGGCGACCAGAAGCAATCTAAAACAATAACTTATATTTAAGTTTCAGAGTAACAGGTTAAGTATTGGCTCACCTCTAAGGGCGTCATTAATTCCAAGGGCTTCTCCCAGCTAGACTGTTTTGTAATCTTGTTGTAGTAGTATCTAATGTAGGGGTGGGTGGGGGACAAAAAAGAGATAATGTTGGCTAAAATAATTTCAACAACGATTAAAGAAATCAAATGAAAAAGTTAGATCCATATTTCCCTAGGACCCTAACTTTGAAAGGCTTTATAAAGACTAACTTCATCCCACAAAGATTTTCCCACTTACCTTTTTTGTTTGACCCAAAATAATCTTCTCACTTTTTTCCATTTCCTTTTTAGGAAAAAATGTGGCTCGCAATATATCTCTCTTATAAACAAATTCTAACCACACATTTTTTACTTTTTAATAACAATATTAATTCCCGTGAAGTCAAAGTGGGAAAGTCATTGTAGGAAAGGGGAAGTGAATGATTATTTTCTATGAAGTGAAGAGGGTTGATAGATATTTAAGACTTATATACTTCACCATAACAAATAACTAACCTTCTTCCTGAGACTTCGTACTCTTGCCAATCAGATGTTGACTGCTCGGTACTACTGTGAGTACTTGCACCCTATTTGAATCCAAGAGAGATTAGTATTAGGAAAACGCATTAAAATCATTACTAATGAAAAATTCATTCAGGGCCTATTGCCCAAAATCTCAAATGCACAAATAATTATGAAAAAATAGTAAAGGAATCAAAGTGTCATACTGCAACTGCAGGAGTAAGAGCTGGGGGTGGCTGAAGGGTATGCTGACTAGGTGCACTGTGATTCCCTGGTGGAAGCCAGTGTTGTGACTGCTGTCCTCCGGCTGCGAAAAGAGGTGTGTTCATTTGGGATGCCTGGCCAAAAGGAGATGGTGCAAACTGCAATTACAGAAATATGAAATGTCAAAAATCTAGTTAGAGGGATCCACAGAGGGCATATCAATATATCATAACACAGCAACAATGAATCTGGTCTTTTAAAAAAGAATGGAACTCAAGTGACACTCACACCAGGCATGTGATTATTAGCAGAAAGAATCATTTGTTGAGGCTGCAAAGAGGCAGGTGGAATATGCATACTTGGCATTTGAATTGGTTGTGATGTAAACATGTGACTATTCTGACCGGGTCGTGGAGGAAATTGCTGCATTGGTTGAGAAAATTGCATTGTTTGGCTTTGTCCAGGACCGATAGTAAAAGTTTGTCCTTGTTGTGCATGTGCTCCAGGTTGAAACTGAAACAAAGACTTTGCTCATTTCGAAGTCAATTTAATATTATAAAAAAACAAGTAAAAACAGCAAGCCAAATTTAAGAACTAGAAGCCAGGTAACGTACTTGCGCAGGAAAGGAACCATATCCATGGGGTGTCATGGATTCTCCTAGATGCGGTCAAAGAGGCTGCTAAAGAGAATGAACAAACTTGAGATCTCTGAACACATGACTACATAACACAATTGGAAGGGATAATACATGCAATGATTGCAATCAAATGTCTTTCGTAAGAAATGAAACCTAACCCCAAACTATCTAAAGATAAAGAAAATATGTTTTGCCTAACAAAATGCAATATGAATATATAACTTCAAAACCGTTCCTTGAAATCGTGAAATCAACGTTTCTCTAAGCATCTAGCACATCGGAAAACAATAAACCTGGTGAGAATTAGCGTCGCGGAAACAGGGGCACTCGGACACTTGTAGGACCTGGTCACGATGTCAAAACCTTGGACACTGAGGGGATAGGAAGGGGATAAGCAGTAGTCTTAGAAGAGAAAGGTGAGGAGTTTTGAGAGGAGAGAACGACACAGCCGGCGGGCGGAGTGAGAGCGTTTGGATTGTTATTTGGAAGAACTAATGTGGATGCGAATCGAGTTGAAGGCCTCTTGGCTTGGGGCTTTTCCTTGCAGGAAGGAGGGTGACAACGATGAGATTGTTGGAGATGGCGAGAGGGTTCGTTTCCGAATCACTTCATTAGGGTTCCTTCCTATTAGAGCCTTTTCTAACCCAAAACCCAGTTTGGATCAACTTAAGGCTGCGACTCGGTGAACCTTTCTTTTAAGAAAAAAGTTGTACCCAATAATTATAACGTTACGTGGTCTTTTATACAACAAAATAAAAGTTAATACTCCCTCCGTCCCAAAAAGTTTGTTACGTTTAGAAAAAACTGTGTCCCGTAAAGTTCGTTACATTTCTATTAAAAAACTACTTTTACCCCTTACTTTTTCATACCCTACCTATCACATCATACCTTTTTTCTAATAATCTACCCATCACATCCTACTTTTACCCATCACATCAAGGGTATTTTTGGAAAGTCAATACCAAAATATCCCTCCCTTAATTTCCCAAAAAGTCAAACCGTCCCATTCTTTTTGGGACGGAGAGAGTATTATTTTTATTAATTTTAGTTTTTTATTTTTTTTTGAAATTTTCATTTAAATTTTTAAATTGACTTTTACCCCTATTTCTTTTTCCTTTTTTAGATATAAGTCTTACCTTAGAGAAAAATTAAAAAAATGAATATAAAAAATAACAAAAATAATAAATACTGTAAGTAAAACCAAACATAATTAATGAAATAAATAAGGTAAGGCCAAATAGCTCCAATGCCTCTATGGTTTGAAAAATTGATATCAATACCCCCTCTGTTTTCAAAATTTGTTTCTAAAGTATTCGTAGTTTTAAAACGTTGCACCTACACCCCCTCTCGTCATTTTCCGACCATTTTCTAGCAAAGAATAGTCATTGGCGCCTAATTTATAAACCGTAAGGGCACTCGTGCTCATTTCTTATTTTTTGCTTATTGACGGAGGCCAATCCCATGTTAACATGATAATGGGCCCAGAAACGAACCCCGTAAGCCCATGTAGGCTCAAGCGGGTCCCAATTCCTAGAAGGGTGAGCTCAGTTCGATAAGCTTGGCTTGGCTGGCTGATCTCGGCTTGGCCCTCGAGGGTCGGCTTCTGTGCTCGATCCCTAAAGAAACCAGTACATGGATCTGTCCCACCACATGGGCGCATTGCGGAGGACTAAATGTCTCGCTTGCCTCCAATCGCCAAAGACACAAGCTAGATGACAATGACCTAGGCTCCGTTCCGTTCAATTTATTTTTTCTGATCTGATTTCATTTTTTGTAGTTGTGATTGGATCTGATCTGATTTAATCTAGTCTGATCTGATTAATTATGATTTGATTTAAAATTCAAATCAATAATTTGAATTGAATTTATAATAACTTTTGAAAATTGTAATGATAATTCATATTATAATATACTCCCTCCGTCCCTAAATATTTGTCACACTTATATTACCGAGGCAAGATATCAAGTTTTTTCAATTCATTTTATTTACATGTTTGTATAGAAATAAAAAATAAAATTTACATATCAAAAACTACATGAAAAGTTCTTCGAAACAAGAGGTGTCAAGAATATTTAATTTTATCAAATAACAAATGAAAACGTAGAAATAAACAAAAGTTCCCGCAACGCTGAAAAAGCAAACGTTGCAAATATTTAGGGACGGAGGGAGTAATCAATGTTTTTTATTTGATGGTTATTTTGTAATGAAATAAATTTAGTTATTTCATATATTAGAATAATAATTCATATTATAATGTAATACTATTTTTTATTTTATGATTGTTTTTTATGACATAAGAATATTGATTTAATATTTTAATAATTAGTTTATATATACATTAGAATAAATATTTAATTCATATATACATTAAAATGTAATTAAATTTAGTTAATCAATATAGAGAAGAGATGGTATTTTTATTAAAATATATCAATCTTATAAAATACCAGCGTAAGCTTTGTACTACGAAACTTTTTTATGATTAATATGACACCATAGATATAATAGTTATTTCAGTTACACTAAAATATACTCTGCATATGAATATCAAATGTTAATTTTATTTAAGTCATGATCAAAATTGATCAACTCGATGTAATAAAAGATCGAAAATTAAAATTCAAATTACATGTAGCAATAAAAATGTATTTTAAAAGTATAATTAGATTGACAATGTCAATGTATTTTAAAAATAATTTTTCCAACGTCTAATAATTAAGAATTACTTTTTCACTTCCCTTTTAAACTTTTTCTAAAGTTTATTTTTTCATTTTAAGAACAACAACAACAACAAGAATAATAATAATAATAATAATAATAATAATTCTTGATCAGATCTAGTCAGATCTGGTCTGATCTAATTGGATATTGTCTGATATGATTGGATCTGATCTGATATGATAGGATCTAATCTGATTCGATCTCATCTGATTTGATCTGGTCTGGTCTGATTTTAATAAGAATAATAAAAAAGCAGAAAAAATAAGTTGAACGGAAAGGGGCTCAGTGACAAGGACTAAACGACAAAAGTGTCATTCACGGTTATTATCGTTGTAGTATCGTTGAGGCCATAAATATGTTGAGGCCTTCTCACTGTAACAGATCTGATTCTAAGAAAAAAATACTCTTATTATTTGGATTTTCTCATTTTTTTAATTTTATTTATCTCCTTGTTTCCTTTTCTAGAAATTTTTTAAATCTCTTTTCAATTTTTTTATAATGTTTAAAACAAATCAATATTTTCTGTGATTGAAATGAAAATTTAAAAAAATTTAGCACACACTACATCTATCTCAAATTAAACATTTTCTCTCTGTTTTTAGAATAATTTTTTGTAAAGTTCAAAAAGAAATTCCTGAATAAAAAATATGGAAAAATGAAATGAAAAAATTAAAATATGCACAAAAGAGTCTTATACAAAAAAAAACTAGAACGTCCCCAAAAAAAGATCTTAAAATTGGGATGTCCAAAAATGAAATTTATTTTTAGTTTTTATTTTATTTCTTATTTTATTCCTCATTTTTTTCAAGTTCTCAGAAAACATTTTTACTCTTTTCAAAAAATAAAAATAAAAATGAGTCATAAAGATGCAGTATATGTTATTTTTTTCAAAAAAATAATTAAAAACATTATAAAAATAATTTTAAAAAAAATTTAAAAACCCTGATTACTACAAGAAACAAATAAATGAAAAAATGGAAAATATAAAAAATAATAAATGAGAAATAAAAATAAGCACTTGCACCCAATGTGGTTTAGAAAATATGCATTGATGTCCTTTTCTTCGTTGGAAAATGGCCAGAAAATTATCAAAGTAGGTATAAGTACAATGTTTTGAAAGTACATGGACTTTAAGAATAAATTTCGAAGACAAGTGGAGTATTTGTGCATATTATGTAAACCATGGGGGGGTGCTATTTCGCTAACATGGGATAATCAATAGAAATGAACAAAAAAATGAGAAATATGATAAGGAGTGGTGGGTTCTAACATTTTATAATTAAGGAATGCTAGCACACTACTTATCTTTTGAAAGAACGTAACAAGAGACGTTAGGATTATTCTAGATAATTTTTCTTAAAAAATAAGAAGTGGTACATTAACACTCTGTATAATGCGCAAGATATTAAAACCCACCACACTTTAGGTTAGTTTCCATTGATTGCAATATTTATTTCATGAATTTTACATGGTTTTTTTCTCACTTTCTTTATTTTTTATATTTTTTTTTTTTTAAGTAAGGATAATCTTAAAAAAATGACGAATGTATAAAGTCATATTAAAAATCTAAATGAGAATTTCAAAAAAAATTAAAAAAAATCATCAAAAAAATCTCAACTTTCATTTTGTTGCGCATAACAGATCATTTTTGTTAATGCGTCGTTAGCAAGTTAACGGCAACCCAAAACTCGCAAATTTCAGTAAAGTTGGAATTATTATGTTTCAAAGAGAAAGATGAAACTATTTTTGAAAGACCGAATAATTTTTTCTTTATTAAAACCACCTGCGAAGTTGTTAATCCAAAGTTGAATCGACCAAATAATCGCTGATTTCTTTTTATTTATAAAAAGAAAATATTTTATTAACACACATGTTTTTTCCTTATTTTTCCTGCGAAAAAAACTTGATACTGTCACTTAAAATAATACTCTATAATTGTTAATGTTTTTTGAATGCCTAAATAAGAAAAATATATTACAATAATAGTTATAATAATAGTAATAATAATAATAATATTAATTTTGTTTAAAACTAATTTGATCTGATTAGATCTGATATAATTTCATAATCATCATTTTAATCAAGATATTTGTGTTTTTAATCATGGCTCGATCATCACAATCAATATTCAATAACAACATCATAATATTTCATAACAAACAACGACATAGCATCAAGTGTTAACAGCTTACCGCATGCATTAAACAAGGTTCTTGGATTTATCAAAACATCATATTTAATTTGGAGATCATATTCATATTGATTAATAGTTGAATGCTATCAAAAATAAAATTTTATAGTTTCAAAATTAGATTCTTCGTTGCTGGAAAATAATGGGCGGTCGAGCGTTTGCACCATTATATATAAAAAATAATACTCCGTAAATTCTTTCGTAGTCCTAAGGTCTATTGTCATTTATCGACAAAATGTGATGAATGAATTGGACTATTTGAAAGAAAAGATTCTATATCGGCCCACTAATACTTTGTTCTTTTAAGTTTGAATTTTATATTTGGATGTTGAAATAAAACTGCAATGGATTGAAAAAAATGAGGAGTTGGATAAGTGTTAAAAAATCACTTAATTAAATGATTATCAAATAAATATGTAAGAAAAGTCTAATTTTAGGGAAAAAGAATTTATCATTATCCATGTTTGAGCTGATATATCATAAATTTGGGTATATAATATTATTGCATACTCATCATATATTAATACATTTTTTGTATTAAGCACAACTAATGATTTTTTTCATTCTTATTATAAAGACTACTCGTATTTTTGAAAATTGTAGTCCGGTGAATATTTATGTTTCTTCTTTGAAGTCCAAAACCTCATATTTAGCGGGCTGAGCTACCGGGCCCGGGTTTATACTTCGTAGCCACCCCTTAATTAGGGTTTCGAGCTTTCAACACCCGTCGTCTCCCATTCGGCGACGCCTTTCTATAAGTAGCAGGAGAATAGCCTCCATTCAAATCATCTCATACACACAGGTATTCCGAATTGCAAATTTCTCATTAAATTCTCTCTTTACCAATTTTTTTTCCAACCATCCCGTTCCCATTCCCATTCCCAATTGGCTGTTTTTGAATTGAGTATATTCTGGAAATGGCTGTTTTCAGTGGTGCGATGATTATAAAAAAATTCCTCGTTCTGAAAGCCGTTGCCACGGCATGAAAGACCCATTTACACCCATAGAATATGAGCACATCTGGATTTCATTCAAATTCCTCTTTTGGTTTATAATTCTATATTGTTTTCATTTGATTTTTGTTCCACTTTTTTGTTTTTTTGAATTGGATCGAAATTGAATCTTGATTTAATGTTCTGATTTCTCTTTGTTGGTGCTTTGTAATTTCCGAACATGTAAAGGAGTTTCGGTCTTGTTTATTTGGCATGTGCATTTGCATATCCACACTGCACCTGGCTGGCTTCTCCTGAAATTGACCAGGTGGTGTTTAAATCCCTAATGTGTTTATCTTCATACTCTTCGGGTTACGCACACCTCCAAACTCGCTAATCTTTCTTCTATATAGATTATTTTTAACGGTTCAGAGTTATATTTAATATTTCTGACCACTACGGTAAAGGATATTTCAAAAAAGACTACCCTGCTGTGATCTTGCAATGATGCTTCTGACCATTATTATGGTCTGCTAGGAGTCCCAAAAGGCCCCTAGCAGGCCCATAGGAGTATCTTCTTCACTTACAAGTTTATGTATTCAATCACCGTGTTCATCTGTACTTTTATATACTCCCTTGTAATGTTTGTTTTTTTCGTATCATTTGTTATTTGATACCATAAAATAAAGTTCAAAATGTAATTATGTATTATTGGTAAGTACTACATCTGTCTCAAAAAGTTTGTTACGTTTAGAAAAAATTGTGTCCCATAAAATTTGTTACATTTTTATTAAAAAAATTACTTTTACCCTTTACTTATTTATACTCTACCTATCACATTATATTTTTTTTAATAATTTATCTCTATCACATTTTACTTTTATCCATTACATTAAGGGCATTTTTGGAAAGTTAATTTCAAAATATTTCTCCCTTAATTTTTTCAAAAAGTCCCGTTTCATTTTTTTGGGATGAAGGGAGTATTATATTAAAAGTAAACTATCCTTAGTGGAGTAAAATTAGCATGTAGCGTGAGTTTAATATTTGGGTGGGTATGACTATCACTATCCTTACATTTGTAGAGTGAATGCTTCGGCTTGTGATCGAAGGGTATAAATTCTTAGTTTATCCAAGGTGATTGACTAACAATCTTGTATTGAATTATACTCTCTCCGTCCCTAAATAAATTTCCATTTTTGATTTTTTGAGGATTTAAGGGATTGATATTTTTGTGTTGACTTTCCAAAAATATTTTTGATGTGATGTCTTAAAATAAGATGTGATAGGTAGATTATTAGTAAAAAAGTATGATGTGATAGGTAGGGTATGAAAAAGTAAAGGGTAAAAGGGGTTTTCTAAGAGAAAAGAAAGTTTATTTAGGGATAAAAAAAATGAAAGAGAAATTTTATTTAGAGACGGAGGGAGTAGTAGTTTTTGTCATCATGCACTCTTTGCCATTGCATTATAGCAAATATTAGGAAGTATAATTAAATTAGGATACTTCTTTCCTTTCCTATTAGGATTATTCTTTCCTTTCTTACTTGTACTTTGATTACTCTTGTATTCCCTATATATAGGGCCATATCTCTCAATATTCAATAAGACAAGTTGTTATCAAATTGTATCATGGTATCAGAGCTAAGGCTTTCAAAAACTTAGCCTCTTTTTTTTTCCGACCACCGCCTACCATGGTAGCCTTGTCGGATCCTTTGGCGTCCTTACCCTCCGGAGTAAAACTTTTATTTCGGAGTCTCCACAACTTAATCCCAGAAAAACTCACCGAAACAAATTATCCGGCATGGTCTCTCAATGTCCAGACAGCTCTTTCAGCTAATCTCTTCCTTGGATGGATTGATGGTCATGAAGTAGCCCCGGCGCCAACTATCTCCAAAAACGATAAAACCGTCCCTAATCCAGAGTATACCTCTTGGACCATCGTTGACACACAGATCCGCGCTTGCCTCCTAGCGGTCATCAGCCCCTCCGTTCACAAACATGCTCGCGGTACAACTCCGTGTCCACCGCTCATGTTTATCAGCTTCGGGACAAACTCCACTCTTCGTAAAGGTACCAAAACTATGACACAATACCTTGATGATGTGGCAACTATTCTCTCGGATCTTGATGCCTTAACGTGATGTGGTGAATGTTGTTATTTGTGGTCTTCCCACCGAATACTCATCCTTTAAGCAAAACATTCGCATGAATAATACCAATACTTCGTTAAATCAGCTTTTTGATGGCTGATCTCCGAAGAAATAAACCTGGAGATGGAGAATGAACTCAACCTCACCGAACCTCGCACAACACTTCTCGCTACGAACGGTCGAGGTCGCGGTAGAGGAGGCTACCGCGGTCGACCGTCACCTGGACGTGGATACAACAACGAACGTGGAGAAAGGAACAACGGTCGACCGTCCCAGGGAAACGGTCGACCGTCACGGGATCTGCCAACCTGCCAAATCTGCGAGAAACGAGGTCACTCTGCGTCTGCGTGCTGGTATCGATTTGATGATTCTTATACTACGAACTCCTCCTCTAGTGCTCCCCGTGCAATGCATGCATCTACGAGTAATCATTCTGGAAACTGGTATGATACTGGTGCCAACACCCATGTCACGTCTGATTATTCTCAGCTACAATCTCCTCATCAATACACCGGTACTGATGCTATTACCGTAGGCAATGGTCAATCCCTACCCATCACACACTCTGGCTCAGGTTTTGTCCATACTCCTAATGGTAAATACCACCTTTCTACTCTTCATTATGTCCCTTCCTTTACCTCCAATCTATTGTCTGTCCATCGATTTACCAAAGATAACAACTGCACTCTTGTTTTCAATGCCAACGATTTCCAGATAGTGGACAATCCTACCAACCAGGTGCGGTACAAGGGCCTCTGTGAGCATGGGTTATACACACTTCCTTCCAAACTCCCAACCGTTGTGTATTAAGCTATCCAAGAGTCCACTTGGCATCGTAGACTCGGTCATCCAGGTCCTGCGATTGCCAAATCTATTTTGTCTTCCTTAGGTTTTCAGTTTTCAGAGCCTTTACATTGTGAATCATGTTATGTCTCTAAGTCCTGTCGTTTACCTTTTGAATTGTCTGAACATAAGGCCACAACGCCCTTTCAATTAATAATACATTCTGATGTTTGGGGTCCCACCTCTGTTCCTTCCTGTAGCGGTTTTCGATTTTATATCTCTTTTGTTAATGATTTCAGCAAATTTACCTGGATTTATCCCCTAAAACATAAATCTGAAGCTTACTTTGTTTTTGTGAATTTTGAAAAAATGATTAAAACTCAGTTTAATTCTCACATCAAAATTTTTTGAAGTGATAATGGCAAAGAATTTGTAAATAACGCTTTTGGCCTTTTCCTTCAAACTTTAAGAGTTCTTCATCACACCTTTTGTCCCTACACTCCTGAGCAAAATGGGGTCGCTGAACGGAAACACCGTCATCTTATTGAAACAGTTGTTTCTCTTCTATACGACTCTGCTCTCCCGACTACCTTTTGGGTCGAAGCTCTTGCCACAACAAACTATCTTATCAACCGTATGCCCACCAAAACTCTCAACAAATCTCCCTTTGAAACTCTTTATAACCGTCCTCCTACATATACCCACCTTCGTGCCTTTGGTTGCTTGGTCTATCCATGGCTCTGCCCTTACACTCACCACAAACTTCAACCACGCTCCAATCCTTGTGTCTTCTTAGGATATCACCCCACCACTAAAGGGTATAAATGCTATGAACCCGTGTCTCAAAAAGTTTATGTCTCTCATCATGTTCGGTTCGTCGAGGATCAGTTTCCATATCCCAAATTGTCATCCCTCCCGTCACCCTCTCCTATAACCCCTATTTTTCCTCCAAGCCCAGGCTCACTTGCTCCTGTCCCACTGACGGTCCAACCCCAGACCCGTCCCACCAGTCACGGACGACAGCCCGACACCCTCCCTATGGACACGCCACAGACGGTCCAACCCCAGAACCGTACCCCAACCCACCCTCGACCGTCACCTACTCCTCTCCAAAACACACAATCGGTTAATCGACCCCCGCCCCAAAACACGCACACCATGCAAACCCGAGCCAAATCTGGAATTTTCAAACCTAAAGCCTATACCATTACCACCCTTGATACTACCCCACCTACCACTGAGCCTAGCACTTACCGCCAAGCCTCTGGTAATAGTTTTTGGTGTCAGGCTATGGATGAGGAGTTTATTGCTTTGAATGAGCAACGTACATGGGACTTGGTTCCACCACCCAAGAACCGCACTCCGATTGGTTGCAAATGGGTGTATCGCATTAAACGGAATGCTGATGGATCTGTTTCAAGGTA